CATAGGAAAAATAGAATTTTGGGCATAATTTGTTAAATTTCCATTGGAAATATTTCAAACTTGGTTAGAATTATGAGCTAGATGGTATGCCCATATTGATCCTGGTAGAATCAAATGCTCTTTATGAATGGAAGCATCTTAAGTTGCTTTAATTACCAAAATGGGTCTCACACTTCTTCCTGGGGAGGAAGTATTTTTAAACTTTGCTGTAATTTTCATAGAAAAATTGCATTTTTGAGCACAATATTGGTTAGACTCACTGAATAACTTTGTAAGAATTATCAGTATAGGATGACAGTTTTGATGGTATGCATGTATTGACACTGGCTTACTATATTCAATGTCACAATTTTAGTTTCTTGACAGTTGATAACTATCCTTTAACCTTTATATTTAATATTGCTTGCCTCAGGTGACCGCCACTCCTGCCAGGCCTCTTGTTTAATTAATACGAAGGTGATAGGCGTGATGTAAGAGTGCACAGTCATCTTTTTATGTATAGTTGTTTTATCAACTTGTCATTTTATATCAATTATTCATTCAAGTGGAAATTTTCAATTTCAAAGTTCAAATTCCAGGACACAGGATGATATTAGCAAAGGGTGAAAACAGGAAACTAAGTAGGGTTTATAGGCTAATGGTTTAGGACAACCCCTATGTCCTCAACTATAGAGTTTTATAGAAAACAAATATATATTGTCACATGACATCTAGAAGATAGCCCACTTCTTGGTAAAAGGAAACTGATTATGATCGTACTAAAAGTAAATTTAACAACTTAATAAAGGATGGAGCATCAATACCAAGGATTCCGTGATCGGTAGTTTTATTTGGTTAACATGTTGGTTGTAAATTTTTTGAAGGTATCATCAATGCATAGAGAACAGCTAGGCTAGCCGTCATTGGGCTATGGTCATTGGGGAATGATACATTCAAAAAATTTACCAACAACATATGGACATTGTAACTGAACTTTTACTTTGTTTAGCGTAACGATCTGTATTGTTATCAACACGTGATCAATACAATGCGTTATTATGTCACGACTGAACCGTAATTTTAACCTTAGCTATGCCGATACTTGTACCGTTGTTCTGATGATGGCTAGCCTAGCTAGTCGAAACATGTCAACCAAATTAAAATTACCGATCACAGAATCCTTGGTGTTGATGCTCCATTCTTTATTAAGTTGTTATTACCTATCATCTATGGAGCTCTGCTAGAATCCTCTGGATCCGCCTAGGATTCCTCTACCGATACATCTACCAACTAGTACCACTCCCAGGACGTTGGTTCTACCGATACATCTACCAACTAGTACCACTCCCAGGATGTTGGACTCCTCCGCCTCTTTTTATGTTTCCCACTAAAAGTAAATTTGGAAAAATATGGAGCTTTTCAGGGAATGCCTATTTTGACATTGAAATACACTTATCGACAGTTTAAAAAATATGTTATTAAATGACAATAGGGTATATTTCTTTTAAATGAACCTGATTTTGAATCATCAGTGGGATTAGATATATAATTACCTCTTTGTAGGAAATTTAGTATGTACAGACTTTTCAGTAAATTAGATATTGCTTCATTTGTCTACAGTGCATTGTAAGTTTGTCCATCACTTTTCCTGGATGGATGTCATTACAGAGATAAGACCCAACTATTAAACTAAACAAGGTTCTGTACACCAAGCACTTTTGTGAAATACACAGCATTATTATTACTGAAATTTTCACATGTATATTGATTAAGATACAGGACCTGGACCAGCCATGGTGACTATGGCATCATTCATTGTTTGTCTGAATTAAACTCAGGCTCATGAGACATTTAAGATGGCCACTATGGGAGCCATCTTGAAAACATTGTATTCCAAGAATTATTGTTATGGCTTGTGACTATATAGTGATACAAAGACATGAAGATGCTTTATCTGGTACAAGTAAGAAAACAGTCAAGTGACATTGAGACTACTGCTTTTAACCAACATCTTTAAAAAGAGTAAATAAATAAAAAGGATAGAAAGACAGAAAAGTATGTCAAGACAGGTCTTTCATTATTGAGCTATGAATGGTCTGCAGATGGTCCTAACTAAAATTGCAAATTACTCTCATTTAAGATGGCTGCCATATGACCAAAGTCAGGGTCTTGAAAATGTTATCACTTCTTCTGAAAAGAAAACATTTAGTGAAACTATAGCACTTAGCCTTATGAGTATTAGTAAAGTGTGATTGACAGATGTATGGTACTTATAGAAATTTGGACCCCCTTTCTCACTGAAGTTAGCTGCCATTGCTATCACTTCTGTACAAAAAGTTGTATGGGGACTGGACACGTGTTTGATCAATTAAAGATGGACGTATCTGAAATTCTGAACTCACATTCAATACTGCAACTATTAGCAGTTACCTTGAAAATCTTATCATTGTTTTTCTTTTTAAAAAGACTTACACTTTTGAGCTATCTTTGTTTCACAAATAGATTGAAATTTTATCTGCTTCATACTAGATAACTGCCATCTTTGAAACTGTGACTTCTGCTATTTTGAAACTAGGGCTGATTGATAAGTTGTGAGCCATGTATTAAAGGAATTAAGCAGAGATGTTCTTTTTTAGCTTTACTATTTGCTAACAACTTAAGGATGTGTATACCCAAAGATTGGTGTCTTTTGGTCAGTTTATGTTGAAAAGGTAACGCTCTAACAAGCCAAGTGTCTTTTGCAAAATGGACATCTGTTTTCTGGGATGTTGATGGTATTCTGATGGTAGATTATCAGCAAAAGAGACAATTTATGGCATATATTATGCACCGCAGTTATGGGAAAATATTAAACTCAAGCGCCACAGAAAACTTCGTTAATTGTTGGCAAAAGTGTATAGATACTGCAGGGGAATATGTTGAAAAATAATGAACATATATCCATCAAAAGTCAGACCCTTAGATATAAGGCTCACAACTCATTTAGCCCTTGTATCATGTCTTCTGAACAAAATCATGTATGGAAATAGGATCACTTATGAATTTTGTTTGATCCCTAGATATTCTGAACTGAAATTAGATCCCTGCTTCACTCAAGATATACCATATATGTCATAGATCTTGAAAAGATATTCACAAACTGAAATTAAGTCTCCTGGACAACATATGATATATGAATGTTGGATGTTATATGATAATGACATGGTATTTACGACAGATTGACATTATTTATCCATCAATGGTAACAATAGCTGGCCACACATCTGATTGATTCAGTAGTGATTGTATAGATTCTTGACACCAGCAGCCCGTATGTGGTGATTAACATTGACTGCTTGGTATCACTGACAACAAATGATATTTTCCTGGAATTAAACAACAGATAATATGAAGGAGCTAGTTTAGAAACAAAATTTTAGCCCCTAGCTAGAATAAGATTATAGATGGATATACAGGATACCAGTTATTGTATGTTGTGAGATTTGCATCGTTGCTTGTGGTCAAAGTTTTTATATGTGTACATATATAACTCCATGTCACTGTCACAGAGGGTATGTATGGGATGATAAAGGTTGTGTGATACCTTTGTTTGTTTGTTTTATCACCATGTGAACTGTCAGGGTCATTTCGAGGTGGGGTCTCCTTAGAGTAGGTGGTGACTACCGTATTGAACAACATTCAAGAGGCCTGTCACATGCCTTCAACGGCATTTTAGGTCAGAAGTGATTGGTCATTTTTCAGCTTCCTGAAAAACACACACCACCGTACCAAACATTTAAACACACACCCCAGATCTTCATCTGAAATTAGGTAGGCCAACTGGAATATTGTGGCTGTAGAAATACAATGTTATGTTAAGCAATGAATAGTTCATTTTTGTATCACACTATCAATGATTTGACAATAGGGAATTAGTTACTTTAAATGAAATAACTCCTATTAAAAGATACAGGTGACAAGACAAAGTTACCCAAATGCAATGAAATGTTACACATGTTAGAAAGTTCTCTCAATATTCAAGAAATATCAGCTTCAAACTGAAAGTTGAGACCATGTCAAAGTGTTAGGATGTTCTTTTCTCCTTATTTTTTTCCTATTACATTTTAAGAATACAATAGACATTGTGTTTGTATCTTACCCTATCAAATATCCAATTACTCTTCACCACATAAAATAGTCTCATGATACCAGTCACATCAACTTTTCACTCTTAAGGGGAAGGTTGCCTAGAAAATTGGACTATTCGCTTGTCTGTACTGTTGTTATTAAGTCATTGATGATATATCTATTCCAGTAATACACATCCAATGAATATTTGTTTGTTAGGATCCAGTATCAATATTGGACCATACCATTGATATTACTTACTAGAATATATATATATATATATAAATTGTCATGTATTCTATCATAAATATATACTGTATTTATCCTAATAAACGCCGGGGGTGGGGGGGGGGGAGGGGGGGTCTATTTTGAGCACACTATAAGAATACACATTCCGACATGGTGTCTGACTTTTAGAGTGCTCAGTGGAACATTGTATGTATTTTTGACACGCCCCATCACTCAATACACTGATGATTCTAGATAATGTTTTCATGTGAATATAACTGGATTAAATAGTGAATTGGATTTAATACTTTTGTTTCATTTGGTCACACACGATCATGATAACTCACTTCTCAAGTACCGGTAACTGGTAAGTGCTATTTCTACAGAAAACTGGTGGGGGGGTTGAGTTTATTATAGAGGGGGCGTTAATTAGGATAAATACGGTGTATATATATAAATTAGCATGTATTCTATCATAGATATATATATATATAAATTATCATGTATTCTATCATAAATATATATATATATATAAATTATCATGTATTCTATCATTCCAATTTCACCAGAAAATTTTAATGATACATGCAACTTACCTGTCTTTAAATTTGAAATAAGAATTTCTATCAAACGTGTAAGTTTTCGAGATAAGCATTGATTTAAGTTCTTTTCATACAATTTAACAGGTAAAAGACGCCCCCCAGGGTTTAAAGTAGCAACACCTGAACCTCCAGCAAACCCAACGTAAGTATTTTCATGCTTTTTATAGGCATCTACAGCCACTTCCATCTCTTTTTTTTTTTCACAAATTCAGGGTTGGACTAGGTGTGATGTTTTTACATTAGTGACCTGAAGTAGAAGAAATCACTTCTACAAGCGTTATGCATGTACAATAGGCTTGTTCTTTTACACAGTAAATATAACAGCTTTTTATAGAATCAGATTTGAAAAGCGAAGTCAGTTCTTCAACTTCAACAAGGAGAGACATAAAATGTACAAAATATATCATTCACATCATAATTAAGGTTTTTTTTGGTATACATGTTTTATCAGCTTAGGATGAGTTTGAATCTAAACACCTGTAATTTTTGTTTTCTATTTTCATTATCATTTTGTTTTATTTTAGATTATCTTTTTTCATTATATTAGTTTATCTAGTAGAAGAATAAAGGTTATTTTTCTGCAATTTGGGTTGGCGGGTGGGGCTTAATTTCAAACAACCCAACCCCCACAACCCACTTCATACAATAAGCTGTCAAATTTAATCACTCAGTAGTGTTGGTGCAATTAAGTCATACCTTGAACTCCTTCTCTTTAAGGTAATTTTTGTCTGACACAGACAATAGACAATTACTGTTAGCAAAGCAGTTGAGGGGTGGGGGGGGAGGTCACAAGGTCACATAATCACTGTGTACTAAAGGTGACGTTAAAACAGAGTTATATATAATAGATAGATATACCGTGTTTACAAATAAAAGTGACACAAAGAGCAAACGTATGAAATAAACATAGAAATTGCATTTTTGATACCCCACACTTAGTTCAGCAGGAATGTGAAGAAAAATTATTTTAGGTATGGCTAGGTATAAAGATTATGTATTATCATATATGATATGGCATGGATCTCGGGACAGATTAAGGTCATTTCACGTCATGGCATCACATTGTGAAGATCTATTTGTTAGTAGGTTTTGGTAGTCATTGGTCAAGGGTTAAAGGTCAAAATTATGCATGACCACTTTTGAAAGAAAAAGCCAAAGGGTAGAGATAACCTATAGCTATTGTTCGTCGTCCATCGTCATGTGTCAGGAGTAAATTTTTCCTTTAAAACCCTACTCCTTTTTTATTCCTGGATTGATTTCAACCAAATTTAGTCTGAACCACCATTTGGAGAGGGTTATATCTGAAATTCAAAATTTGTATTCAATCCCTAGGGTCGAGGGACGGGGCTCTAAAGGAGGAGGTGCTGAAATTATATTTAAAACCCTAATCATCCTTTTTGCCTGAGTGGATTTGGCCTGATTCATCAGTTAGGGTAGGGAATAATTCCTTGAATTAAGAAATCTGATTCAACACTGAGGGACTTTGGGGCGGGACCCCTAAAGGGAAAATAAGACAATATTTTACTTCAAGATGCTACTCCTTTTTAATGCTTGAATCGACTTCAACCAAATTTGGTGTGAAACATGATCGAGAGTGGGGAATCATTTCTTAAATCAGAAAGTTGATTTCACCCCTGGTTAAAAGGAATGACCTTGACCCACTTTCAAGGTCACAGGTATCAAATGTGTTGAAATGCTGAAACAACTTCTTCTCAATAACCAAAAGGCCAAGGGTCTTAATATTAGGCCTGTAGCTTGCTTTTTCAACCAGAAATACATCCTAGGTAATGGCAGTTGTGTAGTACATATATAAACAATATGATTTTCAGGTTTGCAGAAAATGTCTTGATGAACCAATGATGTCTTCTATGTAAGCTGTCGAGTAGTTGAACAATTTATTACATGTCTGTTTCATACATAGGTCTTTATAGTAAGATGACTGTTAAGGCCTATGAGCCTCCTGTTTATAAATACAAGTTCACATGTATTTCTTTAAAGGCATATTCAAATAAGATACTATCATTAAAAATTCTACATGTTTGCATATACATGCGGAACATAATAAAGTGAAGTGAATTGAAAATGGCGCAGATGTTTATTAAGTTTGTAAAAATGAATTGCCTTGACCTACTTTCAAGGTCACAGGGGTATAATGTGTTGAGATATTTAAACAATTTCTTCTCAATTTATGCTAAACAACCAACACTTTCATGTGAGTGCCACATCCACGTTATTTATGGACATTCCAGTTTTATTTATGGATGAAATTACCTAGAGAAATGTATGCATCAGTGTTAATAAGGACGGGTTCTTATGTTGAGATTGAAAGTTACTGTCTTATAGAAATTCATCAAACATCAACACTACGGAATTTACAGGCTATAGGCAGAGAGGGCATTCATTTTACGTAGACATTTTATGAAACACACTGTCATTTTCTCAGAAATTTCTGGAAGGAAACCCAATATTTCTGTTTATAGAATATCGTAATAACCTTTAGGTGGCTAGATTTTGAAGGATTGATCACTGCAAAGTACACCCAAATCTAGCTAGCTACAAAGTGAAGCCATAAAGAGGAAACTGACAAGTTCAAATAAAAAGCACTCTATTGATATCTAGGTGTATGTAATACCTAGGCTGACCTTTAATAGTACAGGCTTGCAGCAAGGACCCAAGGGGAGACTAAAAATAGCACAGATTATAGATAAGTCAGTATTTTCATAATATCATGGTATTAAAGACAAGCTTTTATGCCCCCTACTTGGTTTAGGAATGGAGGTATATATTCTTTTTTCCCACTAAATGTCATCCTTTGTATGACTTTTTCAATGTCAGTACCCGATATTTTCAATGTCAGTACCCGATATGAAAACAGTGGCAGCTTGCTGTCAACAACTGTTCCACTTTACGGACTTGCTCAGAGAATGTAAATAAAGATATTGAACTGTCTTGCAATGTCATTTATGATCACTATAATTGACAGGGATTTTGGGGACAAATGGTTGCCTGCAAAGCTGGGTGATTGCACATTTTGAGCTTCTTCAGGTTGGCAAGGTAGTCAGCTGCAGCCATATTAGATTTTCAAATGTAAAATTTGTTACCACTATTTTTGATGACCCACTAAGGATCTCTTCGCAAGATATACCAACATGTTCAGTATGGGTCTACAGTTAACGTGCATACTAAATTTTGAATTCTTCCAGATTTTCAAGACAGCCACCAGTAGTCATACTGGCGTTTAATAATTCTTAAGCAGCAGATAATAAAATGTGTGAAAATAAAATCAGCTTATGATGAAAATTAAAATCTCTCTAAAATCATGAATGAATGATTTTTTCTTGAAGGCCTCCACGTGATCTAGACTCTAAGGCGACCATCAAGATTCGGGATGAAGAGTTTGAGATTGAGGCCAGTGACTTAGTACTGAAGAGAAATTTAGGTCGCGGTGCTTATGGAGTTGTGGATGAAATGAAACATGTGAAAAGTAATACTATATTAGCAGTTAAGGTGAGTCAGTCAGTAGAATACTGTAACAGTCAGCAGAATACTGTAACAGTTAGTAGAATACTGTAACAGTCAGTAGAATACTGTAACAGTCAGTAGAGTACTGTAACAGTCAGTAGAATACTGTAACAGTCAGTAGAATACTGTAACAGTCAGTAGAATACTGTAACAGTCAGCAGAGTAAGTAGAATACTGTAACAGTCAGCAGAGTAAGTAGAGTACTGTAACAGTCAGTAGAGTACTGTAACAGTCAGTAGAGTACTGTAACAGTCAGTAGAGTACTGTAACAGTCAGTAGAGTACTGTAACAGTCAACAGAGTACTGTAACAGTCAGTAGAGTACTGTAACAGTCAGTAGAGTACTGTAACAGTCAACAGAATACTGTAACAGTCAGTAGAATACTGTAACAGTCAGCAGAGTACTGTAACAGTCAGTAGAATACTGTAACAGTCAGCAGAATACTGTAACAGTCAGCACTGTAACAGTCAGCAGAATACTGTAACAGTCAGCAGAATACTGTAACAGTCAGCAGAGTACTGTAACAGTCAGTAGAATACTGTAACAGTCAGCAGAATACTGTAACAGTCAGCAGAGTACTGTAACAGTCAGTAGAGTAAGTAGAGTACTGTAACAGTCAGTAGAATACTGTAACAGTCAGCAGAATACTGTAACAGTCAGTAGAATACTGTAACAGTCAGCAGAATACTGTAACAGTCAGCAGAATACTGTAACAGTCAGTAGAATACTGTAACAGTCAGTAGAATACTGTAACAGTCAGCAGGATACTGTAACAGTCAGCAGAATACTGTAACAGTCAGTAGAATACTGTAACAGTCAGCAGAATACTGTAACAGTCAGCAGAATACTGTAACAGTCAGTAGAATACTGTAACAGTCAGTAGAATACTGTAACAGTCAGTAGAATACTGTAACAGTCAGTAGAATACTGTAACAGTCAGTAGAATACTGTAACAGTCAGCAGAATACTGTAACAGTCAGCAGAATACTGTAACAGTCAGTAGAATACTGTAACAGTCAGTAGAATACTGTAACAGTCAGTAGAGTACTGTAACAGTCAGTAGAATACTGTAACAGTCAGTAGAGTACTGTAACAGTCAGTAGAGTACTGTAACAGTCAGTAGAGTACTGTAACAGTCAGTAGAGTACTGTAACAGTCAGCAGAATACTGTAACAGTCAGCAGAATACTGTAACAGTCAGCAGAATACTGTAACAGTCAGTAGAGTACTGTAACAGTCAGCAGAATACTGTAAGTCAGTAGAGTACTGTAACAGTCAGTAGAATACTGTAACAGTCAGTAGAATACTGTAACAGTCAGTAGAGTACTGTAACAGTCAGTAGAGTACTGTAACAGTCAGCCCCCCCCCCCCCCCGCCCCCCCCCCCCCCCCCCGCGCCCCCCCCCCCCCCCCCCCCCCCCCCCGTTTTTTACCTGTATTAATTTGGCAAGGAAGCCATGTCTGGTATTAAGCCTACATGTATGTCTTTTTGTTTTGTATAGTTATAAAATTGAAACATGCCCAACCATTGACTTCCAGTATTGAGTGATATGTAGGCTTTGGATTTATTGCAGAATAAATATGTGTAATACTAAGCTATAGGGGAAATCCTCCACAAAAAATATATCATTTTAGTTAAAATGATAGTAATTTTTTAATTTGAAATGTTAGAAACTGAAGTTTATCTGGATGTTATGTTGTAGAGAATCACAGTGACTGTAAACAGTAAGGAACAGAAACGTTTACTTATGGATCTAGACATCTCCATGCGGAGTGGGTCCTGTCCATATACAGTCACCTTCTATGGTGCTTTGTTCCGTGAGGTAATTGAAGGGAGATACCTGGAAAGAAATTCATTGACTTGGTGATAGGGATTTTAACAAATAAGTCAGATTTCTATCATAGAATTATGAATTTCCATCATTCCTATTCTGTCAAGGAAGATAGTTAACATAGCAGATTTGCTGTTTGAGTAATGTTAGAATGTTAGCGATTCTATCAATTGTTGTATGTTACCTTTATGTCAATAATAGGCTGATGAAAATGAAGCTTCACTTCTGAGACCATAAAATGAAATAATAGAACAAATAAAGATTGAATCAAATTTTGCCTTCATATTTCTAGTCCAAAAAATTTCATTGAAATATTCATCAGTTTACAATATGTTATTATTTCTGATATTATTTGAAAATCTGCTGCTGTTGTAAAAAAAAACCCCAAAAAACAAAAATCAGTTTTTCAAATGCTTCAAGATTGCTTCTACCATTTTGGCTGGATAACTTTCAAAAGTTTACATATTTATTTGTTGATACAAATAACATTCGTCATTCTTTTTGAAATCAACAAGGTAAATTATCTTTCCTTACTGACAGATGTAGACATAAGTAGATACAATAATCTTTTAACTACATATTTGTTCCAGGGTGATGTATGGATATGTATGGAGGTAATGGATGCCTCTTTAGACAAATTCTACAAGAAGATTTGTGAGAATGGTGACAGAATACCTGAGGATGTTGTAAGAGTCATTGCCTATTCAGTAAGTATAGACCAGCTTACAAATAAGGATACCTTTTGAGGATGATAATCTGTGTTATGAACTTTTTCTATACATGTACGCCTACTTACCAGTTAAGGACTTCTTTTGAGGGTGATACTGTGAACTTTTCCAAGTAACCATATTACTATGTTTCAGTTAGGTACTTCTTCATTAAGTTGATAATTTGTTTTATGAACTTTTTTTAGAAAGTACATATATTACAACTAACCAGTTACAGTCCTGTTCTTTAAAGTACATATATTACAACTAACCAGTTACAGCCCTGTTCTTTAAAGTACATATATTACAACTAACCAGTTACAGTCCTGTTCTTTAAAGGAGGTTGATTCTTTGTTTTATAAACCTTTTTAAGTAACTATACCGCTAGTGATCAGTTTATGTGACATTTTATGAGGTCAATACTTCATTCTATGAATCTGTTTAAGTGACAAAAAATTAAATGAGTTTTAGGGGCTGAATCATTCCTTGTAGCTGGGTCAGAGGTCTTTGTGTGATTTTCAGCAGTTAGTTTCTCATAGTGAAAATTAGATAGTTTTGTAAATAGAAACTGAGTGCATATTTCATTTTTTAAAAAAATGAAAAAATAAATCTAATATATTGAATGGCATTGTGTTGTAAGGAGCTGTATTAACATTAAACTGTATCCCAATGACAATTTCAAGCATAACTTTTGTGTCATAAAAGACAGATATGTGAAAAGATATTTTTTGCTCCAAAATGATATTACAAGCACTATTATCTAAGGTATCCAGTTTAACAAAAGGATTTATGTTGTTTGTTTCAGGTTGTTAAAGCTTTGGATTACCTAAAGAAGGAGTTAGGAGTAATACATCGTGACGTAAAGCCCTCCAATATCCTCATCAACAAGAAAGGACAGGTGAAAATCTGTGATTTTGGTATCAGTGGGTACCTTGTCGATTCAGTAGCCAAAACAATGGATGCCGGATGCAAACCATACATGGCTGTAAGTGAACATTTTGACATTTTCTATTTTTGTTTCAAGTAAAACCTAAAAGAAAATGGAAGATAGAGACAATATTTGACAGAAAAGAAATGCTAACAAGAGAGTAATAAGATTTGATTTAAGTAACACATTTGAATATTAGACAAGTTACCATTTTGAAATGATTCATCAGTGTTTAAGTGTTCAAAGTATATGTTGACATGCATATTCAGCACAATGTTAAATGAAAATGTAGAACTGATCTTACTGAAACACATGTAAACAAATGGTTACCTCCATTCAGTACCTCATTATGTACAAGGTATGCTGAAGACTAGAAGACAAGAATTCTGCTTGTTTGGGTCTGTTTCAGAATAGCGCATTCATATATTGTTAAACCACTGAAAGAACAACAGACTCTGTAGTAACCCTTCTACTTTACCAGCCTAGTTAAGGGTTATGTATGTTAATCATGACCCCAACCTGCCAACATTACATCAAACTTTGGAACTCTGTAGATAATGTAACTATATTGAGCATGTGAAAATTACATACATATATGTCTATTTAATTACCTACTTCTGATGTAAAACGAAAGCAAGTTAAGATATTCTTAAAATGTCGTATTGTTATTCATCAAAACAGTAATTAATAGAGTTGGCTTGTTTAAGCTTTCAGATTTATTTGTACATTAACCATCTTTCTTGTTAACAGCCTGAGAGAATCAACCCAGGAGAGGGTCAGACAGCCTATGATATCAAATCAGATGTATGGAGTCTTGGTATAACACTGGTAAGTCAAACTGTTCAAAAGGTCAAATGTCATGTTTTAAAGCACAGTTTAAGTTTCTGGTTACTGCTATCACTGATAGAGTAATAATCACACAGGTGATGTAAATGTCAAAATATTTTGACTCCCCTACTCCTATGAATGCCTGTACGTCACTTCCTTCTCCAAATTATCATAACACTAAATAAGTTCCTTACTAGAACCACAGAAATTACCGACCCAGTGTTGAGATATGCTACTTGTCTCTTGGTTGCTTCATTGATATTACACTTAAATGTGCTCAGGTGACAATCAGGTCCTACAGCAGCCTTTTGTCTGGTTTCAAGAGGCACTTAAGGCTTTTCTTACAGATAAATAGCCTAACAATTATAACTACCCATAGGCCTTCAAACTTACATTTACCGTAGTTCTACCTTCATTAGAAATAACATTGAGTAGATATCTGCCAAATATTGGTACATGAATTCATCAGAATGAGGGCAATCCTTCTTGCAGACTTTTTCTAGTGTAACAGATGGAGTAAACAAATGTAGCATAATAGACACTGTTATTGAGACAAAGAGCAGCTTTCGTTTCAAATGGAGGATGGCATTTGTCTAAATACAGATCTTGTTTGTTATAGATTGAATTAGCGACAGGAAAGTTTCCCTATCCATCATGGAAGACACCATTTGAACAGCTGAAGCAAGTAGTACAAGATCCTCCACCAAATCTTCCCCCAGATGAGTTCTCGCAAGAGTTTGATGATTTTGTCAAAAAATGGTAAGTAGAAAATGAAAATAGTCTGAAAGGGTTATCCAACCATTGTTGTACTGGATAGAGGGATTCTCTGTTAAATACATATAAATGTTTCTTCGTTCGTATTGAGACGAAATTAAACTGAAACCTTTTTCATGGGGACATTTTGAAACTACTTGTTTCTGAAAACTAATTAAAGTTCTTAAGATTCAGGAGGTTTGGTTTCCCTGAAGTGAAACTGATTTTTTCATTAATAACTAAATAACAGCAAATATTTCAGGCGTTTGAAACTGTATTGGAAAAATGATAGGATATTATTTGAAATTTTTGTGTTTGTTAACAGCTTGCTGAAGGAAGTAAAGAATCGCTGCAACTATGAAGAACTCTTGACACATCCATTTGTAGCACAGGAGAGAATAATGGACTCGGAAACCTTGGCAGAGTATGTACAGGGAATGTTTGAGAAATACGGTGACCCCAATGAAACCAGCTAATGATGGGAAACAGTTAGCTAGTATTGTTGTATAAAGTTCCAGTGACACCAGCATGAACTGCTTTTGTCAAAAAATTTGTTGTGGAGCAAATTCTTCTAAAACAACACAAGAAACAACATTGTAGGGGGCCTGTCCTCCTATGACACAAGAAACAACATCAACAGGAGCCAATTCACCCATGGCACAAGAAACAACATCAACAGGAGCCAATTCACCCATGGCACAAGAAACAACATCAACAGGAGCCAATTGACTTACAACACCTGAAACAACAATTTTTTTAATCAATTAACCAACAACAGCACAAGAATCAACATTATGTTGGACTAGTTCACACTTAGTGATACGAGAAGCAACATTGTGTTGGACTAGTTCACACTTAGTGATACGAGAAGCAACATTGTGTTGGACTAGTTCACACTTAGTGACACGAGAAGCAACATTGTGTTGGACTAGTTCACACTTAGTGATACGAGAAGCAACATTGTGTTGGACTAGTTCACACTTAGTGACACGAGAAGCAACATTGTTTTGGAGGTTTGTTGCCAGGAATTCCACTGAAAACAATTTAGGGAAAAGTATATGTGCCAAACACATAACAGTATAGAGCTGATTCATAAACAACACAAATAACATATTGTAAGAAGATTTACTCTGAAGCACAACAGAAAGCAACATGATGTTACTGCAGCAAAAGATTGTGCTGGTGCCATTTGAACTGTTGTTTAAACTGATTTTTGTTTGAAAAATGTCTTGTAATTTAAGTTTCATAGAGAATTACGCCAGACATTTAGTGAATTGTTGTATAATAATCATTATTTATGTAAATGTATATTTCAGAATGCTGTCATCTTTGATATGATATATTCAGGTGACTGCTGAATTTGTTGTTAAATTGTAAATAGGTCACAAAACTAATACATTTCATTCCCCGCAAATACATGTTATTACTTGTTGTTGACTTCTCCTGATTCCAACATCATAGGTGGGGGTGATAAAAATCCAAAAAATATCTTCTTTAGATACATTATAGCAATACCTTTTTTTGCGGAACATTTTCTTAAGCTTTGTCAGTAGGACAAAAGTTCTTATGAGACAACCAATAATAGAATAGAATTACAAGAACTTTCATTCTATTATAGCAATGCATTCTTCTAAAATCATTTTGCTCTGAATTTAACAAAAGCATATCTAAAATTATGAGGTTACAATGATCATTTGTCACATACTCAAGAAGAATAGGACCTTGACCTTGAACTAACCCTGAGCTCACCTATGACCTCACATGATCTTGTCACCAATTAACAGTCATGTATCTTTTTTAAAGTCAATTTCATCAAGGAAAATGGGTTTCAAATGACTGAAAAGCATAACATAGTTTTAAAACCAGATGTTTATTTCATGATACTATTTATCAAAATTCAGAATTACTGACAGTATTAACAGATGTGGATAGTAAGAAAGTCTTGAATTAGATTAGATGCTTATGAATCTTTAATTATCAAATTGAAAATGCATTATAAAGTTATCATTGGACACATGGTTCCAGTAATAAGCCCATGCCTGAGAATAAACCCATGCAGTTTATGGTAGATCAAAGTCCTTGTGATTTTCAATAGGAAAATTTGGTCATACTCTCGAATCTCTTTAGACAGGAGATTTCGTAGAAATCCCAACAAACGTTATATAAATGTCCTGTAATAAGCCCATGCCCTAACTCTTTGTCTGCGATAATTTTCAGACCCCATGCTTTGCTTTCTGGATTAAGTATACAGTATATACATAGGTTTGCCTCCATTTTACTGGCTTTTCCATTCTCATCAATTTTCTTATTTCAATCTGTCTTCTTGAAAACACATATCGTAATGTTTGTTAGTATATGAATTAGATAAAATAATTTAGTGTCCATCCAAGTCATGCAATAATCTTGTTAACTAAACAAAAACACTTTAACTTTGAAAAGACAAATGAGAATTTGAATTACCATGTTTTATGTTTGGCCATTTTACATGAATCTATCAATAAGGTTCAGCCTTACTGCCATAATTTCAACATTTTCATATACAATGATTTGAAAATAGACATTGAAACTATGTGATATAATTTCAACTCCATATAACTTCCTAAAAAGTGTTTTGAAACTTTTTTTTTCTTTCTTTTTCAAGCGCTCTGTATTTCATTAATGTCAATGTTGACCTCACTAAACGTTATTGGATGTTATAAGGGTGACATTTTAACTATGTCTTTTAATGGTCAGTCGAGTTGACCCATTGTTGGTCAGTAAATTTGGTGTTGTGGCCATAGAGTACATTACCGGCTGAGTATTCTTACATGTTACACTTGAGTGATTACCGAAATCTTTACATAAGACTTAGTGGTGAACAAGACTGATTGTGACATGGACGTATTGTGATGTGACCAGCTATTATTTTACAATACTGATACATATAATCACACATTATTTGATACAGGTAATGCCTACTAATGAGATGAGTTGTCATCAACCAATCAGCTCCTCTCTGATTAAAGTTGACTGTAAATATCAATTAAGATCAATTTCCTTGACCAATCAGCTTGTCCCTTATAAAAGGTAATTCTAATTATCAAAAGAGATCAATTGTCTTTGACCAATGACCATGTCTCTTTCAAATTTTTGCTGTAAATATCTAACAAGAGCAGTTGCCATCGACCAATAAGCTTGTCTCTAACAAAATGTGGCTGTAAATATTGAATGAATTGCAATCTTAAATGAAGTATTTATATTAAATTATTAATATTATTTCAATTTCCTGATTATGTAATTGTTACCTACAGGATGCATTTTTCCTAGTTACCAAAGTCTAATACCATACTTACCATAAAAGGACAAGGGTATTGATAACCATCCCCTGCCTTTTTCTGGTACAAGTGTCTAATCTTTTAAGGCTAATTTACTTGTTTTTGTATTATTTGAAAATTTAGAAGAATTTTGGTTTTCTAAATTGTTGTACACAAGAGTGCTGTTTTGGTGAGGTATGGTTGTCAACCTAATCAAGTAAAACAGTCCAGGAGTGAGGACAACACTGCAGATCCGTTCCAAATGATTATTAAGTTAAATTTGAAAGATCCAAGATTTCTAAGATTGTGATACTTTTGATGTCACTGAATCCTTTAATGGTTGTCACAGAATTCTTGAATCTTTGTCACTGAATTCTTGAATTAGTCAACTTTCTGCTGGAAATTTGTGAAACTTGTCTACTCTGACATTCCTTTGGGACAAGATAAATATGTCAGATTAGACAGAATATCCAAATGCACAAGTTTTATTCGACTTTTTGCTGTTTGAAAAGGATTTCAACTAGATGGTGAATTAAACAGAATACTCAGGGGTCTGAATAAAAAGGTTTCACAGCTTATGATATATACAGCTGTATATCTATATTTTTTGTTTATAAATGAGTTTTAAGAAAGAGTGCTTCATTGAATATTTTAATATTGTACTTTTATAATAAGGATATGTGTGTATAATTGATTGATCAGTTGTAATTTCAAATTTTATCTTCTCTTTTTTTTTTTTTTTTTAAATGACCGAGTTTTAAATGTATGGCAGTAATTCCCATGGTGTCAGTAATATTGCTAACATTTGTCCATTTAAGCTGATCTGGTGATACATTGATGTAGACACACCAAGAATTTGTTGGAAAAAAGAAAAATGAGACTTTTAAAAAAGAGGATGATTTGTGAAGGACATGAAAATGAAAGATATTATTTTAAATATTGCTGTGCAGTACCTACATGTATAGAGTACTTTCTCTATCCAGTTCTAAATGTGCAGAATGTTTAAGACCTTATGAAATAACTCAGTGTTATTGATATTTAAATGAGAAATATTCATTTTGGACTGTCTCAACATAATCAACTGTTCATATGTTCAAAGTTCAATTTTTTTTATTTTATTTTTTTTTTAGCCTAGTTTAGATAATATAACTGTAGAGATATGGCGCTATTTGAAATATTTTCTCGACTGGAGAAACCCTGATTTTATTGAGACATCATGACAAAGTAATTTCAAGGTAACAAAAGCTATCATCACACTCCATCGTGACATTTCGTTCTGATCACATCTTAGAGATATGCTTTTAAGTTCTGAAATAGGAGTCTTGTATTCCTTCTGTATTTCTACTCATGAATGTGCTTTATCGGAAATTCAAATGAAACTTTTGCCTATCTATTTCGTGAAATGCCATATCCGTTATTAAACATGTATCATTTTACTGAAATTTATTCTTCAAATACAGTGTAATGTAAAATCACATTCTTTGCAACATGATTGTCATTCTTATGATGTGTATATTGAAAATTATTTAATTCCTGGATTTTTTTTGATTTTTTTTTCAATTGTACATTAAAAATTACATATATATATTCAAGACCAAAGTCTGATGTTCAATGTTGGCATGTATTATGGTTATCACAACTTTAGGGTACCCAAGTGTTAATTATTTATTAATTAATATAATTAATTAATTATTTGGAACTTAAGGATGTATGCTACATTAAAAATCATTTATATCTCCTTCCAAAAAGAGTTCTACACCAAGAATTAAGAGAGATAACTTTTACTTTACTGGGTAAACGGTCATGTTGGGTTAAAGTAAAAGTAATAGTTTCACTTAATTGAGATATGTATTAGGTTAGAACAAGTAGGACTTGTTAAAATATAACAGATTGTACAAACTTTCTACCGACCCAGATTGAAATCTATAAATTGGTTGTAGTATTTTCTAATAATCATGATTATCACTGTGCCACTTGTTGTTTAGTTTTGTGACAAATTACAGTATGACACAGGAATCTATTATATCTTTATGACATTTTCTTTTGCTGTAGATTTTCGTAGATTTATTCCATGTTTGTACAGGTAACCAAAAACAACAAAAAGACAAAAAAAATCTTCATTTTTAAATCACCATGATATTGTATGTTGGTAGTGATAACTGGGTAATCTTTATTCTTATTAAAACCAATAGATAAAATATTTGGTTTTCCTTTGGCAATCAACAGCCTCCAGATATGATTTGTATGTTGTTCTTTTGACCAGTTTACCATGAAAATTCATTTGTCCCATACTTCTGTTTGTGTAGACAATATTATTTTTCTCCATTCTCACATGGGTAGTGAAACAGCTTCATTTGTCAAGTTTCAATAGATGGAAATTCTGCAGTGATGAAGTTGTATAAAAATATGTTCTTGAATTTTTTTATTGATATAGATGAAAAATTAGGTGATCTGTACTTTTTGCATATTTTGTGGTGATTACTTACTGAAAGAAAATGGAAGACTGTAAGGTGGTGAACATTGGATATCAATCCAGGTATCTGTTACTTGTGCCAAATTTATAGATTTCGTGGTCTGTGAACAAGAATGTGGAAAGATATTCTAGTTCTATATACAAGTACATGTTATGTCTTTTAATTCTACAGGTCAGTTCAGCTTATGTTATAAGTGTACTGTTTCTATTTTCTATGAAAACTTTTTTACAGAAATGTTTGAAAGAGTATATTTGGGCGCAATGCAAATACATGTTCGACCAGCATGGCTGTAAAACTTGCTTCTAAAGGTTTTCTGTTAAATTTTCTTACTATTTATAGAGCCAAATTTTCAGAGTGGCATTACCTCTTTCTCCCTTTTACTCCTGGTAAGCCCAGAAGCTAGTGGAAAGGAGATCATATTAACACTGGGCTTTCCTCTCTCTCTAAAACTTATGCAGTGAATTGTTATTTTCCTCATACATCACTTTGTTTGTTGTTGAACAAAATCAGCTTTGTTATTTATTGCATGATGATAGATTTTAGATATAGTTTTATTATATTATTTACTACAATTTAAGACAAATGTTTTTTTTTTTTTTGTTTTTCCTTGAAAGTTAAATCATAACAAAATATGCCAATATCCCATTTTCATGTTACCTTGACCATTTGTTCCTATGAACTGAAAAATTCCCAATAGGGTATTTAACATATCATTGTTCATAATTGTCATATGAAATCTGCAGTTAAGATCATATCTACCATAAAAAATTTCAAAAGATTTAAAATTAGACACGTTTCAAAATGAAAAAAATTATATATATTGGTACTGTAGGTATTTTCACAAAAGATATTTATTTATAATTATTGCAAACCCTTTAAAGAATATTTTCTGTACGATAAAAAATGTAGTTGACAACATTTTCAAAACTATTCAAATTCATGATAAAGTTGGCATTTGTCAAGATTCAAATTGATTAGACACAATATGAAAATTTTATTTTTTTGTGAAATGACACAAAAGTATATTAATCATTGGATTTAACATTAAACTGCAGACATTTTGACTTTAAGTTGTAGAACATCTGTGATATGTTGTGTTTCTATATGCGAGTTTGATTATATTTGAAATGAGAGTTGAAGCAGGCTACTCGATTCACACGATTACATCACTTATTTTGTGACATTTTTTAAAATCTAATTTAACAAGGCGTTACTAAGTACCTTGAAGTGTAAACATTGGAAGTTCTCAATCAACAAAACTATTTTTTTCCTTTAGATTTCCTCCCTGATATTTCCAAAATCGTGAGCTTTATAAAAACTAAATCCATAACATTTCCCCATTTTTATCAAGAAAATGAATAGTTTAGTTTTTAGTATCACATATTTTGAATTTTGTGGTTAAATTTGTATATCTATTACTGTATGGCAAGACATTTCCCAGTAGTGGAATTTTTGACAGTAATTTCCTTCATCTGCTGAAGGACCAAATGCCTTCAGTAATGAATGTAAAACCAGTTCAATGAAAATTTATTTAAGAAAATTCTGTATATAGGCAAATGAGAAGTTTAGCACTGTAAAAAATTTCACCAGTTTTCATTTTCATCAGATTTTTATTTCAATTTATGTATATCAGATATGTCGTTATAAACAAAGCTGTCTCCAAAGATATGGAGTATCATATGAACATAGATAAACTTGTCAAGGTTGTATGATATTTTTGACTGCTGAAAATATAAACACATTAAGTTATGTCAATCTTGATAACTTGGATGTACTGCAGCAGTCAAAGATATCTTGATATGTTGGGAATGTCTTCAAATATCATAGGCTAGAATATTAGATTACTATAACTGTATATGCATGTATATTTAAAAAAAACTCCATGTAAACTTTGATGAATCACCTGTAGTTGTAATAGTATAGCTAGTATAGCCCTAGTTATAATGGAAAACAACTAGATATAGCTGAGGTGCTTTCAACGGTAGAATCCAGAAGATATTAGAAGAAATTTAAATTGCACTGTAATATTCTAGATACACATGTTAGAACAGCACTAACTATCTTAGTTATTTTGAAATATTCCTACATACTAAAAAGACTTCGTATTTTCCAAATGGAATGAAAATGCAGTTGTATATGTATGTTTGTATGTATGCATGTGTAAATTTGCTATCATGGGACATTTCATGATGTCCTTGTTTTGTTTGTCTCATTGATGTGTTGGATCACTGTAGAGTTGTATGAGGGTCTGTAAGGGGGAGAGAGTAAATATTGTACAGTTTAATCTCTATTCGATGACCACTTTCAGAAAAGCTATCTCCCTTGGAAGGTGGATTCTCAGAAAAGGTCCAATTAACACTATATTGCAACAGGGAATTTTAAAGTGGTCCTTAAACTTATGTGGTCTCCTAACGTAGGTGGTCTCTTAACACAGGTGCCTCCTAACACTGGTAGTCTCTTTAACACAGGTGGTCTCGAGAGCAGGTTTGACTGTACTTGTTGATTATTTATTACTAAGCTCAAGCTCAGGTGAAAAAAATTATGTGAATTGAGCTATAGACAGATTTTAGGCACTGAACTTTTACTGTTGATGACAAGTGTCTGTGCCTACAATTAATTTTTTGCTTTTCATTCTATAAATAGAATAATTGAGAATTTTTGATCATCAAAGACATCAATATGCTATTTATGTCAATTTGTAACAAAAAAAGAAAGTTTATAAAACAAAATAAAAATATTTCCAGAAAAGAAATGTGTTTGTGTTGTTCGTGATACTATTATATTTTCTGTTGTCACAGACATCATTTTAGTTGACTTTCAGAAAAAGGGGAAATAGAGTCTCGTATAAGATACTGTGTAATTAGATTTCCCCTCACACTTACATCTTTTAACCTTATTCCAGAGTAAAACTTTGAAAATATTCAGTTACCAGGTATCCAATTGAATAGATCTGTTTAGGCTTATGTATACTATTCCATCGAATTTGCTGGAGGTCTTGTGTCTACGATACAAATATATTATCATTATTATTATTATATATTATACCAAGACAAAGACTTCAAAAGACACAAAAGAGAATAGTGCCTTTCAATTCAATACAAATCTAGAATTGGATAAAGCCAAATGATTAATTCAACTGCATCATACTATGATAATGAGGACCTAAATTTTGAAACCTTGACAGTGACTGAGGAAAATAGAATACAGAAACAAATGTTAAAGTGTAGCTGGGCAGATGCACTAGCCCCAAGATTCCATACATATCATACTTTGAACTAGTTTCAAATACAGCAACAAAAATTCTTGTCAACATTATCACAATACAATGACAAGTATTGACGTACCTGTACAATTATGAGGCGGAAAATAAAAATTACACAGAAACTATCTTGTGGTGGCAGGTAAGAAGGTTCATGATTCACCACCAACCCACTCAATTCAGCATGTCTCCCTCCGACTGTAAACAAGTTCTGATAAACTGTTAGACAACAAAACAAGAAAAAGATTTTAATCACTTACTTTTTATTTTGTATTTTTATTTTTCAAAAAATATATTCAAAAACGAAACAAAAATTTTAAAACCTTAGCAATTAATTAATGTTAGTAAAAAATTCCTTTTCAGGAACACCTGGGCAGCATTGAAGGAATGATTTAGTCAACATTATCAAAGCAATTCTCATAGAGCATACAGCATTGTCAGCAGCCCAACCTAAACTGGGGTTGAACACAATAGCAAACAACAGCTGGTTAAGTCAGCGGGCGACTCTGAACCAAGGTAGAGCATTAGAGCTAACATACACCGACTAATTCTGTCAACAAACAAACCTAAACCAGGATACAACAAGGTCACATACACCAGTAATTTCTGTCAGCAGCCAAACCCAAACCGTATACGATATGGTAATCTATGCCAGTTCTGTCAGCAGTCAAACCCAAACCAGGGTACGATATGGTAATCTATACCAGTTAGTTCTATCAGCAGTCAAACCCAAACCAGGGTACGATATGGTAATCTATGCCAGTTAGTTCTGTCAGCAGCTGAAACAGAACCAGGGTACGATATGGTAATCTATGCCAGTTAGTTCTGTCAGCAGCTGAAACAGAACCAGGGTACGATATAGTTATCTATGCCAGTTAGTTCTGTCAGCAGCCAAACCCAAAGCAGGGTGCTATATGGTAATCTTTGCCAGCTAGTTCTGTCAGCAGCCAAACCCAAACCAGGGTACAATATGGTAATCTATGCCAGTTAGTTGTCAGCAGCCAAACCCAAACCAGGGTACAATATGGTAATTTATACCAGTTAGTTCTGTCAGCAGTCATACCCAAACCAGGGTACGATATGGTAATCTATGCCAGTTAGTTCTGTCAGCAGCCAAACCCAAACCGGGGTACGATATGGTAATCTATGCCAGTTAGTTCTGTCAGCAGCTGAAACAGAACCAGGGTACGATATGGTAATCTATGCCAGTTAGTTCTGTTAGCAGCTGAAACAGAACCAGGGTATAACATGGTAATATATGTCAGCTGGTTCTGTCTGCAGCTGTTACCAAACCAGAGTATAACATGGTAACACATGCCAGCTGTTTGTGACAACAGCTGTACCTGAACCAGATTTAGAGCATATGATAACCCTTGTCAACAAGTCTGTGTGTAGCAATTAAATGTAAAACCTTGCTATGAAGTAGATAAAGGAAATTATTTCTTGGCTGAATAATTTCAGATTTTGTTTACGATAGATTTCATGTAACACCCTCAGAGAAAAATGTCTTCACTTGTGCAGCACTTGCTTTTCCAACGACAGCCGCAAGTTCCTGAAGGAAAAAAGGAAAACTTCTCAATGTGTTTTCTATATGAAAATTTCAATATCAGAAAAAGTTTGCCTATACAATGATAAACATCATATTTATATATATTCATATGAGGATGGGTGACAATAGAGACACCTAAAGTGGAAAATATAGCTAAGGAAAAAAAATAGGAGCAGAAAGGAAAAGATCTAGCTAGGGAAAGTTGCAATGGGGGCTTCAGATCCAACTGTTGGTCTCTTCAACTTCAATATTTATAGAAGACACAAAAATATGATGTTAAGTGTGATTGCTAAGCACACCTACAAAATACATATTTTTTTTTAATTCTGCATGGCCTAAAAGAAATTCCTGTTACTCTGATATATATATATAGAAACTTTGACCATTAACAACAGTGGTAGACTCATTAACCTTACCTCTACAGATGCCACAGAAATATTCTGAATATCTACAACAGATAAGAAATATCTAATGTTCAGAACAGATATCATTCTAATCATCAACACTGCAAAGTGATTCAGGTAGTTGATTGGATTTACATTTTGATAAGAAATAAAAGTACATTAGTAAAAACCGAGTTTTCAGTAACAATAAAAACATTCACCTACAGAATTAATTTGGCTAAATTTTAACAATCAGGCAGTAATATGTAATAATAAATCTATTGTGAAACGAAAAAAAGTCAGATCACATATAATTTGTTCAGAACATTCACTGAAAACTCTTCTTCATATAATACATACCAAGGGTAATTCTTATTTTCATATACATTGTATTTCCACTTCATCCAAGATTTTGTTAAACACATTTAAATGATATGAAAAAACATTCCATATGATAAAGAATAACCCTGTTAATATTATCACATGACACTGTCCTGTAATAAGCCCATCCCCAGCGATGCATCCGAGATCACATGTTGCCCCCCTCCACCTTCCCTGGACTTGCTACAGAATAAATATAATCTGATATCTAATACCTCTATAATTTATTTCTTACTTACTTTTAAATGTTTGAAGTAATAGTTTAGCCTTGACTTCTCCAAGCTTGGGAACACACTGCAGGGTAGTAAGGATCGCAGGATCAAGATGGACATTCTTTTTCTTCTTACAGAAGGGGTTTAGTTCTGCAGATTTCCCTTCATTGTGAACCTTTAAGCATAATAATGAACTACTGGTAAATTAGGAATAATCATCACAGGCCATGTGTTCTCTGTGAAAAGTGAGGACCAAACAATCGTTTAAAAAAATTTAGTAAGAAAACATCTGCTTACATTAATTTTCTTTTAATGAATGAGCTCTCTCTGACTGGCAACTGGCAGCACCGAAATTCACTATTTATATAAACAGGCAATTAAGTTTTCTCTGATTTATCATCAGTACATGTATAAGCAGAATAGCAGCTTTTCTCCGATTTTCTGTTCATGTGAAAATTCTATCAGAATGTCTCTGATTTAATTACTATTCAAAGAAGGAGAGTTGCAGCCTGTCTTTGACTTACCATTTGTATAAGCAGACTAGCAGCCTCTCTCTGACTGGGAACTGGAAGAAGTGAGAAGCCAAGCTCCAGCATACAAAAGTTCTGTAGTGGAGAGTAGTACTGTTGACTGGTCGAGGTCCTCTCAGCCATCACTAGAACACAGATTTTGTTGGCCTACCAAAAAAAATTAAATTTTTCAGCAACAACTAACATCTTTACTGTATATAGATGGTAATTTTCACAGGTGAAAATTTTCACAATTATCTTTTAAAATGAATGAATTATATTTTAACTACGGTAACTAAAATTTTGCAACGTAATACACACTTGCCTCATCATTTCACAGATTGAATTTTAATGTTAAAGTTAATGTACTGCAAGATATCAAAATATCTGCAGTATAATGACTTACAATGCCATGCCTGTTCAGTTCATTGATAATTGTTAAGAATGTACATGTAGTAGGCCAACCTTTCTAAGTTTGGCTAATTTCCTTTTATAGGTACCACAGGTAATAAGATCGGCCTCTGGTAGGTAAACCACACCCAAGTTTCCAGTTGGGTAAAAATCAATCAAGCCTAGACCATCTTCATATAAAACTTGCACACCTCCTACAAAAATTCAATAAGCAGTTTCTTAGTGTACATTTTTTTTCAAATCCTTTTAAAAAACAAAATGTGTCATTGTATATAATTTGTCATTATAACAAAGGAATCAAAATGTAAGTAAATTAGAACTGAAACCAAAAATTTCATTTTCACTTTCTGAGCAAAAGTATTGTTTTTAACTACCATAATCATTGTTTCAAATACATTTGATAATATTTTGTCTACTTGGCAAAAAGACACTACTCACTGGACTATGGATTATGTATTCAAAGGAAAAGGCTTAAGCATGGACTTTGGGGTGGATGAAGCAGGTAATAGAAGTTAATTGCTTGACCAGAGAATCAGTCTATACAAGTTTGGATTTTAAAAGCTGTTTTTGGCCCCGTTGCAATTTCGCATTCCTGTTATACATGTATCTGAGTTGGTTAAATAATTCTACAATAATAATTATTTATAACTATTCTTATTAACTCCTTTATTACGCCATTTTAGTAGTATTTTGTCACATTAATACGGTGCTCAGCACTGAGCTAATGTTGGTTGTACTCCTGTAACATAAGAGGCCGCTGGTCGCCCGTTTTATTAGCGCATTATTGCGCCGACTGTTACACGGCGCCTGTCATAAATATCTCGCCGTATAAAAACTCTAACATTGTTGGAGTAATGTTGATTGTTGACCTTTCCAGTGTCTGTTTATGTGTTCCTACAGTTCCATTTCTAAATCAATATTATATTATTTATTGTTGTCCCGTTCACTCATTTGTTTCAATTCCTATATTTACCTTGGAGAATAGCAGACAGATCAGATCCTCGCCATTTCCCACAAATCACTATATGACCAACAGGCACCTTGAACGTTTGTTTGACAGAGGTTTGACTTGCCATCCTTACATTTGGATTCCCCGCCTCTACTGGAAAGCTCTGTTAAGAACGACAACTCCTACGTGACTAGTTAATTTTCATAGTAATGTACACAAATAGAGTGCAGTAAGATAATATACTGGTGGTGACATGGAAAAGTAACTGCTGGAGGTTTTTGTCTTTTTATTGCATAATGTGAAAGTTAAAAAAATTCCAAGCCCAGAAGCTATGTACAAGGTAAGATCGCTCTGGTAGGTTGTGCTTCACAGCCAGGTTACTTTAACATTTTCACTGCCGATCTTTCAATTAAATTGTTTATCGCATGTTGATCTTTTTTCAAATTTGCCTCGAAATATCACGATATAAATTTGATAATCCTACTATAATTTACTAGTACCCCTTAAGTTGATCATGCTTTGATGATGTACCTGGTAACCAAAATACCATCAATATCTTATGAACGTTTTATTTTTAACCGAATCCCACTAAACAAATTAAGCGGTACCTTGATCCTGATTACAACATATGTAGTTATGCAAGCGCTAAGATACAAAGGACACCATGACAACTGAAAAGTCAACAGTGGCAATATGCCGGTAACAACGAATGGAGTTGACGTGGAAAGAAGAATCTGAAGGTGTCGACAGCCAGATGAATGGTTCCGACCACTTGGTGCCTTCATCTGTCACATCTAGGTTTGATTCAACTGGAACAAAGTTGATTTGGAAGAAGGTTAGCTGAAAATATGTCATGACATTAGACTTGAAGAGTTGAATTGAACGATTTTTCAAAACTGAACATTTTATTCATTGATAATTTTCCATTCAACGAACATTATTTTGTTTCTGATAGCAAATTGGCAGTATTACAAGAAGGGGATCATTGAAATACCTCCGATTAATTTCTAGATTTCTTAAGCGGGTACAAGATCTAAGCATTGACCAGACTAATGTGTTGTGCTAAAACCCAAGTAATAGGATCGGAAATAAGTTCTTTCAACAATAAAAATGATACTGAATAATGACACCAGTTTACCTTATTTCAGTCAAAAAAACGATAAACGACGTTAAACATGTGTAATTGTATGTATCTTCCCGTTGATTTCAGCCTCAAAGACACCATTTTTTGGATGATATCGTGTCCTCATATGTACCTTGTGATGACAATGAATTCGACCTGTTTATCGGTTGTGAAGAAGGACTCTTCCACGTGAGTCAACATGCTGACGAAACTGAATCTTATGTCAAATGGAAATGCATTGCTAAACGTGAGGATTCGTTTTACCAAGAATTCTTGCGGAACAAGCACAAAGAAGAATGTCTCGCAGCCCTGGGAGTTGGAAAAGTCACCGAGGAAATGCCAACAAATATCCAGAAAAAGATTTATGAATTGGTAATATATTTCCTGATTTTGGCTTTTAGAAACTTTCGTTGATGGAGAAGCAACCATACGTGCCGGACAGAATTTGGTCAACTCAGTAAATTGGATTACTTCTTTATTATAATAGCAAACAATCCATAATACCAGTGGGAAGTCCATGGTCTTAACATATAGGTATATTATATATATATTGTCAATCAGACGACCACCGTCGGTGTCCCCCACCCCTTGCGGATGCAGTTTGCTACTAACACTGTATTTATATGAGGGAGTTGAAGAGTCCTTGAAAACTGAGATGCAAGTCTTGAGTTTCATAATTTTTCTTTCTTTTCTTTTCTTTTTAACCCTCATTCCGTACATTTCTATTTCAAAATATTTTATTGTCAATACATATACATTACAATAATTGAATTTACAAAAGAAAGTACAGTTTACATGTATTAACAAAAGGAATTGGACAATAGGCTTCAGGCTTATAGCCTATATAAGTATTTTCCTACAATTTACAAGTTACCGGAACTGTTTATTTTATTTTAGAGTATAATATGAATTAAGGACGGAAGCTGAGAAGAATAATGAGCATAAATATGGAAATAAAACACATTCTCACTCACTCTCATACATGTACTATAAATGAAATTCAGTTAGAACTTGCAATGATATTTTATTTGAGATTTACAAATCCTTTAGTTTTTTTAAGATAGTAGCTAGTATTCTCAAGTATAATTCTATTCACCTGGTCAGTCATACCAATGAAAACATAACATAAAACTTGAAGATTCACAAACCCGAGAAGATTATAAATAGTGATAATGTGATGCCTGTAATTAACATGAAGGGGACATTGGAAGAAGTAATGTACTGAGTTCTCTGTAGCAGCACCACATGCACAAGAACCATCATCAACCAAATGATCCATGAATTTATCAAAATTTAGAGCACTAGCACTGTTTCGTAACTGACAAAGAATAATATTTAGATTTCTAGGGACACAATTTATGAAAATATCAGAAACTATAAACGTACATACAGTTTTTAGTTTTGATTTGAAGCTAGAGATTGAAATAGAGTTTTAATAGTATCATCAAGAGAGTTCCAACTATTCATAGTGTAAGGGAAAAAACTTATTATAATTGTTAGTCCTGGTAGAAGGTACATTGAAGAATCTTTCATGTCTAAATGCATAATTCTTGTTTGTATTTATGGAAGGTTGAAGGATATTAAAAAAATACTAGGGTGCATAATTATTGATAATCTTGAACATTAGTGTAAGCTTGTGATTATGTCTTCTAGTTTGTAATGTTTCTAAATGTGTTTCAGAGTAAAAATTTCTGTGTGATGTACCCCTTGTGCCCAGTTATAATTATCATAGCTTCAATTTGAATAGATTCTAATAAATCATTTTCAGCTTTTGAGCAGTTATCCCGAATTATATCTATATCAAACTACATATAGGCCCAAGGACAGATCCTTGTGGAACACCAGCAGATATTGGTTTAGTGTTAGATTTATTGCCATCAATTAGTACCCTTTGTTTTCTGTCAGATAAGTAGGCTTTTTAACCAATCAAATAGTTTTCCTTTAATGCCATACTGTTATAGTTTATATAAGAGACCTAAATGCCATACCCGGTCAAATGCCTTACTTATATCACAAATCTCAGATCCTTACCTTTATCTTAATTAGAACTAATAGTTTTATATATAGCTACAAGTTGATTAACTGTTGAATCTTTAGGTTGAAATCCAGACTGGTGCTCACTAAGCATATTTTGGCTCATGATATAATTATATGTATATTTAAAAATAATTTTTTCCATGATTTTGATAAAAGTACATGTTATAGCAATAGGTCTGTAATTATTGAGGTCATTGGTTTCGCCTTTACCTTTATAAAGAGCATTAACATTAGCTGTTTTTAAAATATCTGGAATTTCACCTAGAGATAGAGTTCTGTTAAATAATAGTTTGAGAGGATATGTTAAAGAGGGAGTAAGGTGTTTGATTATTCGAGGTAAAATATCATGTGGACCAGCAAGTTTGTTAGCATTTAGAAAATTAAATTGATCTTTAATATCTTGATCAGTTATTGTTATATCAGAAAGTTCAAAAGGACATAAGGGAGGTAACTCAGGGAGATTAGAATTGGTAATGTCAGAAGCTATTGAGGTAAAGAAGTTATTAAAGGCCTCAGCTTTTTCTAGTGGTAGTATTTTGTTGTTAATCTTAAGTGGACATGAGGTAGAGTTAGTATTGTTAATTTTAGCAAGTAAGTGAACGTACCTGGTACATTCAAGTTAAGTAGTGAAAGATCGTCATAATAATGCCTGTTATTGGTGTTGGTTGATGATGGTCCAGGATTGGCATGGACATTACCTGAGATTAGTATAAAAGACTGTTAACACGAAGAATAAATTCAATATTGAAAAGACAACAAGGTAAAAAAATGGCATTACATAAGTTTTGATTGTAAGCTCCAACACAGCATTCAGATGATAAGCACATTTATTATTATTTATTTATTAAGTTATTTAAAGCCATGGGTTAACCTTAGTCGTTCCATTAAGGATAAAGTTATTTAAAGCCATGGGTTAACCTTAGTCGTTCCATTAAGGATAAAGTTATTTAAAGCCATGGGTTAACCTTAGTCGTTCCATTAAGGATAAAGTTATTTAAAGCCATGGGTTAACCTTAGTCGTTCCATTAATGATTGCCCTATTTGCTTCCGTAGGAGATAGAACGCGAAAATAACATACAACATTTAGGTAATAATATTATTATTCCCAAGTCTAGTCGTAATTAAAGTGTCATCAGCATTTAATCCCAAGGGTATTTTTCAGTCGGAGACGAGATGAATTGTCAATCAGAATTTTTAGTTCAGTTTCAAACAATCTTATTGACGTATGTCCATTTATATGCATTTGATAAGATGATTAGACACCATACATCAAGTATAACATTTTTGCCTCTAAAACATGTTGCTAGGGTGAGAAAGTGGTTAGAAGACCTAAGCTTCTTACCTCCCCTTAACTTCCATGATCCCCATCCTCTCGCCTCCCGGGAAGCCTAAAATTGTATTCTCAGTACTAAGATATGTCTGTTACTGTTGAAGATGAGGCCAGAAACATCCGCTGATGCGATTCAAGCAACATCGCCTATGCTCGAGTCTGGGTCTCAGACTAAATGGTGTGGCCTTAGAACCCAAACCACGGCTTCACAGACAATACAACAAACCGCAGACCGGAGTGTTCAAGCCAAGCCAACAACCATAGAGTCTGGAACTTGTACGTCGCTGACGGACTCCGGGATACAGATGACCCCTGAAACTGACCAAGATACTTCACTTTCTAGCCAAAATGATCAGCGAGTCACACTTCAGGTAAGTTTTACTCGGCCCTTTGGCTTAAGAAAACACGGACTAAGTCTAGGGTTTCTTTTTGTCGATTATCATTGCAAGACTCTATTCGACATACACCGCGTCGAGTTGAACATTAGTAAGTCCCAATGTATTGATATCTTAACAGAATTTTGATTTTCAAAACAAATATTTTGTAGCCTTTCAAGGAATTAACAAATGGAAGGTTCTTCATTTTGCTGTTAGAAACCCACCAAAGTGAAAGTTTCTATCTGTCAATAACTTATTCACTTTGTTTCTGAAATGAATAATGGAATTCCCGACACCTGAAAATTAAGAGCGATAATCAAAATAAAACAGATAGATTAAGATCGTCTCCATAGTGTATACTATAAAAAGCTACGTAGAAATCATATCAACATTTTTCACAGGTACATATACCAGCGTCTCGATGGAACGGAAATGGTGGTGAACCGGTCACTATTACATTCGATGGTGTTACCTCAATTCTTAGCAAGAAACAATCTAACAGCATCGAGAGAATTTTAAGACGGACTTTGAAAAACATAGTAACCATCGAAAGGTATGCGAATTACAATAAGACTGCTAATGTGTGAAATAAGACAAGAATCACCGACGAATTTCGGTTATAACAACAATACATGACTCATTATTTCCAGATATGAATGATTAAATACTGCGTTTATTTATGTTTTCAAACTGTCAAGGGGACTTTTTCCATTATCATCAAATTTTACACACGGCTTGAAAATGTCTCTGTAATAGATGAAGTGTAAATGAATTTACCCGTATCCTTTCTGTGTCTTTAAATTTCTATACCGTGGTTAGTTTAATATGACCGGATGGGATGTCCTCTTGGGTATACTTCAGTGTGGAAGTATTATAGAGTCGACTTCAGTTCCGCACTATCACAAAGAGGCTGAGACAAACCAGTCGCAGTATCCCACAAACACTGCATTCACTTTACATACATAGGGAAGCCGTTCTTACAAGACCCTAGCTGTTGAGGGGACGTTAAACGATATGAAACTAAAACCTTACTAATTCATTCCGATATTCAGCGGTAATTAATTTCTGATATAAACAAAAATACTACACATTACATTTTTCATTTTTTTTGTTTTTGTATTTTAGTGGCTACGCTATAGATGCTAACCTAATGCTTTGTACCAAGGAGGTTGGATCGAATGAGTTTGGAAGCGGCGATCTGAAGGCGATGTGGCACGGCGCGGAGCCAAAAGTTGGCAATGTTGTCTGGAATCATTGCGAATCCTTAAAGAAACCTGTCATATCTAGTACTGAGCAAATGTCAGCGGGAGAAGGAGTTGTCAGGTAGAACGTGAATGAAAAGGTTGTTTTCTGGGATTAATTTGAGATATATAACTTTGCCCATAGTTAAGCAAGGATCACGAAACTGCCCTTTGTTAACATTTTTTTTGTACGGAGCATAACTTTGCCTGTATTTAAGCTAAGATAACTTGTTGTATGCATTGGTCATGCTATGAAAATGTGCAGAGTACCAAATTCAGGGCCCACAACCACTTAATTAGAGTTATTGTCCTTTGTTAATATGTCATGTCTAGAGCACAACATTAAGTTGCTTGCAGTGAAACTAGGATAATAAATTTGCTGGATACATTGATCATGCTTAGACGATGTGCAGCGTTTCAAATTACGGGACCACAACCTCTCAGTATTAGAGTTATCGACCTTTGTTAAAAATTCTTGTCCAGAGCATAACTGACCACATCTAAGCAAGGACCATGACTGAAACTTAGTGTATACATTGATCATAAAAAGACAATGTGCAGTGTACCAATGTAAGGGCTCGCAACCCCTTAATTACAAAGTTATTGCCCTTTGTTAAGATTTTATGTCATGAGCATTACTTTGACTGCATGTATATAAATACACAAAATCAAGATGTAGTGTAGCAAAATCAAGGCCCAATACCCCACAGTTACAGAGTTATTGCCCTTTGTTAAAATAATTGACATGAGCATAGCTTTGCTTGCATTAAACCTAGGATCATGAAACTTGGTGTATACATTGGTCATACTAAAAGAGTGTACAGTATTCGAAATTTAGGGCCCACAACCTCTTAATTACAGAACCTCTTAATTACAGAATTATTATCTTTATTAAACTTTTTTGTCCAATGAAGTCGTTTTAGGGGAGCATTTATCAGTTTCGCTAGGGGAGCATTCATCAGTTTCGCTGATGCTCTTGTATTTTAAACAGAACTTTTCACACCACATTCCATACCACAAACTAGTATCAATAGCAAAGACAATATATTTTGAGAAAATAATATTTTGTCGTCCGTCGTCCCTCCGTCCTTAAACAGCTATCACTATTTCTTGAGATCTTTCAGATTTTATAAGTAAGTTTCCGTTGGCCCCTACACGTAGTCGTGTCCTCTGGTTTTTCAGACAGATAAAACAATACGGCTGACAGGCGACTATCTAAATTTTGACAATGATTTTTTTCTTATATTTCATATCTAGTTTTCCTTTCATACATAGTTCTGTACCTGAGGGTTTTTGACTGGTCAGTGAAACAAGGTGGCTGATAGATGACTATCATGGATTCTGACAGTGAAAATTTGTTATCATCATTTCTCAAGATCTTGAGGAAGAACTTGATGATCCTTTTCAAAGTTCAAATCTAGCTTTCTCTTGGTCCCTAGTCGTGTCTAAATGATAGTAGAACTGTTCAGAAAAGCAGCAAACAGTCGACCATCTCAGAATCTGACAATGACAATTTGTTATCTCTGTAGAAGGACTCGGTGGATTAAATGTAGGTTTTTTTATTTATTTAGAGCAAATAAATGGAAAGAAGAGAAAAGAACGAAAAAATGTCCAACTCTTAAAAGAACAAATTAAGATCAAACAATGTTGGGAGTGATGATCTCTCTGGGATCGTTTGTTTCTATACATTACTTTTCGTTTTTGTAGATACCATGCAGAGTTACCCGTTTATAAACACAACGAGAAATATTTATCGAGATCGTCCCCGTTTGGCAGATTTGGATACAACATAATCGGGAGTATACCCCCGACACTGAAACATATCAGAATTCCGATAGTTTGCAAAAATGACATTACCTTCCAGAAAGGCAGGAACGGCTCTGAGGTCCTCGGCAGTGGAAGTTTTGGAAGTGTTTACCTCGCCAAACACGAGCAATACCAGTTCGATGTTTGTGTGAAGGAATTCGAAATGGATTCCTGCACAATTTATGACATCCACCACGAGGCAAAACTTTTGCTTTATCTGCAGACGACAAAGTTTGTACCGATCTGTCTTGGTTTAATGGAGTCGCCTTTTGTATCCAGTGACTTCTCTCTTGTCCAAGAGTGCTTTGCGCATGGCTGTACTCTTCGAATGTTGCTGAAGAACCCACCCCTGGTATTTGTCAAGAAGAAGTGGATAGCAATTTGTTACCAGCTGTTCTGGGGCCTCAAAGTGATTCACGAAAAACAGGTGCTTTTGAATGACATCAAAAGTGATAACATTCTGGTGGATTATGACTCAAATGATATTATGAGCAACATCAGGTGAGGACTTTTGTATATGTGTAACTTTCAACTTCAGAACCAAACTAATATTGATATATCGGTCGTAGTTCCGTTTCTACACCGCGAGCTTTGTTTCATGACGACAACCATTTTCGTTCGGTTTCGGCTTATGTCCAATTGCCAAACTTTACTGTCCTCTTTAAATGTCAGCGTGTTATCGTATTGTCTCCCCTTCTTTTTCTGTGTCAGTGTGTCTACCTCCACTGGCTGCTACAAACTGTCTCTTAGTACATGTTCCTCGTGTTGTCTACCCTTCTATTTCTGTGTCAGTGTGTCTACCTCCACTGGCTGCTACAAACTGACTCTTAGTACATGTTCCTCGTGTTGTCTACCCTTCTTTTTCTGTGTCAGTGTGTCTACCTCCACTGGCTGCTACAAACTGACTCTTAGTACATGTTCCTCGTGTTGTCTACCCTTCTATTTCTGTGTCAGTGTGTCTACCTCCACTGGCTGCTACAAACTGTCTCTTAGTACATGTTCCTCCGGTTAAAGTATGAAAGAAAGAAACGGTACATTAAGATGGGACAACATGATTTTAAGAACATGTATTTTATGGCGTTAAGTAATGGGGGTTGAAATAAACATATGAATGAAACTGTTTTTCTGTATTTAGGTTTATTGACCTGGGACTCGCCACGTACAGACGAGGTTATAGATTCTGTAACGAGCCGGCTTATCTGGAACAGTTTGAGAACTACGCTCCGGAAATACGCCAGGGATATCACTCCACGCCAGCCTCGGACCTGTACGCTGTCGGATACATAGTTGACAAGATTTCTGAAGCCTTCCATATCCTGGAGATTGATCCTATTGCCCAGAGTTGTACAGTCGAGGATCCTAATGAACGACTGTCCTGTTATTCTGTTCTAGATAAACTCGAGGACATCATGGAGATCATGTGAAACGGATAGAATATTTTATTCCATCCAGCCTTTGTCGAAACTTGTAGACAATCGGCTGGCTGTGTTGTCGAAACTTGTAGACATTCGGCTGGCTGTGTTGTCGAAACTTGTAGACAATCGGCAGGCTGTGTTGTCGAAACTTGTAGACATTCGGCTGGCTGTGTTGTCGAAACTTGTAGACATTCGGCTGGCTGTGTTGTAGTTCTGCTTGATGAACAGTTGACGATTTTTTTATCATTTTGTCGATAATTCCTCAGAAAGCAATGATATGGTGGTACAAATAAAAAATCAAAATGTTGTTGAAAATCTCATAAAAATGATAAAAGTTTTAATGCACGGATAAGGAAATTCTGATAAAGCAATCTTTACAATCGTTATATTTATATGCATAATATTTTGAGATGATTTTACAAACTGTACAGAGTATTTGATATTTTTTATTTGTATAGATTTCTCGTATTCACTCACAGATTTTAATTTTTAGAAATGCGTGAAATCTATTTTATTTTTGTTTCCATAGTCCATCACTTACCAATATTCAATATGGAAATCTTGCTAGGTTTTAAGAAAGGATAAAATGGTGATTGCCTTGTGAACAGTTCTTTCCTCGATCGTGGCAGACTTAAAATTAGCACGGCTATTTAGTTATTATTTGATAAAATAATTTACAACATAGTTAATGAACTAGCGATCGGGATTTACTGGATAAACTCTTAAAATAACAAAACAATTTTTATTTGATTTTTTTTCCAATGTGATTCATTCAACGAATCCTTTATTACTACTAAGTATTTCACTTGGTGTGATGAACTCTCGGATGTCAAAAATAAATATTTCATCCCTATATATCATGCTAACATTTGTATTTATATAACATGGTGCTGATCATGCAGTTAAGTTAATAAAAAAAAACACAGATTACTCTGTTTTACGTTTTTTTTATGTTTCTTAATTCTTGTACGGTATTATGTTTGATATGAAATTTTAGGTCTGAATTTTCAAGGGTCGGATTTTATTTATAAGTATTGAGTTCCATGTATACATCTAACATGATTATTGTCACAAACAAGTTGACAATCCAAATTAAAATAATATCAATCATTTTCGTTAACAAAGAAAAGAAAATAATTCCAGTAATAAGTAGCTGTGTGGTTTGCACCATGCCATCTAAGTCTCTGTGTCTTTAAATCGATACAGAAATCAAACTACCTGATATTCCATGAAAGATGTAAAAGCACCAAGAAAACGATTGTGTCCCAGGAGTTTCTTCCCTTGCACCACAAAGTTGACGCGTGTCCGAAAAATCAAGTCATTGCAAATAAAGGGAAATGTTAATATATAAGGCTCAATCTTTCAAATGAATAAAACAGCAATATAACTTGACGAAAAAGTGGTCATAGATAACATAGTTTCCGTATTTCTTCGACAAAAAGAGGCAGGTGGCTTACAGCCTCGTTTTCGATGCCGGTACCCCATGTGACTGGAACCCATATTGGATTTCGGACAACATGGCTTCAGTGCAAGTGGAGTTACCTGAGGTAAAATATTGATGTTTTGTAGAACTCTGTTCTCCTCCATTGCAGTGTGAGTGATATTTGTTTGAGTGACTGATATTGGAATATACAACAGTCAAATGGTAGTCGACGAGAAAGCGTAGTTGAACAGGAAACATGCCATGTGGAGCTCGAAACGGATAGAAAGTAAATTTTGTGTCGAATGTTTCCCGTACGGCACAACGTGGGTTGACAAGTATGGAATAAAAAGTAGCCAAACAATAATTTCAGTGACACGATATGAGAACATAATTTCACGGAAATCCCTGCTAAGTCTTATGTATGTTTGTTTATATCACACTCTTTAAAAGTACAACACACATGAATCACCACTGAAAATTGTAGCATTGTCAAGCGATGACGTTCATCTCCTTTACACCCCTCCCACGTTCTACAGTAACCCCCTCACCCTCACACTACATATACCATCTCTTCTATCGGTACTGACGTGGTTTGTTAAATAAATTGATCATGATATTAAGAACAACCCCAATATCCTTTCCTCATTTGGGATCCTGTGTTTAAACCAAAAAGAAGAATATGGCCTGAACTCCCCTCGAAGTCAATGATCCTTTAAAGTTGGACGTATCAATTTACATTATACAAGTGTGCAACTATAGCTCAACAGTGTTCCATATGGCTCATGTACGAGGCAGTAGCCAGTTTGATTGTCAGATGATTTGTTTGGAATCACTCATACATAAAATATCTCATTTCTTGTTTTGTCATAATTTTTTGGAACGTTCCAAGAAGGAATTTACATTGCCATCATATCTACATGTACCTTTCCAATCTTATCAATGGACTCATTTTGTCCGAAAAACATGATAATATGGACATGTTGATTAAAATTATCTAAAAAAAATGCAAGATGCAAGCTTCATCGATGAATATTGATTCATTTAACAACATTTTTCTTTTAAAAGATAACTGTTCATCAATTAAATTAGTAAGGGAATACAGACATTCATTTCTGAATGGTCACTGTTGTAGAATTTCCAAATGATATTGTTTTAACTCTGCACAATTATTACAGAACACTTTGTCCTCTCTCTTGCTCAGAAAAAGTATACCTTAAAAATACTGTTAAAAAAATCAAGATGGTGTTCCCATTCAACTTGATATAGCAGTACATATGTTGAAACAATTCCATACCTCATTTATAGCCACAACCATTAACTCTAGATGAACTAATATGAACCATAAAAGTTAGACTTTAAATACCAGGATTTGTTACATGTACAGTACTACTCAGCTTTCAAGAAAAACATACTGAATATATCTATTTGAATGAAAAGAAAGGGTACAAACATTGTACTCTGTGATTGCACATTACCTACCTGTAAATCTTGGTCACATTGAGCCACCTAGCTGTAGTATCATGTTTGCTTGGTGCCCATATGATCAGGAGCTACTGAAAGATATTGATGCAACCAAGATCAATTGGGTGACCCTTTCAGGTTTTACTGGTGTTGGACTGCAAGATGTGTACCAGGGCTTTTTCCTGCAGCTCTTTAGAACTTAATACTGATTTAATTCAGATGATGGCCAAATTCCCAAAATGTGTTGTTGACTTTTTAAAATTTCCATCCCAGTTGATCAATTTTCTTTTTAAAAAGGAATCTTCGCATTGTAATGTGTAATCTGCTTTTTTACATTCTAGAATATTTAAATGTTACTTTGTTTTCGCTGATGTACATTTGTGTTATTTGATCAGATGACTTTTGTGTGTCTGAGGCTATGATGTCTTGAATAAAATGAAATACTTTTCACAATCGCACCACCATTAGTGATACTTTAAGTTTTCCCAAGTAAATTGCAGAACCCATTTGTTATCTCTCCAATCTAACATAAACGGTTCATTTTTAACATAAATAAACTTGTATGATGCTTTGTGTAGGATTCCCATCCTGGAGAAGAAGAAGCAGCTGCAGAGGAAAACACAACTACTCTTTTGTCACCAGATGCCCTCATCAAACATCCCCTACAAAACAAGTGGGCCCTTTGGTTCTTCAAAAATGACCGCACAAAAGAATGGACAGCAAATTTGAAACTTGTCACCTCCTTCGACACAGTAGAAGATTTTTGGGCGTAAGTCATACAGTGGTGTTTCATTTGAATTGAATTGTTTATATCTTAATTCTGGTGTAAACTGTGTTTACATATCGATGACCTTGTGTCATTAGCCTGAATATAATTTGAATAAGTTTTTTTGAGGGAAGGTAATGTGATTTCAAAATGATTTATTAGATTTTTGTAAGTCACAGTGACATATTTTTAGTAAGCTAATTTGGGTAGACTTCACATTTAGCTTTATATAAAAATGCCAAAAAAAGACCCCAACTTTTAAGATAAAATGTATATTTTTAACATTTGCAGATTATATAACCATGTGCAGAAAGCTAGCAAGCTGCCATCAGGCTGTGATTACTCTTTATTCAAAGTGAGTTTAACTTGGTTACATTATATATACACCATTGGTGATATACAATTTGTATCTTTTGCTTTACTGGAAACAAGAGAAATTCTTTTGATGGAATAACAGTTCAGGAGTTCTTCAAAGAAAAATTTTATTTAGATGTGTTTTTTTTTTAGACTTGTCTTCACTACATAAGGAAGAAAAGAAGAAAGATTAATGTTGTATTGGTCTGTACAGTTAGGACTGCTTGTCTGTTACTGAAAGATTCACAAAAATTGACAAGGTTTTATGATCAAACTCATATTACATTGTATAACCAATGAATTACAAAACTATATAATTGATCAGGATTTGACAAACTGCAATTATCTTATGTAAATGTTATGTGGTGTACATGTTCATAATTTGACCGAAGTCTTCGCATGAAATATACTATTATTGAAAATTTCCTTTAAGCATTGATCAATAATTAATGTTATCAATGAATTAAACTGTTTTGGGATAAGGATTTTCTTTTCCCATTGATGCTAACTTTAAAATATCTGAATAGAAATAATATGTGTGAGGGAATACTTCAGATATAGAAGTAGTTTAACTGTAAAACTTACTCATTAGGATGGTATTCAGCCAATGTGGGAAGATGGTCAAAACAAAGATGGAGGTCGATGGTTAATAAATCTCAACAAACAACAGAGACATACAGATCTGGACAATTTTTGGTTAGAAACGGTGAGTCTGATGAAGGATACATGAATTGTTTTATTGTTCTAATTACCAGTCATAATCATTATTTCTTGATGTGATACATGAAAGGAAATCATGACACTCAAAATTTTGACATTTAAAACAAGATTTTGCTCATTCAAGTCAAAAATGAATTAGTGAAATGTTTCCTCCTTCATTCTGTATGTTACTACAAACTTTCAATTTTTACTCTTTTTTTTTCTCTCTTTTTTTTAAACCATGTACTTCAATTTTTTTACTTTAGCAGTCGCACCATTTTCATCTTTACATTCAGTTGCATACATCTAAAATAAAAGAACTAAAATACATAAATATTGTTACTACCAAACAGGTAAATAATGAAGTCATATGGTATAATAAAGACTCTTAGTGTTATTTCAAATATTATATTGAACACATTCAGGGTTAGAAAAATCCACTTGTCCGCTCGTCTAGACGAGTCAAAGCTACTTGTGAACAAGTGATTTGTTTCAGCTACTTGACCGATGGGGGAGTGAAATTTGTAGTTCTGCCTATTGAATATTCCATAATAAATGACGTTTATCAGCTTAAACACTCTTAAAACTAATTTAAATCCACCGATAGTCGATCAAATACATCGATTAGTATCCTTGTTTACACCATGTGTCAAGACTCGGGCTGATCCAGACTACGCAAAAACCTATTACGTCACCAAAAATGTTGTAAACAAGGTTGTTTTGTGTACTTAGTTACTGTCAAAAAGTCAATGTTCTCACTTGCGTTAACACTGAATTAAATATGAGTAAAACAATAAAAGCAAGTGTTGAGTTCAAACATTAAATATAGAAATTGATAATAAAATTTGTGGGCTCACAAATCCAAAATGTGGTCACTAGCATCAATACCTGAAATGTGCATCAACATTGCAAAATTCATGTTCCCAAACAACTCCCCTTCAGGCCCATGGATTTGATCCAGAACAGTGAAAAAAACCATGATATTCTAGAGAAAAAAAAATATCTGGGAGAAATAAGTGCTCAACATCAATTTGAGAAAAGAGAAGCTCAAGCAAAATTGCTATGTGCTATTAAGCCCTATGGGATGAAGCAATTTTCGGTTGATGCCAAAACACTGAAACAGCAATAAATGACAATTCATTCAAAAACTGTCTTTTTTTTGTATTGGCATAAGTGTTTTAAATATTTTGGAAATAGTGGGAATATTTTGTTTGCCAGATTTTAAGGTAATTTGGTCAAAGATCAAAGATCATCAACACTCTGAAGTAAAACTGCCAATTTACTCCAATCCTCAATGTTTGTTTAGGAATATGCATTTCAAAGTTGTAGGCAATGATACAAATATGATTTTGGACTGTTTCAAGGTCACAGGGTAAAAGGTCAAAAAGACTTTGTATAATTTAATCATTTTTCATATTGCAGAAAACACCATGTTCTTCACCAATGTTTTAAGTGCCACACAGAGGTTATTTAAGGGCATGTCACTTTTGGTTTTAGAGGAAGTTTGATCACTCACAGAAAAATACATGTAAACACTAGGATTTGAATTTTTGCTCCTTGACCTCAGGCGACTTTCATGACACAATTGACCTCTTGTATGGTTTTAAATTTGACACAACAGAATTGAAAGAAAAGAGAGATCTATATCTCAAACATTTTTATTTTACAGCTACTGTGTCTAATAGGCGAGTCATTTGAGGAGTTTAGCGATGATGTCAACGGTGCAGTGGTGAATGTACGAAACAAGGGAGACAAACTCAGTTTGTGGACGAGAGACGCTACACGGCCAGACGCAATCATGAAAATAGGGTATGTAATATCTGAGAACAATCTTAATTCATTGAATATGAAATTGAAACATTTTGACAGATTTTTATGCTCTCGGATCGAAAGATCTGGGGCATATTGTTTTTGTGTTCACTGTTTGTCTGTTGTCAACGCTGACCTCGCCTGTAACTATTGCGTCATATTTGGCATGTGTGTTCCTTTTGACAAGACCTTTCTGATGGTGCCTAAATTTTTGATCACGTGACCTTGCCTGTTACCTTTGACCTACATTTGAAAAATTGTGCATGTAGTTAGCACATACCTTACACAGTACAGGTTTAATGTCCCTCTTCAAAATCTGTTGCATTCATGCAGAGTGTTTCACTTGTTTTTGTGCTGTAACTTAATATTGGTTAGATTCTATGCCCCTCCAATGTGCTGTAGTAACTTGTCTGGAGTTACATATTTTCACCCATCCATTCACTTTAGTGATTAGAAATTTAATTGACTTCAATATTCTAGTTAATATTTAAGTGTAATGGTCATTAAATTTTCTGTGTAGTTAAATTTGGTACTATGCCAATTTACTTATACAATACTGATGCAAAGAGAAAGATGTCAGATAATTTTGTCAGATACTTTAAAACATACAAACATGTAGATTTTACAGAATATCCCAAATTTCCAGTGCCAGTGTATGTTATGAATGTTTTTACTCTGTTCATAATATTTATTGACATCGTCTTACCTGATTTTTAAAGTTTGTCTATGTCTTTATTTTTCAGAAAAAAATTAAAGGACAGTCTAAAAATACCCATCAAAATTGCAATAGGTTTCCAGGTAAGTTTCTTTACCTCTGCATAGACACCAGTTCACTTTCTCCCCTGTAAGGACCTCAAATGAATGATAGGACTATCTTAGATCATCTGGTCTTATATCTGTTCATGTCTTTAAACATTTCCAAAATCTTTTTATGATTTTAGTCCTTAAATATGCTGCATCAGATGTTACACTTGTTAAAAAAAACTTTGAATTTCCATGGCAAATGAAAGGTTTACAATATACCAAGGCAGCTGTTTTTGTAAAACATTTTTTGTTGCAGAAATGAAAAAAAAAAATAGGGATAGTTCAGCATTTGTTTGTTCATACTTTGGATTATAGATGTTATAGATATTGGTATCTTATTACCAGGTCAGCATTCGTTTGTTCATACTTTGTTTTATAGATGTTATAGATGGTGGTATCTTGTTACCAAGCATTATTAGATCCTTTCAACAAATTAGTTTAAATTTGCTTTGATGATTTCATTACATCAAAAATGTTTGAGAGTTTTCGTTATTCTATTTCAGGCACATACAGACACCATGACAAAAACAGGATCCACGGCCCGGGACCGGTTTAGAGTATAACAGTAGGACCTTAGTCACAGAATGATTGGCCTGTTTGTTTGTGTGTGTGCCTGTTGCGAGTAAGTGAGAGAGCAAAACTATTACATTGGATCGCAAGTGACAGCGGGATAAGAAATGGATGTGAAATATGGATCCTGTCTGTCGGTACAAGCCAACCAAACAGACAACAGACTCAGATGGAAGGAATTCTGTCTACATTTTGAGAAGGTTTGCCTCCATCAAGTCATGTCCACATATCCAGGTCTGTTTGGTACAAGTCTGTATTATGTAGAACATTTCTGTCTTGTCTGGTCTCTGATAGTGATGTCTTCAAGAAATGGTAATCTTGCTTTAAAAGCCTTAAGATTCCATCTAGTGGGAGACCCAGTCGGGACATTTGATGAAAGATGTTTTATGTTTTAGTCTAGAATCCATTTGCCAGCAGTCGTAATATGTAGTTGAGCAAGTTGGCATGTGGCGACTAGGAACAAAATCCCAGTTGTCTGACGGTCAGTGTAAAAAATGTTTGTTTTGTGTGGTTATTGATTGAAAATGGTAAGTACCCAGGTTTGACAAAGACATGTTTTGGAAGTTCAGTTGTTTGTAACCTGTAGCATTTCATGATATATTTTGTGTGAATCAAATTTCTTACTGTTGATGCATTTGACACACATTGACCTCAATGTTCAAAGCCAAATGTAATTCATTACTTTGATAAAAAGTTTTATTGGAATGTTTATAAATTCTTGTCAATAAAGAACTTGTAGTGATCATATTTGAATATAGAAAAATTTGATCTCATGCTTGTATAAGATAGATTTCATCATAAGGAGAAACATTATGAATTGGTTTTGAACTCTGAACATGTCTTCGTCGAAGTTGAAGACTTCACCTTGTAGTATGAGTTGGTAAAAATGTCATTTCAAATTGTGTGCTGTTTTAGCTACCCAGCCCACTGTAATGAAAATCTAGAATCCAATTCCAAGTTTTCTAACACCACAATTTACAAGTAGCTATCACCATACATATGACGGCTTTTGTGCAGTTACAGGAATTGTTGCCAGCTTTTTCAATATTTGTAGATATGACCGGAAGTTCAGCTTCATAAAAGAATTTTTTGTTAGATAGATTGCGTATTAATTTAAACAAGACTCTGTTGAATTCTCCCGAAAAGGTTTTTATTTCATTTACACTGGTATCCGACAGTGTTCATAGTTATACAAAAACGGATTAGACAGATCCAGGTTTTGAATAATTCCATGAGAAATCTGTCTTACCTGTTCTTGTAAAAGGAATTATGATGTAAATATATATTTGTTCAACAGATGCATTTTTGTGTGTGTGTATGTGAAGCTCATTGTTTCTTTGCTCGTGAGAATTAATCAGAAAAAAAACTTGATATCACCATGTACTGTATAGCCGGTCATTTTCACTGTCAAAGTTTTCGCAATTTTCTTTCACAACAAATGGATTGTTAACAGGAAATTAAAATTAAGCATTCTAGATGTAAAAGGACATCTAATACATCTGAGTATTTCATGGATGAAATGTTCTTGATCATATATACTGCAAAAAAGCGAAAGTATGTCCATGCGAATATAACCAGCTATATAGTATGTTTCATTGGAAGGCATTAATACAGTTATTTATTCATTTGCCTTTTGTTGTCCCCGCCATTAAATTTCATATGCACATTTCAGTTTGACAGAGGAAGGACTTTTAAGATAATTAATTACTGGAAGAGATTATTCAAAACATAATTCTATTTCCATTAACCTTTGATGATCCTTAGGAATAAACTTTGAGGGAAAAAGTTATTTCTTTTTTACCTAACTTTCTGCTGTACTTTTAGTTTTAGAAAGTTATGTATAATTTAGAAACTATGGCTAGTCCTTCAGGTCAAAGGTTTTAAGTACCTTACTTATGTTGCATGATGAATCTTTAACCAGTACAGTTAAGTCCAGTAAAAACAATCCAGAAATAGGGATTAGAAAGGTACATGGATACAGATTCAGTTTGAAACATTGTTAATATTCTCAGAATGCCTCTCATAATATTATTGCTTGGGTAAGATTTCCAAGTACAGACAAGCAGTTTCATAACTAACTAATGTTGTCTGGGAAATATTGATGTATGATGCCATCTGTCAGGGGAGGCAATCATGGTCAAACAGTATCATGTAAAAGGTTGAGAAAAGAAAGACAAAAGTTGGACTACATGTACAGACAGTTACTATTATAATTCAAACAAGGTACACCTTCTCACCACAGTTGATTGTCAAGGTATAAAATTTTGTGATGTGTGGCACTTAAGTATTAAACAATATATCAGTATAAGTGTTGTTACCTGTTTTTAGCTTCATGTTGGGTCCTGAAAGATTTTGATCATTATTAATTGAAATACATGCTTACAATCCTCTCAAGTGAAGACAGTGCTATGGACATCTTGTTGATATGATTCTTGTTCTGTGCCCTGGAAAGGCTTGGTGTTACATTCTGTAATTGGTATGTTGTTCATTACATCCAAAAGAAAACACAATTTTTCTGGAAAGAAGTAACCTGTGATTGACTTCAAATACATTTATTGCATTATTTCATGGAACAGTTTGACTTGTAGCTCCAACATTTGTTTTACTTGTAATGTTTCATTTGACATGTTCAACAAACAAACATGTTGTGATACCAATCTTTGGGCTATTCTGGTAAAACTTTATCCCTACAAAGTGAATCACTTCTATCTCTGGTTTCTTGTCTGTTACTTCTAAACAAGTTACCAATTCTAAAGGTGATACTGCTATAAAAACCAAGTCCGGGGATGGAACAGATGTTTTACTGGAATAGCCTTTTATGATATTTGAAACATTTTCTTCAAAATTTTTCACTTTAAAGAAGAGATATTTCACAGACGTAAAAAATCTGCCAGGTTTTGATACCCTTGGTATCATGTGAATATTTTCAGTAGTATTCTGGTAGCATTGTTAAAAGAACCCAGCAGTGGTTATGTTACAATTTCATGAACAGACCACACTGTATATAGAATGTTACTGGTCTCTATAGAATGTATGTTTGAGACCTATAGATGTGTAAGACTTTGATATCATTGCTGCATAGAGGATGATTAATATGTTGTTTAATCTAGTGCTAGTACTTTGTATGTCAAATGTTTCATGTTTTCTGTTGTTGCCTATCTATCGCAATTTGTCATTCTAGTGAAATAGCTTCTTAGAAATTACCTGTGGTCGTCAAGTGCATTCTTGGTTGTTTCCAAATTTGATAAAAAAAATTTCAGTCAACTTCAACAAAACAGTCATGAAAAAGCCATATTTGCAAGAATCTCCATGGAGACAGAGGAATTTATCATTTCTGACATATATCTTTTGCATCAGCTGTGGATAGATTACCAAGCTCACTTAAATTTTAGAAAACAAAAACATTCAACTGTCCATTCTGATCTATCAGAGTTACTTCCCTTGGTTTAATACTCCATGTAAAGAAAGTTTAGCATTTTATTTTGTTTTTGTGATCTGTATTTTCTGGTTATGCAACTTTTTTTTGGGGGGGGGGGATAATTTTGACATGTTGTGTATCCTTTAGAAAAGATTACTCAAAGTGTTCTCACTTGGTCCATTTTTGTTGGATGTTCACTGACATCAGATTTTGAAGAACTTGTTTTTGTGTCGGAATCATCATGTTTAATCAAATGTAACATTCTTTTCCTCCAAAATACATACCTACTGGGTCCTGAGTCATATTTAAAATGGAGCTTAGAAGGAAGACTAAGGGATGTGTTAATTTGGTAAAGATGTATTCATATTTATTTTCCATAAAAAACATTATAGGACATCTACCATAATTGCTATAAATGAAATTTTACAGAATAATGTCTGGCCATATTTTGAAGTACATGACCTTTTTGTTTTTTTCTTCAGTCTTGCATTCAAGGTTAGTTTGAATTTTTAGAATGATATATTACCATTCAATATCAGTGTGCCATTTATCCTGCATGTAGTGTCCATTATTGTAAAATGTTATTCGTTCTGTCCTCAGTGAGGAAGACAGCGCTGATGAAATAGAGGGATGCATGCTATGTCACAACATTCTAGTGGCTGTAACTTCTGCTATTAGTTATAGAATAACCCAAACTTATTTTGAATTTGTTGTGTTTTGGGGTCAAATGATTATCATTTCAAGCTCATTTTCTGATTATTTCTGTAATTGTTGAAATGTTTAATGCTGTTTATAATTACTACAAAATATAGATCGTGATACTTTTTGCATCATAATGCCAGGCAAAGGGGCAGAATATATATGTTATATATATATACAATGTAGTCACAGAGTGATACCTTCAGTAAATGATATTATCAGTACATAATATTACACATTTGTACTGATACTGAGCGTGAATGTAATCAAATTTTGTGCAAGGTAAAAGATCACTGCTGGTACCTTGCCTTGTGTTTCACTGTGTAAGGGAGGTTATGGAGGAGAAGAATTCTTGCTAGAGTATCTTCCAGAAAAGTGTTGAAAACATGATTGTCCACTAGACTACTTGCCATAGTTTTTCTACTCTCTGCTAGACTTTCAAACTTCAACTAGTACAGTCAAGTGGAGAAAAGTTGTAACTAAGGCAGATAATCTAGATTGTCTAATTGATCATTTGTGCAATCTCTCCCGGACTGCATTGCGGCCGTACCCTAGTGTATTGTGACTTAGGAATGACAGCCCTAATGGAGATTGCATCCTATGGTTTGACACTGATATTATTGATGCGATTGCAGTGGATGTCATTTTGTACGGTCAGTTTTGATATCATGGCTACTCTCTCGCCCAATAGAGTGACCATCATTATGTTACTATCTATCACTGCCTGTCTATGAGTGTTTGTCAGATGCCATGGTGAGGAGATCCAATAGGTGCTGACCGTTGCAGGTGCTGACCTTGCGGTGGCTGTTATGAATGTCGGTTTGTAAATGGTGTGAGAAAGACAGTGAGATATTACATGTGTCTGCCAACCCTGCCAGATGTTATCACAGTACCTGATTTCTTATGAGTAATAAACCTGATTCTCTAAGCTTAATTGACTCCTTGATTTCTGCTTAATGAAAATAGAACTTGCTTTGTCCAACTGAGAAATCACTGATTGTCATATTTATACAATGTATTCTTTGAACGTGGGTCTGTCTTGTGAAAGTCTGAATATGGATAACAGAACTTTAGCCCACTATCATCTGATGGTGGGTTGTTCAATTCTGCTTTCGTCCATGGTCCATTTATCCATAAACAATCCTTGCTACCTCAATTTCCTGAGAAGAACTGATTTATCTTGGAATTCAATACAGGTTCCTGTTCATTCCTATTTGTGCCATTTTGATTATGAAACTGATTTGAATAATTATATATACATGTGTATCATGAATTACTGGATGATAAATTATAGAAGCTTACTTCTAGCACGACTGGCTTAACGGCTACGCGAGCATATGCTTTGGTGAGGTGTTCGACTGTTATCTCTCATTTGTTGGCAGTCTCTTTAAAATACTTCATCAAAAGTTATCGGATACATCTCTCAAGACCTTTATGCCAAATTTCCATATTCTAGAATGTCTTGTTATTCGATTGTGAGTTTGAATACATTAACATCGCTAATACATGTTGTTTTGAATAATACATGGACCATATACCTGGTAGAAATGATACACAAATATAATCATATTGGAGTTTAGTTTCATTTTCATTTCAATCCACTTTAGCATGTTAGGGTGACCATTTTCATTTTTTTAGCCCACCATCATCAGATGGTGGGGTATTCAAATCGCCCTGCTTGTTCCATTTCGTTCTTTCTTAAATTTCCAGGTTCCGTCCGTAAACAATTCTTGTTACCGCTATTTCTGGGAAAGTACTGGATGGTTCTTTCTCAAATTTCATATTCAGGTTCCCCTTGGTCGACAGTAATGCAGCACAAGCATATTTTCCTCGATATTCTATCATATTGATTCAAGACCATGTCCATTATCTACCTGTAACTGACTGCTATCTAATAATACTTTTGGATCTTTTTCAAATATTTGCTAATAGGTGCTTAATAAAAATATATTTTGCCATCATTGAGTACATTCAATGAAGACCAGTTCATGAACATTTACAAAACCTGTAACACGAAAAAAAAACCAAACAAACAAATCTTAAAGAACTGAAAACAGATCCTCAAATGGTGGGCGCCAAGATCCCTCTGGGATCTCTTGTTTTGTTTCAAAGTGAAACGGCTTACAAAACGGCAATGATGGAAGGTGGCAGGTACATTGGAACCTTTATACTCGGTTTCTATGCGCTTGTCATCAACATCAAACAGAGATGAATGCTCCCCGAAAACAACTCTGTAATTAGAGGTTGCCACTCCTGATGTGGTACACTGCACAAAAATTGTACTTCGTTATCATAAACATCATTTTTTAACCAAACAATATGGGCTTTTAGCCCACCATCAACAGATTTGATTCTGAGACTTTAACAGAAAACTAAATTGTCGACAGACTGCCATCTTAGAATTTGGCTTTGAAATTTTGCTATCGCAATTTCTTGAAAACTACTGTTTAGATCTTTTGCAAATTTCATTAATACTTTGTTGCCTGTTTTATTTTGATACTGATAAGCGAAAACAAAAATGACCCACAAGTGGCCATCTTGGTTTTTGGCTTTGCACCTTTGGTCCCTAGTTGTGACTATTTTAGTTGATCAGATAAACAAAATGGCCGACAGGCAGCCATCTTGGAATTCGCCTAATAAAGATTGTAATCCCTATTTCTAACGAAGTACTGAATGGATATCTCTCAAACTCCATGCTTATCTTCCCTTTAATCCCCTTGGTCTTAGGGCTGATCAGAAGAAACAAAATAGCCGACAGGCGGTCATTTGGATTTGGCAGATAAAGATTATCATCGCTATTACTACTGAGGAATGTTCAAATTTCTCATCACTAAGAGCAAAAACCGAGAAAAGATGGGAAAAGATCCTACCTTCAAAGATCAAATAAAAATAAAACAATGTTTGCGCCAAGATCTCTCTAGGATCCCTTGTTTTAATATATTACGTCACTATACCATTACGTGTATTTACAGCGAGAGAAAGAGTTGTTTCTGTCACTATATTTAGCGAGAAGGGAAATCCAGCTATATTTAGAATACACGTAGGTTACTTTTACTTACTCCGGTGCACGAGACCGATATCAGATAAAACACGATGGCTGCCTGTAACGAAGTATTCGTATCATGTGGTGAGAACCTATTTTGTGCCGCTGACAAGACTTGTCGTCTGAAATCGGAAGACATTCCTCATGCAGGTAAGATGATTCAGTCATCATGTGTAGTGGAGCATCGCAATGATGTTGATCATATAGAAAACTAGATCAAAAATACTTCTGGAGTACGGTACGTAAACTTCTTGAATAAACCGTTGAAAATGTTTCTAAGCGTACAGCTATATGAAAAAGTGTACCCTATATCCGACCATATGCAAGCTACACCCCTCACACCATTTTTAGCCCACCATCATCAGATGGTGGGGTATTCAAATCGCCCTGCGTCCGTCGTCCGTTGTCCGTCCATCTGTCCGTAAACAATTCTTGTTACCGCTATTTCTGGGAAAGTACTGGATGGTTCTTTCTCAAATTTCATATTCAGGTTCCCCTTGGTCCCTAGTTGTGCATTGTACCTTTTTGGACTGATCTGAAATCAAGTTGGCTCACAGGCAGCCATCTTGGATTTTGGAAGTAAAAGTTTGTTACCGCTATTTCTGGGAAAGTACTGGATGGTTCTTTCTTAAATTTCATATGCAGTTTGCCATTGGTCCGGAATCAGTCAGCCATCTTGGATTTTGAGAATAAGATCTTGTTACCGCTATTTCTGAGGAAGTACTGGATGGATCCTTCTGATATTTCATAGGTATTGGTTTCCCTTGGTCCTTAGTTGTGCATTGTACATTTTTTGACTGATTTGAAATCAAGGTGGCCCACAGGCAGCCATCTTGGATGTCGACACTGTGTGTAATACAGTAGTTTGTTATCGCAACGACAGGATCCTTCTCAAATTTCAAATTTAGCTTCCTCTTGGTACCTAGTTAAGCATTGTTCCATATTTAAAATGATCTGAAAAACAAAATGGCCTATAGCTCTCCATCTTGGATTTGAACAGCGAGTAATTGTTTTATGGCTATTTCTTACCTACATGATCAGTCATTCTCAAGTTTCAGATTTTCTAAATTAAGTAAACATTGATAAATACACTGTCTAGGGTATGTATACTAAACCATGCAATGAATTGAGCTAATGGCATATGGGTTGACACATGAGAAGTAACAGAAGAATTGATTCATTAAAAATGTCAATAATTCCTAATAATTAAGTGTTGATGTTACAAAAACATTAATGTAATAAAATAAAATATAAAATTAAAAAAAAAGTTTTAGAAAAAAACTTTTTTATACTTTTATTATACTTGTTGTCATCATCATCACCATCATCATCATCATCATCATCATCATCATTCATCATCATCATCACATCATCATCATCCATTTTGAATTGAATAAGTATACAACTTAATAAAGGGTGTTCATTTTATCACTATATCCCTATAAAAAATATCTTGTGCCATCATTGAGTACATTCAATGAAGACCAGTTCATGAACATTTACAACGCCTGTAACACAAAAATAAAATAAACAAATCTTCAAGAGCTGAAAACAGATCCTCAAATGGTGGGCGCCAAGATCCCACTGGGGTCTCTTGTTAAGTAATCTGACCCGATGAGTCGAGATGACCCTATAGCCATCATTTTCCGTCTGTCAACTTCTTTTCTAAAACTCTATACTCCTCTTTCATACATGGATAGATTTCAGCCAAATTTGGTCAGATGCATCATTGGGTGAATGTTATTATTTCTTGCAATTCATAATTTTGGATTCATCAGATTTGCCAGACCATAATCAGAGAATTCTGTGGTTTGTCCGTCCGTTCGTCGACTGTCAGATGACTGTTAAGTCCATGGCCCTCTTGTTTAGATTTCTGTATTTTGTATTCACAAAACACTTGGACAATTTTAGTACACTGAACACGATGTGCATATTTGGTTTTTACAAGGTCAGGTTTTAAATCACTCGAGGTTTATTTATACAACGCAAAACATTCGTCAGATATAGAAACTACGATCCGTACTACCGTGATAGATAAATAAAATGTAAGTATTTATAGATATGACGCAGGGCTCCGCTTCATATCGACATACAGAAATATATCATTTGTATGGCGAAGCAGCGGCTTTTACCAGTTAATCCTCAGGACCCGAATAGAGAAAAGGCGGGTTAAGCACGTGCAGGAAGGGGTGCATGATATGAGGGTTGACCTCATAACGACTTAAATTCGCTGCCCGCGGTAAAATCTTGACGGATAATACAACCCTATATCGTATTTCACGTGAATTACTTTCCTCTAGATTTTAACTTTCTGTAGACCGCCAGAAATTATGTGTGCATAAATTTAATGACTTTGTGATGAACAATAAACATGATCACGTGACCAGACACTCTCATTTTCACAGATCCCTGTGGAATTCAGAACTACATGTTGATTCTCTTGGTGATGTTCGTCATCTGCCTTGCCATCCTTTCTACAGTTCTCTGGATTCGTCATGCCTCACAAAAAAAGATCGAAAATGTGATGAAAAAATATCACCTGAAAAATGAAAGAGCGCTGGAGGAGACCCTGAAAAAGTACATGATTTTTATTTATTTATTTATTTTCATTTTTATTCACATATTATTACACATTTCAAATGACGTAACACATGGGGTTATTTCGGGGTCCTTGTTACATTAAGCACAAATATAGCACTTTCAGTTTCAGACGTTTTCGTTTTCAAAACTTAACATTAAAAATTACAATCACAAACATTTATATATAACTTGTCATACTGCACACATAGATCTCGTCTATAATCAACATTACATATGCTGTCTCATTCTTTTTTTCATAAATTTTACACCATACACACAAATAACATTTACTGTAGAATGTTATAAGAATTAAAGTTATTCCATCCATTATATCTATTCTATCAAATAACATCCCCAATCCAAGTCCATTCTTTCTTCTCTCAGACGCTGACATTATGTATTTACCAAGATGGCTTAATTTTACACATTTATAGTTTGTTTAAATTTAAACAATACACTCGGGCGATGGATATATAATGGCTAACTTTAGAGTGAATATCTGTATAAACTGGACACTTATTTACAAAAGGATACCTACCATTAGTACATAAGACACAGTCTGTTCTTTCCATCAATATCTTTGTATCTTACTAGTCGTGTGCTGACTTCTCAGTTTTGCGATTAGCTTTAAAAATCAATATATATATATATATTTCAAGTATATTTGCAAAGACAATAGGTATACAATGTGTTGATATAAGTAACTTTCAGAAAAAGACTTAATCTTCTTTTTTCTTTTATTTAACCTCCGATCGTAATTATACATGACAAATGAGAATGTCAACAAAAAAGCGGTTGAAATTTTATTACAGTTGTGACATTTTAGGTGTTTTCCTAGAACTTCAGATCATGAGATATAAATTTACACAGCTATACACATACGTTATTATCTGCAGTTATCAAGCTTATCAACTTGTACATAGTTGGAACAGTATAGTAGACACTATCAATATATAGGCGTCTAATATCAGACAAATGGTTACACAATAAATAAATGGTGATATTGGTCACCGATTTCATCAACATTACATAATTCACATTCCCTGTCATTCCTTGTAACATCATTCCCATCTGCCAACCTCCCTAGGGAGACTGATGGTTTGCCGTTCTGTTAGACACTGCCTGTAATAAGTTGGAATGTTTCTTGGTAAATAATCTAAGTTCAGTTCAGGCTGACATAGTTTATACAATGAACCTTGCTCGAGTTTTCAACAGACCGTGACCAACTTTGTACATAGTGATCGTATAATGTTTACTGGCAAGTTTTAACCAATTAAAATGGCTGGCTATACCATACATCACCCATACCATATTCTTCTCCTAATAAACAGTAACCAGGGAATATGACAAAAATCATTTGAATAATTATAATGTGATAAAAAATTGTAAGTCCAAGCAACTCTGTTGAAATACATCGGCCATTCGGCGTCCATCGACCGAAGGGATAAACGAGACACCTAAATTTGCGCTACCGCTCTCGATGTTACTTTATAACTTTGTAGTATGTTCTATGTATGTGATGTAATTTATGTAGTTTTTGTGTCTTGATAAAGGGACAAATTACCTCAAAAATTTGACAATTCGCTTGTCCGTACTGTCGTTATTACTTCATTGGTCATATATCTATTCCAGTAATACACATCCAACGAATACTTGTTTCACGGTAAGGATCCAGCACCAATATTGGACCATACCGTCGATATCACACACACACACACACACACACATACAGCATATCTACAGTAACCAGTATATTTTCTCAGGTAACAAATCACACAAGTAAAAACACGTGTAATGAAATATATACTTAGTATGAACTTACTATAATTGGTCTGTCATTATCTTTGTCTTATAAATAGTAAACAAATCAGGAACCTTCCCTCCCAATGTGATGTTGATTATCTGTTAAGGTAACCCTAACAGAAGTATATATACACCAACACTACAAACTGGCAGTGGACTCTATATATTGGACACACTCTCGGATAATAATAGGGAAAAAAGTATATATACACCAACACTACAAACTGGCCGTGGGCTCTATATATTGGACACACTCTCGGATAATAATAGGGAAAAAAGTATATATACACCAACATTACTGGGGGATCTCTTTATGCATTAATTAATTAATTCCCCGTCCATGAGAATAACCTGATCGATCCGTCCCTCCCCCGTTCAGAATATCCTGGCCTACCCCTCTCCCATACAGAATAAACTGATCGATCCGTCCCTTCCCCGTTCAGAATATCCTGGCCTGCCCCTCTCCCATACAGAATAACCTGATCGATCCGTCCCTCCCCCGTTCAGAATATCCTGGCCTGCCCCTCTCCCATACAGAATAACCTGATCGATCCATACAGAATAACCTGATCGATCCGTCCCTCCCCCGTTCAGAATATCCTGGCCTGCCCCTCTCCCATACAGAATAACCTGATCGATCCATACAGAATAAACTGATCGATCCCTCCCTCCCCCGTTCAGAATAACCTGCTCTGCCTCTTCCCCATACAGAATCGACCGATCCGTCCATCCCATGTTCAGAATTCACTGACATATCCCTCCCCTTGCTCAATATCGTCTTAACCGTCCCTCCCGCCCTCAGAGTCACCTGGTCCGTCCCTCTCCGGTTAAAAAAAATAAGTCCGTCCCACTCCCGTTCAGAATCACCTGCTCCGTCCCTCCCCAGTTCAGAATAACCTGGTCTGCCCCCCCCCCCCAGCTTTCCATTAAGAATCACGTGATCCGTCCCTTCCAGTTCATGATTCACTGACAGATCCCTCCCCCGCTCAATATTCTCTTGTCTGTCCTACCTGTAATAGCTGAAGCTATCTTCTTTCTTTGTTAGTTTTTTCTTTCAATAGTTTACGAATATATTGTAAGTGGCTTTTCTCCCTACTTTTTATTGCAGCTCCATCACACATCGTGGGTCGGGGAATGACGGGTTTACATTTACAAATGGTGAGTAATGACTGGTTTCAAATTTCAAGAATCAATTCCTTGCATATATGTTTTCTTGTATATATGTAAATGTATATGGTACTCTGTTGTAATGAACTTTGATTTTTTATTTCCCTTTTTATCTTTCTATTACATATTGTTCCGGATGTAAGAAGATGACAGAACAAATTTGAGATCACATCTGGATGTGGTTTGAATTACTTCTCAACAATGACAGTACCTTTGCCGAAAATTGCATTCCTGATTTTAGCCCAAAGTTGTTTTTCCTTTTTAATGTAGAATCAAATTTCGAAGTTTTCATTTGGTGAACTTTTAGATTGTGGCTGTATTCAGGTTTCTTTTGTTTGATGAAACTACTATGTGATAAATTTATTAGTCAATACAATACATTATCAAGAGCAAATTAGAAGAAAGCAGAGAAAAGGTAATTAAAAAAAATTTAAAGAACAAATGAAAATCACATCATAATAGGCGCCAGGAGCCTTCTGGGGCCTCGTGTTGTAAGTGATATTATTAATTCCCAACAAGGATGATAAAATAATTCACAACGTATTCTCCACATCTTTCATTTAACAACAGTCAGATATCGGATATCTGGATTCAGTCTAGTCTGACCTTGGGCTTTTTGGGCTCTGTACTATCTTTTCAGTACAATGAGTTCTAGCTGTGTGTAAAGTTCTTGAGAGTGTCGTAACGGAATAACGGGGAAATATTATCCCGAGGTATGTGCTACTATGGAGGGAAAGATAGAGCGACCAAAGAAAATAGAGTGAATCACAAGAGAGTTTGTTTTTTTCCATATTTACATATGTACTCAGATTACAGATATATTTTAGCGCAATACCAAGGCATTTATTTATATTTACAAAAAAAAATTTAAAAAATAATAATAAAAAAACACGCAATACTTAAATTGACAAGGAAAATACGAATACAATAATTAACTTTCAACTATGGTAAGATAACAGTACTACTGATTATACAGCACTCAGACTGAGAACTGACTGTACTAACTGGGTGAAAAGCAGTCATGCATACAGTTTATTTTCATGGTATAATATACCTTGTGTATTTTTATGCTACAATCAGATTGTTTTGTTAAGTATTTTTATTTTAAGGTGATTTTTTTATTCATTTTTAGCCAATAATACATGTATGGTGCTTTTATATATGCATAACATAAATATTTTCGGTTGAAGACGGCGCGACGAATGTCTTCCTCCGTCTGATTTTGCAGTCTACAATCTCACTTTTAAACACTCGTAACTTTTGTAAGTTATGTGGTAAAAAGTATCTTAATTTGTTTTCATTTTATATGAGAATTAAAAAAAAACTCGTTTCAAAGTTTTAATTTTGCTCGCCAAGTTTGCAAAAATAAATATACTAAGACTCGTTTAATGAAAATTCCATTCGGGATGAAAGTATCTAGTATTTAGTCCGATGTCTTATTCAGTACTGTGTGTTCATCAAAGGTCTCCGTTCACCATGGTCAATAACTTATTAATACTACAATGTTGATTTACTTTTTTTAATCTAACCATTGATAAATGTATATTGTTTATTATATGTTTATGATTCAGTATTATTGTTAACCGAAGAAAATAATATTAAACGGAGAAAAGAATATATCCATTTGTTTACTTGTCATTTGTTTACTTGTCATTTGTTTACTTGTCATTTGTTTGTTGAGGGCTACTTTTTATACTAGTATGGTGTTGAGCTGTTTTTCTGTTAGATGGTTGCCGTGGCGGCCGTTTTGAGTTTGGTATGGGTCCAGATTTTAGTTATTACCATTTGTGGACAAAACGGAAGCGATAACACGATTTTCAAGAGGGTGGTCATCTTGAATATCACATGGATTAGAAGGTTGTCTTGGACCAGCTATAATGATATGGTCACCTGCCAACTTACAAGTAGTGGCCTTGTCTTTGTAATATCACCCATTTAGATCATCAACCACAATTTATTTTTAACAATACTTATATAGAACTTACAGATCATCACAAACATTTAGGAGTCATACTGAGTAATGATGGATCATGGAATAAACACGTAGAAGAAGTTATTAAAAAGGTATCTAAATATATAGCAACTTTACGTAGGTTAAAATTAATTCTAAGCAGGCACACTTTAGAAAAAATGTATCTCACATACATAAGGCCACTATTAGAATACGCCTGTGAAGTTTGGGATAATTGTGGAGTTAATATGTCATCAAATATTGAAAAAATTCAATTAGAGGCAGCCCGAATTGTGACTGGTTTACCCATTTATACTAGATCTGACTTTCTACTAAATGAAACGGGCTGGGAAGAACTTAAATTACGACGTCAACATCGCAAGTTATCTCTTTTTTATAATATAATTAATGGGATCGCACCATCTTTCCTCACTGACTTTATCCCTGAACATATTGGTAATCTCACCAGGTATGACTTACGAAATGCAGATCAGTTACGACAACCAACTTATCATCTTCAATCTATGTGTAACTCTTTTTTTCCTTCTACAACTGAACTCTGGAATAGATTAGATGAATCTTTAAAAACGGCTGGTTCACTAAAATTGTTTAAAACCAAACTACGTCCAAAAAACTCCAACAAGCTTAAATCGTGTTTCCTATCATATGGCCCCGTCAACTGAATATTCTTCATTGTCGTTTAAGAAATAGGGCAAGCTCACTCAACTATGACCTATTCAGAACCAATCTCATGAACTCAGCATCTTGCTCCTGCGGACATCCCTCTGAAGATTCCTTTCATTATTTAATTCATTGTTCGAACTACATTCAAATTCGTAACACCCTGTTCACCGAACTGTCGTGGTATCAGGGTGATATCTCGATAGATGTACTTTTAAATGGAGACGTACTACTAAGTTCAGCTGAAAACTCACTTTTAGCTAGAGCTGTTCAAAAATTTATTGATGCCTCTGGGCGATTTTGCTAGTTTCTGCATTTCTTCCTTTGTACTATATATTCCCTTCTTCCTTCCTCACCTATCCTCCTTTCTTCTTTACATCCTTCTTTTTTTTTTTGTTTCAATGAAAAATATTATGATTCAATATATTGTTACATTGCTTGTAGTTAAGTATTGTTTTACCATTCATGTAATGGAGAGGGCTTAATAAGCTAGGAAAAACTTGTGCCCAATCCAATTGTACAAAGTTTTGCAATGAAATAATTATTAAAAAATGAAAAAAAAATATTAGAACTTAGAGAAGTAGCGATAATGATGAACGATTAATAGACGGACGTATGGATATCAGAAGTGACACAACCATACAGCTTTAGAAGATTTAAAGTAAATTCATATTTATAACAAAAACAAAACACTTATATAGGGCATTGGCTAACATGATGCCATTCCATTTTTTAAGTAAAAAGACGAAATGCACTCAGCAGGTTGAAAACAAAGCGGCTATCATTCATTACGTAATACCCTCTTTACGTACCGAACAGCTGGTAGAAAGGCAATCAGGTTGAATTGTTTTATTTAAATATAGTCATTGTCAACTAAAGGAGAAGGGATGAGACACTTAATGAAGGACTGCACGTGAGGATTTCCGAACTAAAGTGTATCCACATTAAATACAACACTCAAACGGTAGATGAATTTCTCATTTTAAGATAAGTCTTTCTTTGGTACATAATGTCACCATAGAAATAGCAAATAGCGTTTGCACGAGAATAGCCAACAGTATATGAAGCATTAATTGCACGGTTAGCCGTAAAAAGATCATACTTAAGGCAACTACATTGGTATCCAAGTCGTGCGTATAAAATAGGCAACTTAAGATCATTGACACTAAAATGCACAGGCGGGGGAGACGGTATATCGGACTTCAAAGAGGATATAAATAGATATAACGAAGATACTGAACGAACCGCAACATTTGTCACCACGTGTGTGTGTGTGTGTGTGTGTGTGTGTGCGTGTATGTGTGTGAGGGTGTGTTTGTGTGTGTGTGTGTGTGTGTGTGTGTGTGTGTGTGAGGGTGTGTGTATGAGGGTGTGTGTGTGTGTGTGTGAGGGTGTGTGTGTGCGTGTATGTGTGTGAGGGTGTGTTTGTGTGTGTGTATGTGTGTGTGTTTGTGTTTGTGTGTGGGTGGGTGTGGGTGTGTGTGTGAGAGTGTGTGTGTGTGTGTGTGTGTGAGAGGGTGTGTGTGTGTGGTTATATATATATATATATATAATACCGGGCCTTAAAGATGAAATGCTATGCATTTTCGCGCAATTTCTCTCTTCGGTGAAACTACACGGTGATCAGTATTTCCCCTGTATTACTTTAGTTATGTGCAGTTTTCCATTACAACCACGTTTCATTAGCAAAAGTAAGTTGACAGATAAGAAATCAAATCACGTTTTTAGTTTGGAATTACATCTTTAGTTCAACCGAGTGTCTCTCGTTTAAGACATTTCTGTCATCCCAGGACCCCATTTGAAATAAGCTACCTGGTAGCTTTATCCGACGGACTATCCCAGGTAAATGGACATGTCGTATGCTGATTGAGTCTTGTGATCAATACAGTTTAGTTACTGCGATATCTAATGAAGATAACATTTCACCTCTAAATAAAGTCATCGTAACCTAGAACTTTATTCAACCAATTTTTTGTTAAGTTTCTTTATTCATAAGATGTTTATAAGAAATTTAAAAATGAATTGTTTTAGCTTCCAATCAGTACTATATTAACTCGATGAGCAATGTCCGTGATATATGTATCAGTTACACAACTGCAACGTGAACTTTTATTCAGTGTAGGGCTATACAGTGTTCATGTGCTGATCTCTGCTCTCGCGTTAGTAATGCGTTGTACTTTTTAACAGAACTGCTTGAATGTGTTAACTAACGCCAAAAGGACGAATATCAATTTAACAAAATCTCTCTTGTTTTTTTATGTATTAAAGATGTGTTCGAAATCATTCCTATGTCTTTGTTTATCTGTCTCGGCCACTTGGAAATGGGCACCACCTCCCTAATGAGGTGTGGACCAATCAGAGAGAACCATGCTATGGGATTTACAAGCTCGTCCTCTGAAAGGCCTAAAGGCCATAATAGAGGACGTTAATCCCCCTAATAATAATAATAATTTGGGATTTATCACCAGGAAAAGATCAAAGAAAAACCAAGGCGTCATTGGATAATCTGTTATTTCATAACCGTATGTTATGAGTATTTATGTCTTTTACACAAATAAATATAATTATTTATTATCAATTAAAAAAAAAAGATACTGTAGTTTTGCGAAAAAGGAAAAACCACGAATACCGAGGTACCCATCTTTAACATCAAATTTTAAATCAGGATCCGGTATACGCTTTAAATACGCATCTCGTGTAAACGTATGCTATACCTTGATGATTCAATGGCTATCTCGTGACAACCACAATGGCGTCTGCAGCAGGATGCCTCAGTGTGTGTTGTGTATTTTTTGCAGTGACAGCCACTCTTGCCATTAAATATGAACCCAACTGGGCATCACTGGATTCGAGACCACTGCCACCATGGTTCGACGAGGCAAAAGTTGGAATATTTCTGCACTGGGGCGTGTTCTCTGTTCCCGCATTTGACTCTGCGTGGTTCTGGTACTTTTGGAAAACTGAGAAACAGGAGCCTTATGTAAAATTCATGAAAGAGAACTACCGACCTGACTTTACGTACGCTGACTTTGCCTCGAAATTCAGTGCCTCTCTGTACAATCCGGACTACTGGGCTGACATCTTCGAAGATTCTGGTGCCAAGTAATAAGATTGATATTTTTCAGTTGATGTCATACCTGTTTAATACCCATTAATTGTAACGATACTAGCCTATGGCATTATCGATTTTAATCAATGGACGTGTCAAAAACACGTTTGACTACTAGTGATTTTCTTTTTATTCCAATTGTGGTGGGCACCATGCAATGTTCAATATAACACTATATTGTGTTGACATTAAATTTCAAAGTTGTGTTGTATATTCAAAGGCTACTGCAAAGTAATACTGTGTTCACTAAACAAATGACGTATATTATTTGAATTATTCATCCCTCACTATAACTGACCCTAATTAAAGGCTCAGAAAAGTGGGTCAGTTGCCTGTTTGTTCATAGAGACCAACAAAAATTTTGTAGTCTGCTATCATTGTCACTTTTATCCAACTAATGAATACCACATTTGATTATTCCTGTGTAATAGGAGCGGAAAATGCTCATCCTGACCGGGGACTAGATCCAATAACCTCCATATGCTTTGAAGGATGCACTACATATTGAGATAGGTGGTCGCCAACTATTGACTCAGTCCAGTTCTACTACATTCCTCCCTCCTTTTTTCTATGTCTTTGCTTCCAAGACATAACTATTTACAGCCAAAGTTAGGGTATCTCCTTTTCAAGCATTCACCTACTTCAAACGAGTTGGTCATGAGCACCACATGTATTTGGAGCAGTAAAATGCATGACCACCCTTGGGGTATGAACATGGGACACTCCAAACTATAGCAGATACTCTTCCATTTGAATTACCTGGTCATTGACAATCATCCAAGTCCAGTTTTTCTACACTTCTATAAATAGATATGTTTTAAAACAACCTTCAGTTCGAGGGAGAGAAAGTATAAATGAAACTATGAAATATAAATGGAACTAATTCTTTCAAAAACTGCTCATTTAGATAAATTGATAACACCCATTAAGTAATAAAAAAAATTCTGGTTGAATACTATACAATTTAATTACAATTTGGTATTCAAATTAACTGCGTTAATATGTAGTTACTTTGAACATCAAATTTTAATTAGATTGAATACTACATGCCTTGTATGATCAAGAACTTTGTGTCGTTTCACCTTTCCAATACAATACATTTCAATAGGTATGAATTATGTAATAGATTTAGTAAACTGTATAGTTTACAGAGGAACATGATAGCAGCAACAGAAGTAGAGTCACTTTTGTTACTTTGGTTATGAAAATTGTACATCAACTTCAAATAATTATCTGGCAAATATAGACAATGATTTGAAGCTTGATTTTTAACGGGAAAAATGTAACATAGTGGAAATATAAGGACTGTGTTTACATACTTGATTATTGAACTTGAGACCACACAAGCAATCTAGTCCTCACAGTGATGGGACACTAAGGGTCATGGTGTGATGACTCAGCCATATACATGCCTGTTTATAGATAAGTTTTTTGTAGAGTCACAGCAGCTCTTTAAAATTTTCCTTTTTTTCTCTTCCACTGGGGTGTGACTTCACACTTAATTTGGCATATACTATATATATAGCCCTACTTCATACCTTAAGGTTTAATGGAATTGTGTGTCCAGCCATATCTATATATAACCCTTTTACCTGTATTCTTTTGTGTGGATTCAGTCGCTAAAATAAAATTGGGAAGATGTATTCAAAAGGTTTGAAAGATTTGGTTACTGATAATATGTGAAGCAGGATTCTTAGCGAAACAAGTTCAGTTGTAATTGTTTTGAATGACCAAGTTATATGTCATTCTCAAGTAATAGAAACTTTAATTAATTCAATGAGTTTCATCAAGTATTTTTTTCCATCTGTATCACTGACTGGTCTTTTTGTAAATTTTCTTCTTTAGAAATCTTAATTAGATATTTGATTTCTTGATACCATTGAAGAAGGCATCTATTACAAAATTTAAATGGAATTTGTGATTGCTTATGATTCGAAGGTATGTCACTCCTGGACTAGATATATTGGGAGACAGCAGGATCTTTGCTTCAAAAACTTGCTTCTCTAAACCACCTGTAAAGACTATACCAAAATTTCGTTTGAAATACCACAAAGATAAGATGATCATGTTTTCATTGGATCTTGGTGCTGGGGCCCAGCCAGTGAAGATGAAGTGTTTTCACAGCTATTGGATCTCTGACTCTCAGAGCCTCTGGTCTTTGCCATGTATCAGACTTACCATAGGTATGCAGAAATAAATAATTTATTGGTTTGTTTTGCTGTCAGTTATTGAAAAGCTTGCAGTCAATGCAGTCTATTTAACTCCACAGGTATGTTGTTCTTGTCACAAAGCACCATGAGGGTTTCACGCTGTGGCCATCCAATCATTCATGGAACTGGAATGCTTATGACGTGGGGCCAAGAAGAGACTTATTGGGTATGATGACAAGTTCAGAGTTTTATCCTTCAATAAATTAAAACCCAAATATACACAACTTTCTCTAAAAAAAGAAGAACAAATGTAATGTATTTATGTCCATATAGTAATAATAAATCGAAGTAGTTTCAATCATAACATACCCAAGCGTCGCCTGTTAAGTAATTTATTAGCCGACTAGTTTTGTCTCAGTAAGTGAGGCTTCATTAGGGCTGATCAACCCAACTACTTGAGACTGATGTTGGGTCTTCACTGTTCAGTTTAATATAGTAATCATTTACGTATCTGTAACAGAGGTCATTATTTATTTCAATGCCTCCGCTAGGAATCGAACCCGGGACCCCTGGCTTACTAGTCTGATGCTCAACTAATCGAGCTAAAGAGAAGTTCTCTCTAGCCGAGTGGTATATTGCAGTTAGTAGTTTACCAGGGTTACATATCTGAGAAATACTCAAGATGATATTATATGATAGTATTGATATAAAAGTTGTTGACATTTTGAAAACATGCCTCCATTTATGATCTTTGCTGGAAGGAAGTGAGAAAATCTATTTGACATTTCTGTTGTTGTTCGGTATTATGAACACGGTAATGCTCTATTTATACTTCACAGTGACGTTTGAATGACTGTACACCTGCATTCTACATGCATAGACATGTACTTTATTTTATTTATTGAAGTTCAGCAGAAATACTTCCAACAGTTTATATATTAGCCCTAACTCCCTGGCTTATAATGGGATAAACATGGTTTAGTCAAGATGTAATGTTATCAAAACGTTTTTTACATCTTATTAATGTCTCTTATTGTATGTGTACTCACACTGTTGTGACATAAATTATATTCACATGGTTAGCTTGATGTTTAGAAAAGCTTAAAGTGTCAGGCAAACTTTGTTAGTCACACAGAGAAAAAAATAAGTGCTTTTTCTTTTCTTGCATTTAAATATAAATTGAGTTATGAAATTTTTTAAATTCCTTTAATGCCCTGTTGGGTTTGTCAGTCCTAGGTGAAACAAAAAAATGTTGTTTAGTTGAATTAAGATGAATGCAGTGATGTTCTTAGAACTGAATTCATAATTGTAATTAAACAGTATAACAAATATGAATTAATTACAGACAGGGTATTCTCTAGACACACTTAACATCTTACCATATATGAATGCCTCCTAAGAAAGTTTTGGATTGAAAATATTGGCAACTTTCAAGATGATAGATATCACAAATGCAACAGTAATTTTTGTAGGATTTTCCTTGTGACTCCAGAGCACCATTTCCAAAATTTGATGAGTCCTTGCAGTTTCAAAGAGATATAGAGAGTTTTCAGAATTTGTAGGAGTTTCACTGGAAAGGCAGAAGTCCAAGACTCAAATATCCGAGTCCTAAAAATCACTGTTCCATTATCTAATACTACAGGAGAGCTTGCTACTGCTGTGAGGAAGAAGAAAGACATCCACTTTGGGGTCTACCATTCACTATTTGAGTTTTACAATCCACTCTTCCTGCAGGACCAAGCTAACGGCTTTAAAACTCAGGAATTTGTCACGGTAGGTCCATTCGTCCTGTGCCGTTTTTCCATTTTGTGAATATTTTCCTTGTTCTATCAATTTAAAGTAAGAATTATAGTTTTATTTACAAATCAGTATTGTGTTGATGTTTTGATATGGACCACTGTAGACGAAGACCATGCCAGAGCTTTACGAACTCATCAATACATACAAACCAGAGATTCTGTGGTCAGACGGGGACTGGTTAGCAGCTGACACTTATTGGAATTCCACCAATTTCTTAGCTTGGCTGTACAATGAAAGGTCAGAAACAGGTGTTTGGTGTTGTTTTTTCCTTGAAAGGCAAAGTTATTGGAGGATCATAATATTTTAATTGCTTAAATGTTCTGTGATTAATTTAGACAAAGCTTGCAAAATGATTCATAGTCAATGTAACACTCAAATGACTTTTTTTGATTGTCTGAAAGACTTTGAACATTTTTATTATAGCATGCCTCTTTGATAAGTGGGATATTTTCTATGGTCTTCTCATTCTAGAATACGTTTTAAGTCACACTCTACGTTACTGAATTCTACATTACTGAGGTCATTGTAATTCACATGTGTTTTACAGCCCTGTGAAGGATGTTGTTGTGTCTAATGACCGCTGGGGAAAGGGACTGTATTGTAAACATGGGGGCTTCTGGAACTGCAAGGACAAATACAACCCAGGTAAATATAAAAATGTTTCCACACAATCCCACTTCACACACATACATCTTTACACACAGCTCCATATCACCATCTCTCCACACTATTCATATCTACTCCCTCAAATTTCTCACCTCCACACATATTGCACACATTCTGTTACACTCGCCAACAATCCCCACATATCTACTCCCTCGAATTTCTCACCTCCACACATATTGCACACATTCTGTTACACTCGCCAACAATCCCCACATATCTACTCCCACGAAGTTCTCACCTCCACACATATTGCACACATTCTGTTACACTCGCCAACAATCCCCACATATATTCCTGCTAAAGGTAATCCAGCTGATATACATACTACCACATACCTTCCCATATACATACCCCCATTAAGCATCTTCCCACTTACACATTCCCACACTCATTTTCTCATGTACAAACTCCTTTACACACCTTCCTACATGCATATATATATACCCACACACATCTTTCCAGTTACATACACCTCTCCCTGTTTTACTTTGTCACAAAATATCAATATTCAGCTCCATATCTTTGATGCTGCATGTCCTTCAGACTTACATTGTTTTATGGAAAATTGTTTCTGCTACGCCATTTTATAAAAGGACAGAGCTAGGTTAACTCCCCTTTTTCATTGCCTTGAGTTAGTCTTTTTATTTAGCTGAAATCCTTGGGTCATTATTGAAGTTGAAGAATGTGCTTATTTTACAAACATTTTCTGGTGACCTTTGGGTGAAGGTCACAAAGATCAACAGAGGAAAATTTAATCCTTAGTGAAACTGATGGAGATAAATGAATCAAGAATGCAATGTAATATAACTATCATATGACATCAGATAGCTTCAATGATGTCTTGAAGTGAAAAATATGCTTTATGTTATTAATCTTCATTGTTTTTACAAAAGACCTCTTGGTTGAAAGAAATTTTTCCCTGAGTCAGTAGAAAGCAGCATTTTAGGACAGTTACTCCTTCGTATGTCTGCAGACACTAGTTTCAAACAGTTATCGAAACAAAAAATTTCTTCATAACAGGAAAGCTTTTGCCCCACAAGTGGGAAAATGCAATGACCATTGACAGACGGGCATGGACTTATCGGCGTGACATTACCTACTTCGACGTCCTTTCTCTGCATGAAATCTTGACTTTCTTGGCTGAAACTGTGAGGTAAATTGACTACCTATGGGCTCAGTAATCCATGTCTCTTCTCTCTTGTTTTCTCTACAGGGTAGTGGTGACTGGTTTCCATGTAGGGGAACAGTTTTGATAAATATCTTCAGTAAAGCTTCTGTTGTTTTGATTACCAGATAAATACATGTAGTTATTTAGAAGAATCTTCTTCTTTTAACACCAGTAGGTTGGTGGACACTTACAGGTCCATGCTCAAACACTTGATTAAATATTTGTCCTTGTTAGGTATCGGTACTGTGCTAAATGAAATCTTTGGGAGCAGTGATTGGATCTTTAAATCTGAAATTTGAATTGTTTAGTATGAATGACAGCATTGAATTAAACATTTTGTAAACTTTTCATTCAAACAAACTGAATGTAATATTAATCACAATTGATTGCTTCATTGTAAAATATTGAGTATTTTATATCATTATTGTGCACAGATACTTAAAGTTAATTATCCCCGGCTTGATATTAATTTGGGTTCGTCTGTCCGTCTACCTGTCCCTCTGTCTGTCACACTTTCGTTTTCGTGTTGTAATTCCCCAAATATCATCCAATTTGGGTGAAACTTGGTCAGCAGATGCATCTTGGGGTCATTAAGACTGAGTTTGACTATCAGTGTCATCTGTTAATAATTATGCATACTAATGAGGTATCCTTTGATTTCTTTGGTCGGTTCATAACCATTCTCTAACTTCCCTAAATATAATCTGATTTAGATGAAACTTGGTCAGCAGATGCATATTAGGACACATAAGACTGAGTGCAGCAATCAGCATCATATGCTAATATATATGCATACTAATTAGGTATGCTTTCATTTCTTTGGTTTGTCAGTTTTTGTGCTTTAACTTTCCTAAATATAATCTGATTTAGATGTAACTTGAAGTCCCACAAATATTACCAGTTTATCATTAAACTATATCATTCTACATAGCATTATGACATGTTTACTCCTAACCTCTAAAATATTTACTTACAATATGTTTTGACAGTGAGGGATATAAATTACATGAATTTGCTTGTTTGAATTTTGTATTTATCTTAAACCTCTTCCCAAACTAGCTGTGGAGGAAACCTGTTGATGAATGTTGGACCAAATGCTGATGGCCGAATCATCCCTATATTTGAGCAGAGATTGAGAGGTTTTGGAGCATGGATGAAAATCAATGGAGAAGCAATCTATAAATCAAAGCCATGGCACACACAACAAGATAATGCTACTCAGGGTGTCTGGTGAGTAACAAAAAAATACTTTTTACTCAACATTTTGTGACAATTTGCCTGTATTTTTAGCCCACCATTTGAGCCCAACATCATCAGATGATGGGCTAATCAAATTTCCCTTCATCTGTGGTTCATCATTCCTTGACCATTCTTATTGAAACCGAGGGGTGTATGAGTGTGAAACAAACAAACGATTTATTTTAGTATTCAAAAGAATACGCTGAAACGATACAAAACACAAGACTTACTACACTCACGCTTAACATTATTGATACACATATTACATAGACGATTACAGACTGACTGTTAACACTTATCCATAAAGTACGTACGTTTAACTGGGAATAATAGAATAACAAGTAATAAATTGGAAACATATAATATAATTATTTCCTTAACTATTATTTCAATAAATTATAAATTAACTTTACACATATTTCATAAGTGTATGGACTTCTCATTACAATATATACTTCTTTATTGATACTCGTGAATGGCAAATCACATTCACAAACGTGTTACACTAATAAAAAGGACACAAATATATAACTCATAATAATGGCGGTCACTCGGGTAAACCCCACACGTACGTACACAAATGAATTTAATTTAAAATATCACAAAAAACCTGTACACATAATACCAAGGACTCTTGGAAAAATACCGCGCGCCGGTTGGGATAAAGGGCAAGTATAACAGGTTAGAACATATTAATTCTGAAATCGAGATCATACCTCTCTTCTTTCAGTGTCCATCGTCACTGCTGCCATTCTGTCAACTCTCCGTCTACACACAAAAGAAACCGCACAAACACACTGACCAGTCAAATAAGAGATAGACGGTGACATTACACTCTTGACTTATGACCCTTTTATTGGACATATACAATAACACATATACATATATAAATTCAATAAAAATCCAACCCTGCCACATTATTATCACTATTTGTGGAGGTGAACTGGATGCATCATTCTCAAACTTTGCCTTGGTTCATAGTTATGCACAGTTCTAGGGATTGATAGAAAAAACAAGATGGCTGACAGGTTGCCATCTTGGTACTTGACAATCATAGTTTGTAAGTGCTATTTCTGTGTTCAATGGGTTATTCTCAAACGTCATATGTCGGTTCCCCTTGGTACCTAGTTGAGGGGCTGATCAGAAAAACAAAATGGTTCGCTGGCAATCATCTGGAATTGGGATTAATATTATCACTTTTTCTTAAAGGAATTTTCACGTTTCATACAATTAAAAGCCAAAGAAACAAGTGTATTTGCCAAGACAGCCATATAATTTTTTTTTGTGACTGAGAAAGCCACCCAAAACACCCTTTTCTTCTTCCTCAGGTACACAATGAGGAACTCTGTGAATGTAACGGGTGTGTACGCCATCGTCCTCTCCTGGCCCACTAATGGTGTCCTTCAGCTGTTGGCCCCAATCACCCAGACCAGCACTGTCATTGAAATGCTTGGTGTACCTGGTAAAGAGCTCAAATACATCAAGGGAGTTAATGGAACCATCAACATTACTTTTCCAACAATCTCTACCGACCAGCTTCCGTCAACAGACGCCTGGGTCCTCAAAATGACCAACCTCAAGAACCAAAAGGTTTACCATCGTCCAGACTTTGTGGATATGGCAAATGTTGTGCCGATCAACCTCCAGCCATAGACACTTTCAGCTGTGAAATGAATGGAGCATTATTCTCCTAGATGGATTGAAAAACAAGTCTTTTGCTAAGAAAACTTTTTTTTTCTATTTCTTTGATTTTGAATATTAGAATCTCGCTCTCTCTTTTTTTATGTTTTATTTTTTTTAAATCTCCTTAAAAAATACACATTGTTAGTCCAAAAGTTGTAATGATAAAAACAAACGACTGTCATGTACATTTTGTACACAAATTTTTGATTTCTTTATGCAATATACCGTACTCTGATTTGCACTTAGATTTATGTTATTGTGATACAGATTGTCACTTTTGGATGTTTTACATCATTTTGGATATTTTTGTTACTACATAGAGTGTTTATCAGAGTAGACCTATTTTGATTTCATTGACGATATTAAATTGGTAATCTTGTCAATATTGCTAACAAAATAGGATAGATATCTTACATTGTTTACAACACCATATCCATGTGAACATTTCTACAGCTTGACCTCAGACAATATTTCAGCCTTATTTTGTATGAAAACACTTCGTGATATTTTCCTTTATATTTACAACACCTGTCCATAAAGTTTCCTAGAATCGATTCATCTATTTTTTGTAAAGAACTTTAGTTTTTCACAATGTTTTTGTGGCTTTAAAATTATAAATTTCTTGACAAAGTTTGAGGCTTGCTCTTTTCAGTACTCTAAGGACATGCTTAAACTTTTTAAAAATCCGTTCCTTGTTCTTGCATTTTAAAACAACTTTTGGACATTATTTTTTAATTCGCAAGGCAGTTTCACAAAAATTTCTGTGATAATGGTGGTCATATGACTTACTTGGGTTATAATCTCATAAAACATATTGCATAAATATCAAGTATGAATATGATATCACATAGAACATTCTTGCCATTCTTTAATAATTCTTCAACTAAAAGTAACCTCAGGTACCTGTGTGTATAATCCATTATATTTCACACTGTCAACTTGATCTACCTTCACCTGTTTGTGTATGTTTTCATCTTTTTTTGTTATATAAATATATGATACATAAATGTTATTTTTCAACAACTGTGAAACAAACTATTAGCTTATATTAATCAGTCATGTTGGCCAGGATGGCAGTGCATAGGGATGTGTTCCTTACTGAGGGTGGAAACTGGGGTATCCTAGAAAATCCCACGTGGTCGGGCAGGTGACCTCATACATTTTACATCCATTCAGAGAATCCAACCCCACGTTACTACTGTGCCACCTGACCATCTGTTCTTTAAGCGGTTCTGGTCTATATCATGATAAACATGATAAAGTTTTCATGTCATTTCTCTTCATCAAGGCCTTCAGACCCTTGAAGGAAAGATTTTTGCATAGCATTAATCATATGACTACCAATGCACCTGATTAGGTATATATTTTATGATAATATTTCTTACACATGTTCCATGACATAACAGAACAAAATCTAGTGATATCCAGGAGGTTAGTAAAGGCCCTATTTGTTTTAGTGTAATGACCTTTGCCACTGTTTTATCACATGTATATTTGTATATATATTATTTTTTTAGCACCAATTTGGAGTAAGGTGTTTTAGTTGAACTTATACACAAAAATGTAAGTAGTTTTTTTTTAGTTCATGAGAAGAAGTCATTTCTTTTCACAAACTTTTACGCAGTGGTGAAGCATCAGTCATCCATCTGTCTGTTGTCAACTTTTTACTTAAAGCAACTTCTTCTCAATAACCAATGGACCAAATGTTTCGATGTTTAGCTGGTATATTCCTAGGATTAAGCCAAACAAAGTTTGCAAAAAGAAATTACCTTGACCTATAATCAGGGTTTTGTTTTTTGTAAAGTTTGCCATGAAGAGATGCATTTACGAACAGCATTGTATAACAGGTCAAGGTCCATTTTAATTCTTGTTTGTTTTTTTTATGTTTTTTTTATATCACATTTAAGCAGATACAATTATCCAATAACTTATATGGAAATGCATGTTATACACAAGGATTCATAAATAGTAATGAAAAATACTCAAAATATCATCTTAATACTTTTTTTATCTAGGATTAATGAAGTGTTGTGAATTTTTTAAGTATGTGGAAAAAATGTCAATATTAGACCAATCAGAAGAAAAATTTCCATTCGCTACATTCAAACATTGATTTTCTGTCACAATTCAACTACTGTGATTCATCTTTGTTACATTTATCATGAACGAAGAAAACTGAAATAACTCTACGCAATTGATGTAGTGTCCTTAGCCAATACTTATACAGCCATGTGTGCTCATTTAGTAAAGAAAAGCTTGCGAAATATGCTTCTTAGCCAATAGTTGTAGAGGTATGTGAACTCCTGTAGAAAGCTTGTGAAGGACGTGATGTGTGGTATCAATGAGAAATTGTTAAACAATCTTTATTATTGATAGACACATTTGTTTATTATATTTAGTAACTTATAATCATTGAAAACATAGAATTCTTATATGTATTCATGACTTCATCGTTGAAAAGTTTAGAAATAATGTAAAGATTCAGGTCCTAAAGCCTGCGATAATATCTTTTCCATCTGTAACTGAAATTAGAACTATGCAATACATAATTATACAGTACACATAATTTTATCTTGGTGTGGGTGTATTTTTAACTGTTTACACTTAGTGAGATTATATTTTTTATGTTTTTGAACGTGTTGATTATCAATTTGATCTAATATTAATGAAATTTAAATCTTGTAACCAACGCAGAGGTGCCGACAGGTTCCTTCTGAGGTCCCTAGCTTTGTGGATACGGTAGGTATGGAGGGTGATGGTATGCAGAGAATAAGATATGATGAGTTACAACCTTAACTTACCACAGCTGATTCTTGTATTTATTCACTACACAGTGATGGTTGACAGGTTTCACATCTTTGATGATGCTTCATCAGAACCATCAGTTACATTGAAGTAGTTAAAGTACAGTTCAGACTGTTTCAATGTATAAAAATGGATGTAACAATTGACACTCTATATAGAACATCATAGAAAGTAGTTTAAAATGAATGAAACTAGAATATTTAAAAGTCATGGTTTTAAACAGGCTCAAATGTGGGATTCTCATGAATGAGTGCATGAAAGTATAGTCTATTTAGAAAGTTAAACTAGTGATGAATGGAATAAACATTTATGTATGCTGTATACACGGTTTCCAATGTGAGGTTTTGTACTGGGGAACTTGTCAATGTCGAAAGTGTCCGAGCTGTCTGATACTCTAGGTGGCTCTGCTGGGCTGATCATTTCACTCCGCGTGTAGTATGGAGTGGGGTCCTCTTGGAGAAGACTCTCTTTGCTGGATCAGTCCAATAAAGCAAGGTCCAAGGGATCCTCTTCGATTTGCTTGATTTTACAGTTGTTGAATGTGGCCATAGTGGTGAATGGTACTGGTCTAAATTTTACAATAAACAATTCCCTGGTCCAGGTTTCTTGTGGTCTGATGTTTTTATCTGGAATGGCAACATCCTTCCTGGTAGTATCTTCATCATCTTGATGGATTCCTCGTTATAGCCTGAAGGCATTTTGGCCATATTTTTGCTATGATCATATCTTCTTTTAAACGTAGAAAAACAAATCTTTCATTTGAAAAGTTTCCTCACAAACACATGAATTATATTTGTATGTTTCTTAAGGCTTCCGATCGTGATAAATGTTTTAGGGCATTTACCACATGGTATCTTTTGGTGTTTGTGCCAGCGGTCCGATGCATTTCCTTGTCCATGTAGCAAACAAATACAAAAATTACCTGTGGTGGGTGGAGGTTGTATTGCAACATATCTTTATCAAATATTGATGCGTTTTGTACAAATGTATTTATGCTGAGATTGCCAACTCTTTTAAAGGAGATGCAATGTTCTTTATATATTTTGATTTTTCATATATTTTAATTTCAAAAGTGTTTTTATCTCAAAAACATGATTAATATTGTGAATAAAACATTCCATTAATAGTAAAGTTTTACTTGTTGTCTTTAGAGAGTTCACCTCAGTTGCTGTTTTCACTCATATTAATTTCTGTTTTATAACCTGTGCCATTACTTATTGTGCTTGAAATAAAAATATCATTATATCACATAATAGCGTTAAGTGTCTTAAATTCTTTATACTAATTCTTCTTAATAACTTTTTAAGAATGTTTGGCCAGTAGGAGGTGGTATGAAGTATCATCAAAATTCTTTTTATCAACGACCTTCATCTATCCTCAAGTTCATGTGTCAAATGTTTTAGTATCTTTAAATGACATCTGAACAATAAAATGGCCAAATGTCATGATACTCCAGCAGTAAAACATGATGTTATGTTATCATTTGTTTAATGGATGACTTTGACCTTTCGAGGTCAAAGTTTACATGTGTTGAAATGTTTCAATTTCTTATAAAGATTTTAGCATTTTAAAAAGAACAGCAATCAATTTTGTTCAAATGACCTTTAAAGACTGCTAAGGTCATAGGGGTCTAATGCTATACATGTAATCCAATTTGTTAAAAAATTTCAATTAAAATGGCTTGTTGGTTATAGGAGTCATTGTATTTTGTAAATACCTTGCAGTGATAAATGACTATCAGTTTTTCGTTATATGAATGACTCTGACCCACTTTAAGGTTTATTGTCATCAATGTGTTCAATTACTTACATCTACATCTGCATAGCCATAATTCATGGTATTTGATCAATTACCTCACCAGAGATTTGGTAAAATAAAGTATTCTCTTAATCCTTTCATCAAATGCTTTTTCTTACTTGATCTGGGGTTTAATGTCTTCGCAACAACCGGGGTGAAAATCGAATCCCCATCTATTAACATGCTGGATATCTGACGGGGGCACTGGTATCGTTTTTCCCAGGTTCCATCTGTAGAAAAATACAATTGTGGCCCTTCTCAAATATCATTTTCTTACCAAATCACTTTATATTGTTGTTCAGGTACAGTATCGTTTAGATATTAAGTTCTCAATTAACAAAACTATTTATCAATGTTTAAAAGCAACAAAAGTGACCAGAAGCCCCCTTTTCCATAAAGTAGCAGCATACAGCATGTACTATCACCTGTAGCATGCAGCATGCACCAACACCTGTAGCATGCAGCATGTACTATTATCTGTAGCATGCACCAACACCTGTAGCATGCAGCATGTACTACTACCTGTAGCGTGCAGCATGTACTACTACCTGTAGCATGCAGCATGCACCAACACCTGTAGCATGCAGCATGCACCAACACATGTAGCATGCAGAATGCACAAACACCTGTAGCATGCAGCATGTACTACTACCTGTAGCATGCAGCATGCACCAACACCTGTAGCATGCAGCATGCACCAACACCTGTAGCATGCAGCATGCACCAACACCTGTAGCATGCAGCATGTACTAACACGTGTAACATGCAGCATGTACTATTACCTGTAGCGTGCAGCATGCACCAACACCTGTAGCATGCAGCATGCACCAACATGTGTAGCATGCAGCATGTACTATTACCTGTAACGTGCAGCATGTACTACTACCTGTAACGTGAAGCATGTACTATTACCTGTAGCATGCAGCATGTACCAACACCTGTAGCATGCAGCATGTACTAATACCTGTAGCATGCAGCATGTACTACTACCTGTAACGTGCAGCATGCACCGACATGTGTAGCATGCAGCATGTACCAACACCTGTAGCATGCAGCATGTACTAATACCTGTAGCATGCAGCATGTACTAATACCTGTAGCATATGCAGGACCTAATAGTTTCCGAATGGTTAACCTGTGTGATCTGGTGCCCGTTAGTATTGTAATTATGTATGTAGAATAGTGTTATTTCCTGTAGAATATGGAGTTGCTCAACTGAATGTTAGGTATAACTAGTGTTTAGTGTTCTTCTAGTGTTAAAAGTTTTCAATCATGTTTTAAAAGAGATAACCCAGATATATATTTTTTTCTAATGCAATTTGACTGATATTAAGGTTATTCATACTAAGCAGGCCACAGCACCCCTTTAATAGTAAATGTCCACTGTCAAGTGTCATTCAAGAATGCGTCTTTCTTGGTTTTATGGACAACATGATTTGGTTTAAATTTCATGTTGTCATGTTAACTTAGTTGCAAACCTGCTTTCTCCATTGAAAATTTAAGTTTGTTGTTTAACCTGTAATATAAAGCTACGATTTTTATCCTTGTATTTAAGAATCTGGCTTTATTAACAATTTTCTGGGTTAGGAAGGTTAGTGTAAATGGTTTTTTGTTAGGAATTTCAACAAATGATGAAGTACCACCACACCAACATAACACTGGAGTGATCAGAATGTTCTCATCATCACTTTCTACCTGGTATTGATGACTGATGAAAATGAGAGTACTGTAGTGACAAAATGTATCAGCCTTACAGACCAATTTATGTCAATTTGTAATGTAGAGATAGAGCAACAGACACAGAACCTTTATACTTTATTTTTATAAGGATACAGAAACATTGCGACTTTGCACTTCCATGTATCATTCACTCAGTTCATTTTTTTCATATCTTGAGTTAGGTGAATGGGATTTTATTACATTTTTAAAGTGTTAAAAACTTGTATGTTTTCTTTGAGGTTATGATAGAATATTTCTGTAGACATCTGGGTGATCACAAAAGATATTGATATTATGTCATACTTATAAATTTCTCTCATTTCTGCTTTATATAATAGAAAGAAATATACACTTTCAACTCCTGAAGAATAATTTTTATTGGGATTGCCTCCCTTTGCATTTCACAACTTTTCTTAACCAATGCTGAACTAACGCACACACACTCATTTATTATAAATCATTTATCATAAATTTACTAGATTCCAGTTTTTCTAACAAAAAGTCAAGGTTATGTTACCATCTCTATTATATTATGACATTTCCTAAAAGTCTGCACATGGGCTTCATTTCTGTTAGAATTTTGCAGAATTCTCTGAATATTTTTTAACACATCTGATTAAAAAGAATATTTTTCTTGAACAGAAGTTTGTTGTACAAATATACTGAGTGTAGAATTATATTTCTGAGTCATGCTCTTGCACTGATGCAGTCATCAGTGAGGTAGATCAGTCTACTTTTCACATTATTGGGATCCCTCACAATTATGTAACATCCAGTGTTAAGCACAGTGAAGAAAAGTTTGCACAACAATCAAGCTCAGACAGGGATCTCAATTTAAGAGGACATCCAAGCCCAGTGAATACTGATGTACACTGATGTGCTCAATGATGAAGACTTCAGGTACATCCCAGCACATTCAGGAAGACTTGAGGGATGTCAAATCAAAATGATGAAGACTTGAGGGATGTCCCAACACAGTTCTGTTGACTTTAATGACAACTCAGTACATAGCTTTTGAATCCAGGGACCCAGCACACTGATGAAGACTTTCATAATGTCCCAACACCACATTGATGTATGGAGATTCCAGCACAGTGACAAGATTTCAATAATACCCCAGCACACTGATGAAGAGGAACGTCCCAACACCACACTGATGTATGGAGATTCCAGCACAGTGACAAGATTTCAATAATACCCCAGCACACTGATGAAGAGGAACGTCCCAACACCACACTGATGTCGTGAAGAGACTTTGGGAATGTTCCAGTAGATTGAAGCCAGGCCTTCCATTTCTATATCGATGATATTTTCACCTTAAACACAGACAAAAATCAGTTTTGTTACAGAACTCAATCAACTAGAATGCACAATTACCGGGGTATTTTTCTTTTTTCTTGTCATGTTATTATCTACACTAGCTAAACTGAATGTTTATAACAATAAAACTCAATGAAATATCACTTAGAACTCATTCAAAACTACAGTTCAACCAACAATAACATTCCAATGCTATATATCTGAAAATTACTCACGTTCATAACATCATTAACATTTTTTGTAAAAATCCTCAGCTTGACAAATAAAGCTAGAGTGACTTCAATGGAGTGGAACACACTGAAATACATGTTAGTATTGTCCACACAAAATACATGCCAAATATTTCTTAAAAAATTGTTCTAAATAAAGTTGCCTAAGAGATGAACAGTTCTGATATGTTCTGCACAAAAATGGACAATCGAAATGTAATTAAATTTGTTACCACAGAATGAATTTCAAAAAGACCTCACCTTAATTGTATCCATGGAACGACAATGTTTCTACTTTTTACAATTACTTTTAACTACATAGTTTAGTGTGGCAAAATGTTCTAGCAAAGCATGTCTTTGAAGAGAAACCTTGATTTATAGTTCAACATTTGCCCAGCCTTGTATCGGTGGGCCCAGAGATAGTTACTGTGAGATGGTAGACAGTACCTGTGTTATAAAGATTTACTGTCAGATGGTAGACAGTACCTGTATTATAAAGATTTACAGTCAGATGGTAGACAGTACCTGTGTCATAAAGATTTACTGTCAGATGGTAGACAGTTATGAAGATTTACTGTCAGATGGTAGACAGTACCTGTGTCATAAAGATTTACAGTCAGATGGTAGACAGTACCTGTGTCATAAAGATTTACTGTCAGATGGTAGACAGTACCTGTATTATAAAGATTTACTGTCAGATGGTAGACAGTATCTGTGTTATAAAGATTTACTGTCAGATGGTAGACAGTACCTGTGTTATAAAGATTTACTGTCAGATGGTAGACAGTTATAAAGATTTACTGTCAGATGGTAGACAGTACCTGTGTTATAAAGAAAGCAGCAGACTGTCAAAGTCAGGTGTACAAACAAGTCTCTTGTTGACGTGTCCAAGCACTGCCATACGACCAGCATCTCCTCCACTACAGGTAGTTTCTATGGAAACTAGATCCTGCAAAACAAATGTTACCCCTGTATAATACATGGAAACCACAAGTAAAATGTACAAGATATATTTGTAGCAATCTGTACCACTAAAACTATTTATTGATCTGGTTTGAGGGAGATTTGTTTCCTCTCATACCTCTATTTTATTGGTCAAGTGGCACATTGTAGAAAGGGTGGGATGGAGCAAAAAGGACTAGGTGTAGTGAAGCATGTAAAAAGGCAGCATGGAGCAAGAAGGGACACTGCCTAGTGAAACAAGGAGAAAGGCAGAGTAGAGCAAATAGGAACAAGGTGCAGTGAAGACAATAGAAAGGTTGGTAGTAGCAAGTAAGGACAAGGTGCAGTGAAGACAATAGAAAGACTGGTAGTAGCAAGTTAGGACAAGGTGCAGTGAAGACAATAGAATGGCAGGTAGTAGCAAGTTAGGACAAGGTGCAGTGAAGACAACAGAAAGGCTGGTAGTAGCAAGTAAGGACAAGGTACAGTGAAGACAATAGAATGGCTGGTAGTAGCAGTAAGGACAAGGTGCAGTGAAGACAATAGAAAGGCTGGTAGTAGCGAGTTAGGACAAGGTGCAGTGAAGACAACAGAAAGACTGGTAGTAGCAAGTTAGGACAAGGTGCAGTGAAGACAATAGAAAGGCTGGTAGTAGCAAGTTAGGACAAGGTGCAGTGAAGACAACAGAAAGGCTGGTAGTAGCAAGTAAGGACAAGGTGCAGTGAAGACAATAGAATGGCTGGTAGTAGCAGTAAGGACAAGGTGCAGTGAAGACAATAGAAAGGCTGGTAGTAGCAAGTAAGGACAAGGTGCAGTGAAGACAATAGAAAGGCTGGTAGTAGCAAGTAAGGACAAGGTGCAGTGAAGACAATAGAAAGGCTGGTAGTAGCAAGTAAGGACAAGGTGCAGTGAAGACAATAGAAAGGCTGGTAGTAGCAAGTAAGGACAAGGTGCAGTGAAGACAATAGAAAGGCTGGTAGTAGCAAGTAAGGACAAGGTGCAGTGAAGACAATAGAAAGGCTGGTAGTAGCAAGTAAGGACAAGGTGCAGTGAAGACAATAGAATGGCAGGTAGTAGCAAGTTAGGACAAGGTGCAGTGAAGACAATAGAAAGGCTGGTAGTAGCGAGTTAGGACCTGGTAGTAGCAAGATAGGACAAGGTGCAGTGAAGACAATAGAAAGGCTGGTAGTAGCAAGTTAGGACAAGGTGCAGTGAAGACAACAGAAAGACTGGTAGTAGCAAGTTAGGACAAGATGCAGTGAAGACAATAGAAAGGCTGGTAGTAGCAAGTTAGGACAAGGTGCAGTGAAGACAATAGAAAGGACAGGTGAAGCAAGTTGTAGTAGGACCCAATGGAAATGCATGATTACATGGGATGTGACTTGGTACACATGTAAAACATGGACCCCTCAAAGTAGAAAGAGAATTTATAGTAACATCCTTCAAGTAAAATAAAGACCAAGTTGACTGCTCCAATGCATTAATAACATGTATTTAATCTTTTATTTTAAGCACATATTAACAGTTTTAAACTAGTGATATCATCCTTGAACTTCAGCTTGTATCACTTTCAAACTGTCTTAACCAGTTCTCTAAAACTGCCTTCAAGTGATACACACAGTTTTGTAAGATCAAAAACACAAATCAAAATGTGTCCAACGTTGAGAAATTTTGTTGTTTACATAATCACAACTCTCCTTCTTTTTGCTGGGAGAGGTTGATGCAGCTATGTGTTATAACACCAAAGAAGTAAACTTGACAAGGAAGTGGTAAGCAACTTTCCCATATTGGATTTTTAAAATTTTTATTCCAGCAGCAGTTGCTAATGTAGAAAACATGATTTTGGAAAGGCTATCAGCTCAGTAATTGATGAAATAATGATCTCTTTTCTTCCATCTGGTTGCTATCAGGATATCTGGTCTATATTTTGGATTAAACGCTGAACAATGTTGTTCCAATATACAAATATTTCTAAGAATACCTGTAAGAATCCACATTTGGTTCCCATGGAAACATCTAGTGTGATGTTGCCAAGCACAAGCTGTGTACGTCCAGATTTCCGCACCACCAGTTTACCCATATATCCCTCAGAGAAATCCGTCAGAGAACAGGAGCCCATTTTCTTGGCAAGATCATCCTGTAATATGGTATCTTACATATTCTACCTAAAATACTTTCTACACGATTGATTTCTTTTTTACTAGGTGATCAAATCAAAATATAAAACCACATGGGTACATTGAGCTCTGAATTATGAAAATGTTATTTTGTCTTTGAAGCTAGAATTTTAAACATTTTTAATGAATGATCTGACAACTTACCTTTTCAAGGTATCTTGAAACTTAATAAAGTGCAAAAAGTTTAACAAAATTGCAATACTAGAACATCAATGAGGAATGAAATGTTAATGTAAGTGGGTTGTGAGAGGATAATATTTTAACATTTAATTTAGATATCATGCCAGTGCAGTTGATAATTATGTTTAAAAGGTCTGGACTGGCTAACTTATGTCATAATTAAGAAATTACCGCATCCTTAGTCCCAGTCTGGGATTTCTGTCGATCTCCAATGTCTCCTCCCCTATTGCTGGCTGGAACACCAGGCATGGTATCAGGGAATTGAAAAAATAGAAAGTCTGTGTTTTCTGTGAAGTTAAAAATAAACGTTTTAAAAAGAAACATGGTTTTATCTTTAGCTCAGTTAAACAAATTCTGGAACACATACTTTGGAAAACCTGACATGCAAACGCTTAAACGTAGATCTTGTTTCCTCACTTTAGAGAATGTTATCATTAAAACTTTGCTAATACATGCTGTGTATAGCCAGTTATTTTTCCAAGGAGGATATTTCACTATTTCTCTGTACATAAAATTTTGTCATGAAAGTTTTCATCACAAAAAATTGGAGAACCCAAATATTACCATCTATATGGTAATAGAAATTTCCAGACGATCAAGTCTGTTTTGTTGAATAATGGCCACAAAAAGGGCACATGTAAATTATAAGATAAGTGTGAATAGAGATGGTTCTAAACCTACTGACAACATATTAACAGCTCAGCCAAATGATATGTTGATTTACAGTAAACCTTCTGTCAACAATATTAATCAAATATCAGTTAACCTGTTCAAATTATACAAAATAATGCTTGGGAAACTAAATTAGAGTTTGAACTATCAGGGTCAACATTACCCAAAATCACGACGAAGTTGTCTCCGAGTGTCCTTACAGGGCAAGAAACTACCAGTCAAAAATGGGAATTTCTTGGGGGAAAATGTCGTTTATGAAATCATTATCTTTTGAAACACTTATGACTGTTAACACAGGTGTCTTTCTGATCTTTTTTTTTTTTTGATACTGTGATGTAGAAACCGGCCCATAATAAACACATTTCTGTTTGTGTATTAGCGTAAATTGGCAATGACATCAGCATGTGGAGTTTGGATTGATACTTAATGTAACTATGGATTAATGTTTGCCAAAATCTTATATTCATTTTTGAGATAGTCTTGATGTGATTATCTATCAAAATGTGAAGTGAAACAAGAGGCCTAATGGGCCTGCATTACTTTTAGTTCATGATAACATTTTGTTGACCGGTTTTAACAAATTTCACCCTGATGATCTTGAATTTATTAAAACCCAGTAAAGCTTCAAAATTCATTTCAAACTTCTCTCCTTTTCAGTAAAGCTCCATAGGAAGCTTTGTTCTTATTTTGGTTAACATTTCTTGAATTATATAGAGGCAGTCTTGAATACTAAACCAAACTTCTACTGGAAGACATATTTTTTATGAAGGTGAAAGATTTATTTTATTGTTACAATACTTCAATCTAATAACGACAAACAGCAGACAGTGTTGAACAAAAACACATCTGACTGAACTAAAACTAAGAAAGTATCTTACTGAACTGCACACAATCTGACATGTTTTGTTTTCAAAGATAATATACAAGAACAACCCTTCACCTGTTTTCCCATGGTTCGTAAACAGCTGATCACAAGTCTCTTCAACAACAACAGGAGATTGCTGACGTCCAGTGACTTTGGGCGGCTTGGAGTCAACAGTGTCCACTTCAGCAGAAAAACCAGGTTCCTCTGAAAGTAGAGTCAAGACGTTGTTGATACTGGAGTAGGATGAAATTAGAAAATTTCTACAGACAGCATACAATGTAACAGAGAACGTCTTTTGTTGGTCTCCTGCTCAAATGGTTTTAGTTCAAAATGTACCTAACATTTACCATTAAAGAATACACTGCTTCAGTGGCTGTTCACACATAACCATTTATAAAATGTTAATGTCATGACAGAGAAAATGAAATTACAGTATTAGAGAATAATTCACAGACACTTAACATATACTCTGAACACAAACTATTGCTGAAGGAAATAGAGGATCCAAAACGTCTGTAAATGTAATGCACTAGGATGGAGTATTGCAAAACACCCCTGCCCCCAGCTGGGTTTGAACTAGCAACCATTCAGTCTCTAGCTGGACACTCTACACCTCAACTAAAAAGAAATTTCCAGTAGTCAAAGTTTGTAAGGTGACCTGTAATCTCAGCTACACTTCTCCCTCCTCCACAAAGTCTTTGACCCTGAAGACACCAACAACCCAGGTTCAGTAGCTCCTGTAATCTCAGCTTCTACACTACTCCCTCCTTCACAAAGTCTTTGACTCTGAAGACACCAATAACCCCAGTTCAGTAGCTCCATAGAAGCATCTCCATCTCATACAGCTTCTACCCTTGGAGTGATCAACAGCATCAAATATTTAATGGGAAAGAGTAATCAAAAATAATCTTCCACCACTGGGGTTCGAACTAGCAACCCATCTGTCTAAAGTCAGACATAAGAGAAATTCTCACTAGCCCAAGCTAGTAAGGTGATATTACTCTCCACTTCTGCAGTAACATGGAAGTTATTGTAACTTTGAAAGAGGTCCTAAATTTAGGGTCTGATGCATTAGGCAAGTAGCATAATGATTCTATATGCTTGATTAATTTCACCCTGACAATGATATTACTCAGAAATAAGCAAAAAAACATTCCTCTTTGGCACAAATGTAAAAAACCATAACACATCAAAAACTGGGTAATATTTCACATACTATCAGGACAATGATGTGAAATCATTCCTATCTAATGTTATACTACCCAATGATATCTAGTAGGTGTCTAATGCCATTTATGACATGGATGTGTCACAAGGCCTTCACTTTAGTAACTTTTTAATCAATGTAGTGGTTAGTAGTTTAGAATACTAATATTTGTGGTGAGATAATACCCAGACACGACAGGACTCACGGAGATGGAATACCTATCAATCAAGACATGACAGGACTCACGGAGATGGAAAACCTTTCAATCAGGACACGACAGGACTCACGGAGATGGAAAACCTATCAATCAGTTTGGATAAGCTGTAGCTGATTGTATCGAATTGACATAGACTTTTGGAAAGGAAAAGAAAACAAATTCGGAGAAGGTCAAGGAGAGTAGATCTGACCAGAGGTGGTGTTTCTGGTCTCTGAACAAAACTTCCTCGTTTCAGCGAAATACTTACATTGTTGCTATGGATTTTGTGGCTGTTTGAAACTATATCGAGTACATTAGTGGTACTTGTGGTGATGATTTCTTGTGTATAAGAAGACTTTTAAGGAAAAACTTTTTGGATTGAACCAGATCTCACTATGGTCCAGTGAACACTCTATTGACCACTATCAGCTATACTGCACTTGGTGACATTTACAGGTAGTTCACCTGAGTGTGACTGCTTGCTTATATTGTTTATAGTGTGACTAAAGTGTTCTGCATATACTATTTTTGTGAATATGACTTCTACCAGGCGCTTGAGTGTGAGCAGCAATAAAGGGCACAAAGTTTTCTTTTCTGGAAGACTTAGTGACATCTCCAAAGGAAAATCTGTACACCTGTCTAAGAGGAAAATCTGTACACCTGTCTACAGAGGAAAATCTGTACACCTGTCTAAGAGGAAAATCTGTACACCTGTCTACAGAGGAAAATCTGTACACCTGTCTACAGAGGAAAATCTGTACAGCTGTCTAAGAGGAAAATATGTACACCTGTCTACAGAGGAAAATCTGTACACCTGTCTACAGAGGAAAATCTGTACAGCTGTCTAAGAGGAAAATATGTACACCTGTCTACAGAGGAAAATCTGTACACCTGTCTACAGAGGAAAATATGTACACCTGCCTACAGAGGAAAATCTGTACACCTGTCTACAGAGGAAAATATGTACACCTGCCTACAGAGGAAAATCTGTACACCTGTCTACAGAGGAAAATCTGTACACCTGTCTACAGAGGAAAATCTGTACACCTGTCTACAGAGGAAAATATGTACACCTGTCTACAGAGGAAAACCTTGACAGTATATTTTATATACTAGCTGTACTCAAGGAGTACAGATGATAAATCTGAGGGAGGAAATAACAAAAGAGAACAGAGAACTCATCGAGAAATATGACGGCCACTATATCTGACCTGGAAGAACAGAATGATGATTTGAAATAAACAGTAAGCAAATTAGAGCAGCAACTAGCGGATGCAGATGATAGACACTGTGAGCTGGAAAATAAACAAAATGACAAAAAAACATGGAAGGAAAAACTCAATTCGCATAGTGGGACTTGATGACTCCAGTAAGAATGAAACAGTGGATGAATTTGTCAGCAAGATCGTGAAGCTAGTGAAAGACAAACTGAAAAAAGGGATAAGTAAGGATGACATTGACATAGCACATAGACATAGAGTTTACCAGCAGGGAAAACCACGCAATGTGATATGTAAATTCACACACCGCGAAAATTGATATCATAAGGAAAAGGAAAGTGCTGAAAGGATCAGGATGTTTTATAGCAGAGGACTTAACCAGAAGAAACCAGCAGAGACTGAAAGAAGCGTTCAAACTTTCTTGTGTAGACCGTACCTGGAGCGTAGATGGAAAACTGTTTATGTTATTCAAAAATGGGAAAAAACGGAGACGGGGTGGTCAATCCGATTGCTTTTAGATAATCTTTAAAAATAGGTTGGATACAAAGGATTTTTTAGATCAGAAGGTAAATGGTTAGAGATCTTAAAAACTCAGGTGGTTAAATACGAATATAATTGTTGGTAAAAAAAACATTTTTTTCCAAAAATGGTTTGAGAAAGGGATTACAATAATAAATGATGTAGTTAAGGGCATTACATCCTGTTCTTTTTATTCCTTTGAGGAGTTCTGTGATTTGTATGGTTACATATCCAATTATCTCCAATACTATGGGCTGTTAAAAAGTATTAGGACTTATCTTAAAAATCATGACATTATAAACAAACCTCTACCTTATCCAATCATACCGTTAGATCTAGAAATCATTTTGAAAATGAGAAATGGATCTCAGGACATTTATAGCATACTAAATAGAAATAACACAACTATTACTGCACAAAGTAAATTTTGATAATGATATATAGGAAAAAATATACTCCCTCCCGTTCAGGACAACTAACAATACAAAATTTCAATGGTTACAGTTTTGTATAAACCATCACATTTTAACTACTAACTCTTATATTTACAAATAATCCTCACTGTACTTTTTGTATGACAAAAAGGGAGACAATTACTCACATTTTATGGGAATGTAATGAGGTACAAAAGTTATTAACAAGTCTTGAAACACTATTAGAAGTTCTTACTATTAACTTTTCCGTAAATAAACAAGCTATGATTTTTGGAATATATGAACAAGCAGGTCTTTACAACTGAATAGATAATGAAATTATTTTACTTATTAAACAATATATATATAAAACCAGATGTTTTCATAATTCCCTAAATGTTAAGGTATAAGCTAACCAGATTAAGGAGTACTATAAAGTCCAGAAATATGTTACTTAAGGTGAAGGAGAAGACTATCTTAAAAAATTTAATAATAAATGAAAGAAATGGATGAAACATGTTGAGCTCTCCTCAATTTGAAATTCTAATTTTGTGAACACATCATCATGTACTTTTCTATTACTACTCTTTATGAAGATAATCTGAAAGTCTGACCACTCACTATCCCCCCCCCCTCCCCCACCCTCCATCTCTCCTTTTCTCGCTCTATCTCTTGCCCTATTATAAGTATTGTATTTGTCTTCTTATGGTGCTGATGAATGATTAAGTGATTATGTGTGTGTGTGTGTGTGTGTGCGTGTGCGTGTGCGTGTGTGTGTGTGTGAGCTAGACGTAATAGTTAGATGGAGAATAGTGATGACAGGCATGTATACATATTCATTGTGAAAATAATAGAATGTCGTCTGATTATGCCGTTGAGGATGATTGGGTGGATGATGGATGGATGGACGGATGGACGGACGGACGGACGGATGGATGGATGGATGGATGTCTTCTTTGTACACTTATGTCAAAATCTTTCAAAAATAAAAAATTATAAAAAATTTCTCCTGTAGGATATATTCTCTTGAAAAACTTACTTTTGATCTTGACATTGGTGACTTCATCAAGACTAGGTTTTGTCTGTCTGTCCACCATGGCACACAGAGGCAACACAACAGGCTGAGTGGTGGGGTCTTCAATCTCAAGAGACGTATCTATAAACTGTAATGGGAACAAGTACAGAGTCTGAAGGAGATTTACTTCATCCCACAGTACACTTCCCCTTGTATACTGACAATGTCTATCAGTACACTGACAATGTCTATCAATATACTAACAATGTCTATCAGTACACTGACAATGTCTATCAGTACACTGACAATGTCTATCAGTACACTGACAATGTCTTCTTGTACACTAACAATGTCTTCTTGTACACTAACAATGTCTATCAGTACACTAACAATGTCTATCAGTACACTGACAATGTCTATCAGTATACTAACAATGTCTATCAGTACACTGACAATGTCTATCAGTATACTGACAATGTCTATCAGTACACTGACAATGTCTATCAGTACACTGACAATGTCTATCAGTATACTGACAATGTCTATCAGTACACTGACAATGTCTATCAGTACACTGACAATGTCTTCTTGTACACTAACAATGTCTATCAGTACACTGACAATGTCTATCAGTACACTAACAATGTCTATCAGTACACTGACAATGTCTATCAGTACACTGACAATGTCTTCTTGTACACTGACAATGTCTATCAGTACACTAACAATGTCTATCAGTACACTGACAATGTCTATCAGTACACTGACAATGTCTATCTGTACACTGACAATGTATATCAGTACACTAACAATGTCTTCTTGTACACTAACAATGTCTATCAGTACACTGACAATGTCTATCAGTACACTGACAATGTCTATCAGTACACTGACAATGTCTATCAGTACACTGACAATATCTATCTGTATACTAACAATGTCTATCAGTACATTGACAATGTCTATCAGTACACTGACAATGTCTTCTTGTACACTAACAATGTCTATCAGTACACTGACAATGTCTATCAGTACACTGACAATATCTATCAGTACATTGACAATGTCTATCAGTACACTGACAATGTCTTCTTGTACACTAACAATGTCTATCAGTACACTGACAATGTCTATCAGTACACTAACAATGTCTATCAGTACACTAACAATGTCTATCAGTACACTGACAATGTCTATCAGTACACTGACAATGTCTATCTGTACACTGACAATGTCTATCAGTACACCGACAATGTCTATCAGTACACTGACAATGTCTATCTGTACACTGACAATGTCTATCAGTACACTAACAATGTCTATCAGTACACTAACAATGTCTATCAGTACACTGACAATGTCTATCAGTACACTGACAATGTCTATCAGTACACTGACAATGTCTATCAGTACACTGACAATGTCTATCAGTACACTGACAATGTCTATCTGTACACTGACAATGTCTATCAGTACACCGACAATGTCTATCAGTACACTGACAATGTCTATCAGTACACTGACAATGTCTATCAGTACACTGACAATGTCTATCTGTACACTGACAATGTCTATCAGTACACTAACAATGTCTTCTTGTACACTAACAATGTCTATCAGTATACTAACAATGTCTATCAGTACACTGACAATGTCTATCAGTACACTGACAATGTCTATCAGTACACTGACATTGTCTTCTTGTACACTAACAATGTCTTCTTGTACACTAACAATGACCCCTAGTACACTAATGATGTCCCCCAGTAGACTAACAATATCCCTTAGAACACTAACAATATCCCCCCGGTACATTTATAATGTCCCCAGAAGACTAACAATGTCTCTCAGTATACTACCAATACCACAAGTACATTAACAATGTCCCCCTATAGACTCACATCATCCCTCAGTAGATAGTCAAGGACATGTTTGGATCCATCTTCATCCCTGTCTTTCTTGATCCCAGTCCTGATGCCTCCAGTTGCCGAGGATGATCTTGATCCTCCACCCCCTCCACCACCTCCACCACCACTACCTCCAGCACCACCTCCTCCTCCACCACCACCAAGGTAGTCTCCAGAGAACTCTGTACCTGAAATAGACACCAAAAACTGGAATACAATGCAATATTTACATACGAAGTTTTGTCATTTATACTGACTATAAATATCATAGCAAAGGAAGTACAGAATGACTAAAGTACATATTAGATACGTGATTGTATGTATAGTGCCACATTTCTCCTTTGTATATATCTCAGGCTTGTTTTACTGGTTATATAATTTTCTATCAAATTTGGAGCTGCTCTTCTTTTCAGCATAGAAAATCTATACAAAAGAAATGGACTATCAGAATGTTTTTCTTCGTCTTTACCTAAGACTACACAGTCCAAAACCTGATTGGCAGAACTACTGCAGACTCCTATATTGTTACATTAATGAATTTCAACAAATAAAATCAAAAGGATTAAACTCCTGAAAAATATCTGTCAAAATACACCAGAAACAAATATAATGAGAAGGAAAACAATTTCTACATTTACATCAGGTTGCATTGGAAAAGTTTTGGGAATTTCTTCCTAAAGGGTTTAATATCAATCTATATTTTTTTCTGCACTGTTCACAGATCTGTTCAGAAAATTATATTTGAAACTCAAGCTAGTGGAATTATTGAGTATAGACAGCTGATAACTAAGGTATGAAATTATTAACCTTCAATATTACAACACCCTACCTCGTGATAATTTCTCTGTTGGACCTTGCTCAAAAATGGAATGTGACTGAATTACATCCTGTGGCTTGCCCCTTCCTCTGCCCCGACCACGCCCCCTGCCCCTCTCTGACCCTTTTCTATCAGTACTGTGAGCTCTTTTTCCTTCCTTCTTCTGCCCTTCATCTTGTGCTTGACTTCAAATAAAAAATACAAATAAAAATTATTTTGAAAGATTTTAATCCTAATTTCATAAAGTACTCATTTTATTAATGGAAATCAAAACACACATTTGAAACTGCTCGACCAGTTGAACCTGATAAAAAAATGCTAGGTACTGATCAGGACCAAGGCTGGACTGCAGAATATTCAGCACATACAGACTGAGGGGTCCAGCCTTTCTTATCCAAAATTGACATGCTGAATATCATTAGTTTTCAGAATTTCAGCATAAAGCAGGGTCAGTGCATGCACCTATCTTCGTAAACAATGTACTTTCAAGTAGGAGTTATATGAATGATATCTTGTTTTTAGTTTATTGTTTTATCCTTGACAGGAAATTCTGAAACTGTGCATGTTAATCTCTTTATATATCAGCCTTAACATCCAGTACATACCAAGTATGTATTTGTGTATCTAGAATAGTTCCAGACTACCTGAATCATTTCAAACAGGTTACACCAAAGCAGCCATTAGTTAACAAAACAGATTCTCCTGGAGCACTTCATGTGTGTAATAGGAGTGGGTTTGTATGTTTGTTTATATACTATGTATATAGTGTTAAATATGGTCTGTGTCATTCAGCTGACAGAACATACTTCTTTGGCTCAGTTGGTAGAGCCAGTCGATTATCATACCAGAGACCTGGGTTCAATTCCTGATCTGGGCACTCGACAGGAATGTGTATTTTCTCTGTTCTTTCACATGTGTGCATACTTCTCTATAACTTAAGAGGTTTAAATCAACACACATAAATATATATATACAATACCTATCCTTTGTCTTGTCTCGTCTCGCTGTAGGGATTGTAGGTGTGAAAACCTTTTTTGGAATTCCTCCGAGTGTTAAGTCTCTAGGCCCTCTAAAAGATGGCAATCTGAAATTACAAAGAAAAATAATGTTTAAGTATCCTTACATTTAATTCTCATCCTACTTCACCTATTTCATGAAGACTGATATTAAAACTTTTAGAAAATTGACAGATGTAAAAATCGGCGCACACCAACGTAATTGAGAAAGAAACTCTTGTTCTAATCACTTAAATGTGTTTCACTTCAGTTTAATTCCATATTTAGATTACTTTCAAAATGCATGAAATTTTAAAAATCATTTATTGTTAAGTCATTTTTTATGCTATGAAATCTTCTCTCTTTCTGACAGACCAACTCTGTTTAAGCCTGTGGAGTTCAATGTGTAATTCATCTGTCCTACCTGTTGGGGATGGAAGGCATTACATTACTTCTCAACTAAAGCCAGAGCAAGGAGTAGGTTGGTTATTACAGGGCAATAAAATAACATTTGGTTTATATCTATAACATGTCTTTCAAAGTAAATGGATATAGGATAATTAGATTAAAGGATAAATTATAAATGGGAAGAGTGAAGAAAATAGTTACGTACAAACCAATAATTTCAATCTCTGTCTAGTTATTCAACTCTAGATTTCCCCTTGATTCGTCACCCCTAAACAGGGCGAGAAAATTTCTTGAAAACACACTTGTCCCACAGGACGAGCCCAGCATGAGAACCACTCGTCCTGAGATCAAATCTACAAGTCCCATGTATTATGTATGATCAGTATTGTAAAAATAACAAAACATGATATCAACATTTTAATTATTGGTTTCTTTTGTTGATCATGACAAATCAGCTAAGGTATAAACAACCAAGCTGAGCTACATATGTATAGTGTCATTTTAAACTGTAATCATTCAGTTTATTCATCATCAGACACAACTTCAATTTCAGGTAGCTGATCAATTTCACTAGTGTTTTTCCCCTCAGACTGTTGATGAGATGATGAAAGACGTCTCCTTGAAAACAACTGTAAAGAGGAGCTTGCAAAGATCCAAATCTATCACTGATATATTGAATGGCATTGTCAAGGAACTTAGTGAATGTTGCCTGCAAATCTATTCTAGTTTTAGAGAGAGAAACTGACTGTTTTGAGTCCTGTCCACATTTTAAAACACCATCTGTGTAATTATGTACAAACTTACTGAAGTAATTTGATGATGACAGACCATTTCCTTTTAATTCTGACAATTCCCAACATGCCAACTCCAACTTCCTAACAACATCTGTCACAAACAAGTCATCCCTTTGGTAGCTTTCACTCAGATTTTTCAAAACTGAGGTAACATCAAGCATGAAATATAAAAATTTCACAAACATGTCTGTTTTCAATTCCGTCAACAGACCTCTAGATTTTGCTGCATCTTCTCTAGATCCTTGACCAACATGTTCTTTAAGTGGTAGACAGCAGCAGTATAGTGTTTCTCAAGAGCAATCAAAGACCTGTGCCTACTGGCTAACCAACAAATTTGCTATACTCCATTGAAATATGCCTGATTCTCATCAATGATTTCACAGAGAGCTTCGAGTTCTCTTCGTTTTTTTGAGAATTAAGATTGAAAGATACTTTATCAGTATTGTCAAATTGCTGCAAATATGGAACTGTCTTTACAGCATCCATAACACTAAGTTCCAAGTTATGTGCAACACAATGGATTGCTAACTGATGGGGAACTTTCTCTGTTAACTTTGTAGCAACACCTGATATTTTGCCCATCATTACGGCAGTACCATCAAAACTGCAGCCAACTAGTTTGATTTCAATATCATCCTGAGATAACCCAGCAGCCTGCAAACCCTTCTCAATGCCTAATAAAACCCTCTCAGCAGTAGCATTTCCAAGTGAAACTACGTCACATAAATGTGTCTCAGGATAGCCTGAGAATCCACAAACCTAACAAACACTGCCTCTTGCTTTACTATTCCAACATCTGTATTACCATCAAACAAAATACAAATAAACCAAGTTTCCTTCAACTCATCCACAACAGATTCGACTTCAGTTTCAGCTATTGATTTTATGAAGGTCGCACATGCCTCATCATTTTTATATTTTAGACCAAGATCTACCCCATTTTTTCCATGTAAATCACAAAGACCTTGAAATGATTTAAAGGACTGACCCTGCTTTGTAACATAAAATAGTGTCGAACAGACAGCGAATTTGTTTTTGTATGTTATCATTTAGAGTCAGGGATATTTTTTTCAAAGGTCCAACATAATCTGGCCGACTACCAAGTTTCTTTTCATGACACTTAACATGTTGTTTGGACTTGTTGTGATGAGTAAGAGTTTCTTTCTTAAAATTTCCTGCACCCCGTTCTCTTAAAAAGGCCACTATCCGTGTCTGCTATGGTAGGAAATTAACAACAAGTGGTACAATACATTTGATATTTATCCTCGTCTTACATAACCCATGGAAATTCCTTCGTCTACTCAGATTTGAAATTTCGTTTTTTCTTCTTTAGGCTTTCTGTTTGTATCGCTTTAGAGCCCCACCTTACTCTCACTGCTAGTACCAATTTTGGTAAAGAAGGCATCTATAGTTTGTTTTGCCATTTTCTCAATAGGCCTGTCGAAAAACACAACTTACATTGCTAACATTAACTACGAGAAAAAAGATGGAGAATAAAATAAGAAACGGTAGCCGCTATGCATTTGTGATCTAGAATTCAATCTGCCAAATAAACACATGTTGTCAATCTGATATATGATGACAGTTATCATTTGAATTTGTTGTTTTTATTTGAATTGTTTTCACTCTCATCCGTAATAAAATAATTCTAAATATTGATATGTGATTCTTTTAATTCCGGAACATAGTGCTATGTCCGGAGATGTGTTACCCTATTATATCAATCTACCTCAATGAAATGTTTGTATGACCTGAATCAGGTGCGAACTCACCATGCTATGCTCTGTTATTTGTGTGGTATGCATATGTGTACGGAGTTCCAATACGGAGAGTTAACAATGAAATTAAGACTAGTTGATCTTTTTATGTGACTTTAATAAATGTAGTGCCTATATTTATGGAATTTTTTAAAAACTAATTGCACTCATCCCAAGTGACTAGACCAGTTGAAGAACCACTCAGCCTGGGCCATTTTTCACCTATCCAGGACGGATGGACGAGTACATTTTTCGAATTCTGCCCCTAAATTACTCTTTGTAGAGATTCTATCTATATACAACCCATCTGCTCACTAAAGTGTTTATTTAATGGTACTGCTCTCTTGGGTTGTGTGAATATGCATGCTTGCTATATTGTATATTTTCCCTTTTTCAAGCTCCCCTTCATGGTTCACCTTGCCCCTCTTCCTGTGGGAACACCAGTTCTTCCTATCAGGCCCCTAGGAAGATCCGGCTGCTTCTTTGATGCCATTGGTATCCAACAGACAATCTTAATGATAGTTCAGTGTGTGTTCCATCTGATCAACAAGGGAAAAGGAAAATTCAATAAGCAAGCATTTTAAAGTATTAACTTCACCAAGAAGGAAATTTTCACTGTATGTTAATCCCAAAACCTAAATTATCGCATATTCCATGATACAATTATTTGTCCACAACTGCTGTGTAATGGGACTCAACTTTCAATATATACACATCACATAGCGTGTGATATCTAAGCTTTCGAAATTACTTAGCACTTGTAACATCCCTAACATTTCTAACATAGTTTAAAATATTATTGAAAAAAAGTTGTAGACTGAAAAAGTTTCTGAAAAATTGAATACACCAATTGATCCTGATAGGTCAGTGGGCACATTAAATCAAACTTTCCAAAAGTCAACATAAAATCTAGGACAAAGGTGTATATCATGTCTATTTTAAGATGTTTATGAACATACCATGTCACTTACTTTGTTCTGCAGTTTTACAAGAAATTTCACTTTTTAGATAAGTGCTAAGTTCAAGTACTCTCTGACCAAAATTGTAAATAACACAACAAAAAGTGATGTCAACATAATGGTACACAACAAATGTCTAACCATGCTTCCACTTCTGAGCCCTAATAACACTGCATCTGGTGCAAATTTTTTGTATGTATGACTGTATTTTGATGCAAATAACAACAGTACCTTACCAAATATAGTAAACAGCAGAAAGCATATGTTGGGAAAATTATGATGTGCTAATTTTTCATTTTTGATCACTGTCATCTTAATACTTTTTGTTTATCAAAAACAAAATTCATTATTTTGGATATGCTACTATATCTGCTGTAATCAATGCATGCAAATCAAACATGCCGCTGTATCCATTCTAGACATTCCACATCCACTGGCACAGATACAAAACAAAAGAAGTCAAGTAGGGATCTAACGTAGGTTGATTCTAGGGGTATAGAACAGTACTTTTGAGTTTTGGTGGATGGATCCTAAGATAGAATTTGAATGATCTGAGATTTCCTTGATGTGTATAGTCAACTGCAAGATAACGATTATTCTGTACATGTTTGAGAATGGGTGGCTTGGTCCTTTCTAAAGATCAGTCATATAAGTGGATTAATTACTTAACTAAAGGCAGAATTGTTCAAAATTTGTTGAAAACTTTTGTCAGTCGCTCAACAGGCTCTTAGAGTCTGACATGTAGGTCTGGTGAGACGCAGTGAGATGAGTTCACGATCATACTAGCAGGTGAATTATGCTTTACCGTCACACGATACACAAATCTGACTACCTATTAAATACCGGTCAGACGATTTTACGAAACCCAATTATCGAAACAAGACCGAAACAAGCCATTTGTAGGGGTTTTATCATGCTGATTACTAATGTGTCTATTAAATGTCAATCAAATATACATCTCTAGATAAAATTTTTAAAACATATTTGACTAAGGTATGATTTACCAGGGACGTATAATACGTATTGTATTTTATTTATGTACTCAAACTTTATATCTATTTTGAAATAAGTACTATATGTTGTTCAGTCTTGTTTCGGTAATCGGGTCTGTTTCGGTAAATCGCCTTACCTATTAAATACAATCATCCAAAGTAGATCAGTGATCGCACCTCGCTTTAAATTGTGTTGTGTCAGATTTCCAACTTTACAACTTCTAACGTCAGCATGTGTTCCACTATTGCAGATGTTTTCATCAGGCCGTGCTAATTTGAAACATGCTTGTTGATTGGTTTAAGAAAAAAATACTACTCCAATCATTGGAAATGTCTTACAAATCAAAGGGAAGCAACTTCTGAGTTGTGTGCTACTAAGATGTTTATTTCCCTTTATTTGTGTGAATGAACTGCTAAAACTAAATGTGTTTCCTAACATTAAAAAATGACCATAATTCAAATAGGATACATACAATTATAAATTTCAATTGACAGACTAACTCACTCATAGATATCTATGAACTCTGTATATTGCAAAAATGTCGTCAGTCAAAAGCTTGATTTTGAACTTCTTAAGCGTTTAGCATACACTGATCATCATGTGATTGTTTACATCAGAATCACGATGTTTCGCATGGATATTGTTTTGTTCGCTGTAGGGTTTATGTTCATGTTAAATGTCATTTCTGCCACTAGATACGAAGCTAACTGGCAGTCTATAGATTCTAGACCATTGCCGAGCTGGTTTGATGAAGCAAAGATAGGAATTTTCTTGCACTGGGGAGTGTTCTCTGTACCAGCCACCTATGAATCTCCGTGGTTTTGGTATTGGTGGAAAACCAAAACACCTTTGTTTGTGAAATTCATGAAAGATTTCTACCCTCCAAATTTTACTTATGCTGACTTTGCCCCTCAATTTCAAGCTGCATTTTACAACCCTGACCAGTGGGCAGACATTTTTGAAGCGGCAGGAGCAAGGTATGGGGTCCAACAGAATTTGAAATCTTCATTGTCCTTTTGTCAAATTTTAATTTTAATCTGGAGGCCCACTGTAATCAGAGTTATTGCCCTTAATTCATTCCAAATTTTTGTCCGGGTTGGGAACTGTGGATTGTTGTTGATAGGCTATATTGTTTCAGAAAAAACTGAATCGGATGATAAAGACATTATTACCGTTCCTTGTTTCAGATATATTGTTCTTGTCACAAAGCACCATGAAGGCTTCACGCTATGGCCCTCCAAGCATTCCTGGAACTGGAACGCCATGGATGTTGGACCAAATCGAGATCTCCTAGGTATAATGGCAGTTATGAATTTGACCTATATTTAGCACTGACTTTTTTTGTTCATTTGTAATAGGAGCAGGTTAGTGTGACTTGTATATAGTGTTAAATATGGTCTCTGTCACTCGGCAGACTGAGCATGTTTTTTGGACTCAGTTGGTAGAACCGATCGATTATCATGCCAGAGACCCTGATTTGATTCCTGGTCGGGGTACTTGACAGGAATGTGTATTTTTCCTGTTCTTTCAAACATTTATAATTATTATTAAATGACTTGATTCTGGAAATTATTTCTAATTTCATTTGCTTACAGTTACCCATTTTTTTGGCCAAAAAATAATATTTCATTAAATGCAGTTAAAAAAAACAAGTTTTTATAATAAAATCTTATCTTCTAATATTATTGATTTCATAAATTAATAGTAAAACTGTGGTGAATTCTTCGTGTCCAGCAAAGATAGAAAAAGGCTAGAAGAAAAAGCTAGCTCAATAATTATTTCATTCATATCATCACAGAATCCTAGAAATAAAAACTTCGGTCAAACAATAAACAAATTAAAGCAGACACTGAAACAGGATAAACAGACAAAAAAATATATTTCAAATTTATTGATAACAAAAGAAGACCAAAAAGTTTGAAGCAGACCTTGTGCAAAACAAAGTATCAAGAACAACAGGAATTCAAAGGGGTAAAGTGTAAACATCCACGCTGTGCTATATGTGAGTATATGATGAAAGGGAAGTCCTATAATTTTGGAACAAAAGAATTCAACATAACCTGCTGTATGTCATGTTATACAGATAAATATGCAATTACCTGATAACATGCTAGGGTTGCAAGGAATTTTACATTAAGGAAACTAGTAACACCTTGCCAGCTCGAGTCTGTGTACATAAACAGCATATAAAAGTACAACCTTATTGTCAAATTAAGTTAAGCACAGATTTGGATACCCTTTGAAAAAAGGACTTTCAAATATTTCCTGTTTATAAAGTTTCATATCACATGAAAAGAAAAAGAGTGTTTTATTAGCATTTAATCCTTAACTAGAAAATCTTACCTAAAATGATCCAGGTATATATTTTTTTTTCAATAGGTGATCTTGCCACAGCTGTAAGGAAGAAAAAGAATATGAGGTTTGGGGTGTACCATTCTCTTTTTGAGTTCTACAATCCAGAATTTCTGAATGATCAAGCAAATCATTTCAAAACACAGGATTTTGTTTGGGTGAGTTGATCATTTTTTTGAAGTTAAAGTATTCAATCATTTGATGACAAAAACAATTTCTTTATTTGATTATTGTTCACTATGTATATAATAAATCTATATAACAATCAACTGTGGCTAATCTAAGTAAATCATTTTGAATCTGAAAAGTATTATTATTTCACATTTGGCTATTGCACAGGGGAAGACCATGCCGGAACTGTTTGAATTGGTCAATAACTACCACCCTGAGGTGATCTGGTCTGATGGTCATTGGATGGCACCGGCAGAATACTGGAACTCTACAAAATTTCTTGCCTGGCTTTATAATGAAAGGTGGGTATATCATACTATTATAGCTTTTGGTTGAGATCAGAATCCAGATACATTAACTGAAGGAAAGAATGAAAGATCATGTTTACAAGGGATCTCCAACTCTTCAATGACTGGTAAAAATTTCATAGAGTGTGTACAGCTTTGGCATCTGACTGATAGTGGTGATCATCTTGACAGAGGACAGCTGGCTCTTCAGTGACGAGTAGAGAAATACAGAGTTGCCTTGTTGGGGTCAATACCCAGGCTCAGTAGCTGAAAAAGAAATTGGCCAAAAAAAACACGGCTCTACAATGACTGATTATTTCAGAGGATACGGATGGTACTGATGAAATTCCTGAAAATGGTGGTGATAGAGTGTACATGTAACTGTCATGTAGTTTAGTAGAAGATATTTGAAGTTTACATTAATTAGCTAAAATATTCAAGGTTAATAGATCTTGCATCTATATCTGTTAATTTCTCTTTCAGACAAGACGCTTTATTTATAATTTAGTTATCTATTGTTAACAGACATGAATTATATAATAATCAAAAGTAAACATGTCAGTAATATTATTTACAGTCCTGTCAAGGATACTGTGGTCGTAAATGATCGTTGGGGAATCGGTACAGACTGTCACCATGGTGGCTACTGGAACTGTAAGGACCAGTACAACCCAGGTATGGCGGTTAGTTGTGATTATGACCATGAAATGTATGGTCTGGTGAATGTACTAGTCTACTTGTTGATCTGAAACTGTTTATTTGGATACATTTAAATCATAAAGAGAGACAAAGTCAAGGTGCTTCATTAGCCACCTTATTACCTGCAAAATATTTCAGCCCCAAATTGCAAAACCCTTCAAAACACTAAATTTTCACATTAAAAATGCGCCATTTAAAAAAGATTGTACTCTAAGTAAAACAGATTAAAGTGATACAGACTTTTTCTATGATGTAGAAATGTTCTTCTTGAACAAAATTAAGATAGAAAAAATAGTCTTTATAACATAACCTAGGTTGATGACGTAACTATGGCCCTGATGCTGAGTTTGTCACTTCAGGAAAGCCACTGCCTCATAAATGGGAGAATGCGATGACTTTGGACCGCAAGTGTTGGGGGATACGTCGTGAGATCATGGCAGGAGACATCTACACTGTTCTTGAGATTGTAACGGTACTGGCTGAGACTGTTAGGTAAAAATACAAGATGTACAATGATATGAACAATATTAATTTTAAAATGTTACTTTAAAAATGTTTTTGAAAAGAATCACTTAAAATTGTACTGTCATCTAGAACACTTTATTTTGTATTCATCTACATGTGCTGAAATACTTTGGGAGCATTTCATTCAGTTTATTCAGACAAACTTGTTTATCAGCAATTTCAATGTAACTTTTCGGGCAGAAATCGGGGCGGACCTGCAAATATAAGTCCAGGCCGTGAAAGGCTTAGTCAAAGATGCCAGAATAAGCAAAATAAGATCAGTAGGTCCAACCTTATTTAATAATTAACTAACAAACCAATGAATGCAAATAAAATACTAGGAAACTATATATTAGGTTATTAGGGTATTTTGATAATAAAAAGATGCAGATGTAATTTTGTCTCCAGAATTGATAAACATCAGTATAGAGTTTATGTACAGTTGAACAAGTTGATGATAGAAACCACAATATTTGGAAAGTCTTCTAGACACAAAATTAGATATCCTTGAATTGAAATGTCTCCAAATATCTAATTGTTCAACAGTTTATATACATGTGATCTGAGAACAATATTTACCAAATTAAACTTTCAAAAATTTTGCAAGTAATTTCAAATTCATCCATCCATCTGTAAGATTATGTATAAAAGTGCCACTTTTCAGTATCCACCCAATGTGTAAAAGATGATAATGATGCCTCGTAGCTGGATTGAATTACCTACCAGACAAATCTGTGTCAGATTTCAGTCTTCATACCCTCTTGAAAAATTGATACCTTCTGGAATAGATAAAGCCACTGTTCTTAATAATATCACATAGCTGTCTATGGCTAATATGCCTTTCTTATCCGCAGTTGTGGAGGAAACTTGCTGATGAATGTTCCACCAACATCCGACGGTCGCATCCTGCCACTGTTCGAGGAGAGGCTGAGAGAATTTGGGGCATGGATGAAGATCAATGGAGAAGCCATTTATGCCTCAAAGCCATGGCATACACAAAATGACACAATTACCAAGAATGTTTGGTAAATAATATAAGTTTTATTATTTAAAATGAAAATAGAAATATTTCAATATATTTTTATTTAATTTTAATACATAAAATCTTTTCAGTATATCTATACATGACAAGATCGTTGTGTTTTCACTGACTCACTTTACTGGGAGCTATTGTTAGACACCATATAGAAACAATATGATAGAATTCTAAACTATAAAAAATACATGGTAAACAATTGTAAAATGATTACTTTTTGTAGATGTGTTATTTGTGTTGATTTTGTGGGTGCTATTAATCCACGAACTCATTTGAACAGGAATTGTTCAAATTAGATATAAAGTAGATATATTGAGCTATATTTATCCCCGAAATCGAATATCAGTGAAATAGGAATTATTTTTTAAAAAAAAAAAAAAAGGAGAATTGAGCCTCACAAAAATATGTATGGTTTTAGAGTATGATTTTTGCAAATTGTTTGGACATAGCATAAAAAGTACATAAAATTGATGTTCATTTTTTCCAAGATTATGAAATCATCAAAAGTTTTATTGTACCTATCAAATATCATCGAGGTGTTATTCTATAATTTTCATATGAAGTGAAAACTCATGAAATGTCCTCTATGTTTTAGTCAACCTGAATATAAACAGCAAATTGAGAGACCAATTAATATTCTCTCTCTAAAATTTGATCAGTGTTATAAATGTGGAATAGGCATACGGATCATTTACAGGTTTAAGTAAACAGAAAATATAGCTTTTGTTTTCAATTTATAAACGAATTAAAATTTCTTTTGAAATTAAGTTGTTTACAACCAGATGATAAACTTCACTTTTGCTTACTCCCTAGGTACACAACCCAAAGGACAAGCAACACTACTGTTGTGTATGCCATTGTCCTTTCTTGGCCAGAAAACAACACACTTCAGTTATCTGCTCCTGTTCCTATGGCAACCACAGAAATTCAGATGCTTGGCTATGCTGGTGGGAACTTCAAGTATACAACATATGTCAATAACACCCTTAGTATTGTGTTCCCTGGTATACCATTCAACTGTCTGCCATCCACAGATGCTTGGGTCCTCAAGATGACCAACTTAAAAAACCAAGCTGCCTCTCCGGAATTTGAGCGTGTAGTGACACCACAACAGCTTGTGCCGATTAACTTGGGAAATCCACCCAGAACATGAACATCAACTTTTACTGTATTTATCTAACAATAAGTCGGAAGTAATGTGTTATCACTGTTTCAGAGTTATTTTGAACAAGTTAGCCTTGCATCTTTAACATTTATTGATGTCTTATTCTGTTAAGTTGAAAAGAAACTCTATCACATTTTCATCTCTACCTTTTAGTTTGAAGGGCAAAAAAGACATGGAAGTGAAATTTTTGTTGCATTTACATCCTTTGTCAAGATATATTAGGATTGCATAATAAAACTATAAGTTATTTTACAATTATTCTTATATACATACCCCCTTATCCATATCATTTTTACTCCTGAATACAGTTATACTTCTCATGTATTATCAGGTAATATATTTTTACTAAATATCTTTTTACATTTACTTCAGCACAAATTTACAAATTGCGTTCATTTAGTTGCTTTTTTTATTATGGTGTTATATTTTCTTCACCATGTTAAAATTTAATTTTTTTTTTTATTTTTTTTTTTTTTTATAGTTTTGTACTTGTACCATATTTATCCACTAATAGATACTGTAAAGAATGTTTTAATACATGTAGCATCATCAACAGTTTTGGATAAAAGTAGGGAATTCGAACAAAAGATGAATTGTTTGAAATTTGAAATTTTTTGTTTGTCAAAAACAATCAATTTTTAAATATGTATATCTCATCAGTAAAGTTTCTAGGAAATTCATTCCAGATATCTTATTTCTCAGACTGAACATTTGCATTTGGCTGTGGAAACTTAATATGAAACAAATGTTGCATTAGCATTGTATGCAATGTAGCTATTTTCTATACAGACATAAACAACTAGTTTCACAAATACACTGTGATATCCTCATCCACATCACATTTTATACAAAACATAACTAGAAATAAACATGTATTTGGTTATGCAAAATTATGGGATATTACTACATCAAATTATTTCACATTATGCCTTGCCGTTTAATGCGAGTGTTGGGCATATAGTATGTTTGTTGATGCATCTCCTCTTGTTCTATTCCGAGTTAGTGATCTCTGTCAGATCTTGAGAACCTCTCCAAAGATTTGGTTTATGTTTACCCCATAGTATCACAAAATCACACTCAACACTTTGTTATATTAAGATAGTCCTCGGACAAAGTTAAAGCTTCAAAGGTCATGTTGCATAACTTCTGCAAATTTGTCAACTAATGATACTTACATGCATGGATGGAATGGGCTTAATTCATATTTAACAATCAACAAATGTTTTCTAGTTCTTTTATTGAGAAATCTCATTTTCAATAACATGTTTGACCAGTGTGTACAGATCAATGAGATTGTTATGAGTTTGTGGAATGAAAGCAAATCCTTGGATGACATTACAGTGTATTGTATTCTTCAAAGGACATTCACAGTATTTCTGTGCCATGAATTAGATGAATATCATTGGTTTGAAATCAGATTGATGCAAGTTCCCTTGATGTTCTAGACAAAGTGCTTTGAATATTTATTGTCTTTCATAAATTTTGTGCATTAGAAAGTCGTATTTGTAGAGGTGTTGTCAAGAATGTCAATAGCTAAAATTTACATACAAAGACTTTTTTTGTTTAATGCTGTTAAATATGATTAGTTCTTGATTTTCCTTGAAATCTAATGTTCAGTTGGTGTACTAGCAATAACTCTTTACATTCCAGTTGTTTACATTTATATTATTCAAACTTTTGAAGAATATTTTTGATAAATAAAATATGTTGTGACAAGAACTTGTTATCTGTTTATACCTTTGTCATGAAAGTGTCAGTGGTCCCGATAGCATTTAGCACTATTTCTATCGATTTCTTTTTGCTGGGTTTATCCTGTGAGCAGCCAGGGTCATTTTGAGGCAGGACCTCTGTGTAGAGGCTGGTGGCTTCCTCACTGAACCACATACAGGAGGTATGTTATTAGAGTAATTATTGTCTTATGGAAGGACACATCCATGACAGAGAACAGTACCTTTCTTGGCTTCCTGAGAATCACAAATTGCCATGGGTAGTGAACAACAAACCATGTCTCATCGATCTTCAGCTGAGGTCACAAAGGCCAACACTCTACCACCTGAGCTATAGTGCTGACAATCTCTCTAGAAACCAGTAAAGGCTGGTTTGATTTGGTCTTTGGGTTGACTTTGCATGTTACCATTAGTGATAGATAAGATAAGATAGACAAGTGGAAGACAGAGCTTATTCATTTATTGCTGTGAAATTTGATATTTGTTTGTTTTTTTTTTTTTAATATTTTTTCAAGACTTCTGAAAAAACAACAACCAGTTCTTCATATTTTAACTTTAATATTCCTCAAAATAAATCTTTACCTGGAGCAAAATATTATCAATTTTTCATAAATATCTCTCATAAATAAGAGGGATATACAATCCATTTAAGTTTTACACATTTAAAAACAAGAGAAAGCATTCAAAATGTTACGAAACTAATGTCCACGAGAAATTTTCATTACAATACACTTATGAAAGAAAGTTAAATTGCAGTTGTATTTTTTTCTTTATCTCACAAATTTATCCTATTCCTATCAGCAAACTTTTCATTAAATGAAACAGGATAACAATCATTCTGAAAGGCTGTATCATCATCATACACAATGTATACATAAATAGTCTAATATGAAACATGTTTATTACATCCAAAATATATCAGGTAAGATAATGTAGTTATTACATCTAAAATATATCAGGTAAGATAATGTAATTATTACATCCAAAATATATCAGGTAAGATAATGTAATTATTACATCCAAAATATATCAGGTAAGATAATGTAGTTATTACATCCAAAATATATCGGGTAAGATAATGTAGTTATTACATTATTATAGTAAAACTGCTACATGTTATACACATATTTTATTCCAATACACATGAACAATCACAAATTTTGTATTGGAATGTTTTGAGTATTGAAAGAAGATTTAAGATCAATATTATGCAAGTATTCATGGAACAAAACCTGATGAATAAAATATGGTAAAAGCAGACAAGATATCTTCTAACACTGTAATACAACAAATGTATTTATATGTAGGGCGGGGGGAGTCTATTTTATCATGTTTCATGTTAAAAGTCATGCACTAAAGAGATAAACCTTATTTTTCAATCAGAGTCCACAAAGTAGATATGTTTATGTAATTATGAAGGCATAATTTCTGACTATATGAAGATAAATATTTACAATCTTGTACTTAATCGCATACCCAGGTATACAGCTATGTTACCTCTCCTTTCTTGTCTCTCTCAAGAACTCAAAAACATATTTACAAAACAAATAGTCTCATCTTGAAAACTATAATGATAGGCAACTTCGTATGTAATTCCTTTCAAAAATGAATTTTAAATGTGAAATGAATATCACAATTTATCTCATTGAGTTTCTTTGTATTTATCAATGTTTTTATCTTGCAGTGATAAATATAGGATCTTACAGGAGTTTTAATGTAGTAATATATACAGGATCTTACAGGAGTTTTAATGTAGTAATATATATAGGATCTTATAGGAGTTTTAATGTAGTAATATATATAGGATCTTATAGGAGTTTTAATGTAGTAATACATATAGGATCTTATAGAAGTTTTAATGTAGTAATACATATAGGATCTTATAGGAGTTTTAATGTAGTAATATATATAGGATCTTATAGGAGTTTTAATGTAGTAATATATATAGGATCTTATAGGAGTTTTAATGTAGTAATATATAAAGGATCTTACATGAGTTTTAATGTAGTAATATATATAGGATCTTATAGGAGTTTTAATGTAGTAATATATATAGGATCTTACAGGAGTTTTAATGTAGTAATATATACAGGATCTTATAGGAGTTTTAATGTAGTAATATATATAGGATCTTACAGGAGTTTTAATGTAGTAATATATACAGGATCTTACAGGAGTTTTAATGTAGTAATATATATAGGATCTTACAGGAGTTTTAATGTAGTAATATATATAGGATCTTACAGGAGTTTTAATGTAGTAATATATACAGGATCTTACAGGAGTTTTAATGTAGTAATATATATAGGATCTTACAGGAGTTTTAATGTAGTAATATATACAGGATCTTACAGGAGTTTTAATGTAGTAATATATACAGGATCTTATAGGAGTTTTAATGTAGTAATATATATAGGATCTTACAGGAGTTTTAATTTAGTAATATATATAGGATCTTATAGGAGTTTTAATGTAGTAATATATACAGGATCTTATAGGAGTTTTAATGTAGTAATATATATAGGATCTTACAGGAGTTTTAATGTAGTAATATATATAGGATCTTATAGGAGTTTTAATGTAGTAATATATATAGGATCTTACAGGAGTTTTAATGTAGTAATATATATAGGATCTTATAGGAGTTTTAATGTAGTAATATATATAGGATCTTACAGGAGTTTTAATGTAGTAATATATATAGGATCTTATAGGAGTTTTAATGTAGTAATATATATAGGATCTTACAGGAGTTTTAATGTAGTAATATATACAGGATCTTATAGGAGTTTTAATATAGTAATATATATAGGATCTTACAGGAGTTTTAATGTAGTAATATATATAGGATCTTATAGGAGTTTTAATGTAGTAATATATATAGGATCTTACAGGAGTTTTAATGTAGTAATATATATAGGATCTTATAGGAGTTTTAATGTAGTAATATATATAGGATCTTACAGGAGTTTTAATGTAGTAATATATACAGGATCTTACAGGAGTTTTAATGTAGTAATATATATAGGATCTTATAGGAGTTTTAATGTAGTAATATATACAGGATCTTACAGGAGTTTTAATGTAGTAATATATATAGGATCTTATAGGAGTTTTAATGTAGTAATATATATAGGATCTTATAGGAGTTTTAATGTAGTAATATATACAGGATCTTACAGGAGTTTTAATGTAGTAATATATATAGGATCTTATAGGAGTTTTAATGTAGTAATACATATAGGATCTTATAGGAGTTTTAATGTAGTAATATATATAGGATCTTATAGGAGTTTTAATGTAGTAATATATATAGGATCTTATAGGAGTTTTAATGTAGTAATATATAAAGGATCTTACAGGAGTTTTAATGTAGTAATATATATAGGATCTTATAGGAGTTTTAATGTAGTAATATATAAAGGATCTTACAGGAGTTTTAATGTAGTAATATATATAGGATCTTATAGGAGTTTTAATGTAGTAATATATATAGGATCTTACAGGAGTTTTAATGTAGTAATATATACAGGATCTTACAGGAGTTTTAATGTAGTAATATATATAGGATCTTATAGGAGTTTTAATGTAGTAATATATATAGGATCTTACAGGAGTTTTAATGTAGTAATATATACAGGATCTTACAGGAGTTTTAATGTAGTAATATATATAGGATCTTATAGGAGTTTTAATGTAGTAATATATAAAGGATCTTACAGGAGTTTTAATGTAGTAATATATATAGGATCTTATAGGAGTTTTAATGTAGTAATATATATAGGATCTTACAGGAGTTTTAATGTAGTAATATATACAGGATCTTACAGGAGTTTTAATGTAGTAATATATATAGGATCTTATAGGAGTTTTAATGTAGTAATATATATAGGATCTTACAGGAGTTTTAATGTAGTAATATATACAGGATCTTACAGGAGTTTTAATGTAGTAATATATATAGGATCTTACAGGAGTTTTAATGTAGTAATATATATAGGATCTTACACGAGTTTTAATGTAGTAATATATACAGGATCTTACAGGAGTTTTAATGTAGTAATATATATAGGATCTTACAGGAGTTTTAATGTAGTAATATATACAGGATCTTACAGGAGTTTTAATGTAGTAATATATATAGGATCTTACAGGAGTTTTAATGTAGTAATATATACAGGATCTTACAGGAGTTTTAATGTAGTAATATATACAGGATCTTATAGGAGTTTTAATGTAGTAATATATATAGGATCTTACAGGAGTTTTAATTTAGTAATATATATAGGATCTTATAGGAGTTTTAATGTAGTAATATATACAGGATCTTATAGGAGTTTTAATGTAGTAATATATATAGGATCTTACAGGAGTTTTAATGTAGTAATATATATAGGATCTTATAGGAGTTTTAATGTAGTAATATATATAGGATCTTACAGGAGTTTTAATGTAGTAATATATATAGGATCTTATAGGAGTTTTAATGTAGTAATATATACAGGATCTTATAGGAGTTTTAATGTAGTAATATATATAGGATCTTACAGGAGTTTTAATGTAGTAATATATATAGGATCTTATAGGAGTTTTAATGTAGTAATATATATAGGATCTTACAGGAGTTTTAATGTAGTAATATATACAGGATCTTATAGGAGTTTTAATGTAGTAATATATATAGGATCTTACAGGAGTTTTAATGTAGTAATATATATAGGATCTTATAGGAGTTTTAATGTAGTAATATATATAGGATCTTACAGGAGTTTTAATGTAGTAATATATATAGGATCTTATAGGAGTTTTAATGTAGTAATATATATAGGATCTTACAGGAGTTTTAATGTAGTAATATATACAGGATCTTACAGGAGTTTTAATGTAGTAATATATATAGGATCTTATAGGAGTTTTAATGTAGTAATACATATAGGATCTTATAGGAGTTTTAATGTAGTAATACATATAGGATCTTATAGGAGTTTTAATGTAGTAATATATAAAGGATCTTACAGGAGTTTTAATGTAGTAATATATATAGGATCTTATAGGAGTTTTAATGTAGTAATATATATAGGATCTTACAGGAGTTTTAATGTAGTAATATATACAGGATCTTACAGGAGTTTTAATGTAGTAATATATATAGGATCTTATAGGAGTTTTAATGTAGTAATATATATAGGATCTTACAGGAGTTTTAATGTAGTAATATATACAGGATCTTACAGGAGTTTTAATGTAGTAATATATATAGGATCTTATAGGAGTTTTAATGTAGTAATATATAAAGGATCTTACAGGAGTTTTAATGTAGTAATATATATAGGATCTTATAGGAGTTTTAATGTAGTAATATATATAGGATCTTACAGGAGTTTTAATGTAGTAATATATACAGGATCTTACAGGAGTTTTAATGTAGTAATATATATAGGATCTTATAGGAGTTTTAATGTAGTAATATATATAGGATCTTACAGGAGTTTTAATGTAGTAATATATACAGGATCTTACAGGAGTTTTAATGTAGTAATATATATAGGATCTTACAGGAGTTTTAATGTAGTAATATATATAGGATCTTACAGGAGTTTTAATGTAGTAATATATACAGGATCTTACAGGAGTTTTAATGTAGTAATATATATAGGATCTTACAGGAGTTTTAATGTAGTAATATATACAGGATCTTACAGGAGTTTTAATGTAGTAATATATACAGGATCTTATAGGAGTTTTAATGTAGTAATATATATAGGATCTTACAGGAGTTTTAATTTAGTAATATATATAGGATCTTATAGGAGTTTTAATGTAGTAATATATACAGGATCTTATAGGAGTTTTAATGTAGTAATATATATAGGATCTTACAGGAGTTTTAATGTAGTAATATATATAGGATCTTATAGGAGTTTTAATGTAGTAATATATATAGGATCTTACAGGAGTTTTAATGTGGATTTCATGGATGTTTTCTCATTTCAGTGAGCCTTTTGTTCCATAAATCACATGTCAAACGGAAACAAATTTTAGATCCTTTTTACCACATTTTTCAAGCAAATACTGTAGAAAGAGGACACTGCTATGTAAAACTTGAAGTCATGTCCGCACTATTATCTTCAGTCTCCATTGTAATGTTGCAATTCTATCTATGGACGTGTGATGTCATTTCATTATCTAAAGTGAAGTCACATAAAGCTGTATTACATATGTTATACACTTAATAAGGACATGGGTATATTCACTGACTAACTAGACAATCATAAGACAAAAATTAATACAGTTATGTTATTTGACAATTTTGAAACCATCTATTACTACCTTTTTATTTTATACTGATGATGTTACTTCCGAAAATCTGGGATTAATTAGACTAAAAAAGACTAAAAAATAATAAAAGATTTAAAAAGAACTTCCACTAATAGTTAACAGTATTGACTTTTTCATTTGTAGAAGCTTTATTTTCCCTTGTAAAATGTCTTATCATATGTAATACAAGATATGTTTGAATAATTATCACACACAAGTTTCAAATATTTGTAATAGGAAGTGAGTTGATGGTTGAGTATAATGATAATTAAATGTGTAAATTATAATCACAAAAGCATTCAATCAGTTATCACTAAAGAGAGAACATTTACAGATCAAGATTTCATATAAGTAAACTGTCAGAAAATAAAAAAAAGTAAAATAAAAGATCCTTAATGATGTAAATAAAAATACAAAATAGAAAATAAGCAATCACATTGAACGTCAAACATCACTTTGGGTGTAAACTGGTGTCAAGTCAAACATCAATCAACCCGTCTAAACTGACACCTCAGAACTCATAAATAAAGTAAAAAAAAATTTATGTATCCTTCAGAGTGTCAGTCTATACAGTTTTCACCAAATTCACAAACCTTTGCCAACACCAATATCTGGTGAGCTAATTCACAAAAAGTCCATCATGTCTATGGGTTTGACGAAGGCATCCCTTGCAGGTTTGTCATCATGTGGCACATGTTGATTTTCCAAGTTTGTCATCTTTAAGACCCAAGCATCATAGGATGGCATCAAATTCACAGGAATGTTTGGAAAAATTACTTCCACAGTCTTGTTCAGCCCTTCATAAAACTTGAATGGTTTGTCATAGCCAAGCATCTTGATGACAGTGTTTTGACCGGTAACTGGAGCTCCTAGGGTCAATGCATTGTACTTGGGCCAATTCAGGATGATAGCATACACAGATGTTCCATTGACATCTTTCTTAGAAGTGTACCTGGAAAAATAACAATCTTTAGTGAATAAATAAACTAAAAGAAGAGATAATACTTGAAGCTCATATCTAGTAATAACAAATGCATTGACTAGTTAGATACCAACCTTATACTGTATAATGCTTAATATCTATGACTTTTCCTGTTAATTTATAGGAATATGTCACATATTCCAAAATTCTATGAAAAACTAAATCAAGGCAGAATTCTCATAGCAAACTACTATACATGTACATCACCTTTACCATACTTCAGCATCAAATATAAACCAAGGGACATAATTCTGTATAAGTTTGGGTTTGTGACCCAAAATAATTTAAGTAACACATGGTCGCCTTAAGACCTACTTATACAAGTTACTTAAATTTGACAATAAATGATGTTCATGACATACGAATTAGTCAAAATGACAAAAGGTCAACAAAGGGCCATAACCCTTTATAAATGACTTAAAATCAGACTTAAGATCTGATTTAATCACACAAAATACATTTTAGGACTTGAAACTTATATTATGATTGGGAAAAACTTTTTCAAGGACAAAATATGTCGTACCAACCTGTCTTAGATATGTTTAAGGTGTTTACATAACAGATTTGTTATATTATATTTATATATTATTACCACAATTTATTGTATACTGCCAGCTCCTGTAGATAGCCTGCACAAGACTAAATTACTGTTTTAAGAATTAATGTCTGAATATACTCTACACTGTATTATTGTCCGCAGCTTATATACTATACGTTGCTTACTTGAGAAACGTTCATATTTGCCTATATAACCTGGGCATGTGAACAGTTTTATTAAACACCTTTTTAAACAATCGATGAGTTGTATCTACTTTAAATGTATACACATGAACACCAGTTTAGTATCCCAAGCGTTTGTGATGAGATACCAGCATGTTGACTATACCAAGTACCTGTAGTCTGTTATGACGCAATTGACATGGAAGTGGAAAAAGTCCACCAAAAAGGCAAAGTTACACTGCTGAATTTAAATTAAATGTTATAAGGTATGTAGTATAATAGTAGTGACGATGATGACCTACTGGCTGCAATTGCTAGACTTTATTGCAAACAGCTAGGACTATTCATGAGTGGTTCAGAGACATCCAATTTTGATGGATCGGAATAAACCTTATGCAATCAGCAATTTATTTAAATGTGTTTGATAATTAAAGATTTCTGTTTATACTTTGTAGCCTTTTATTCTTGTTATATCATATATTCAAAGTCCTGCATTACATAGAAATTGTAGAGCCTGCACTTTTCCATGGTTTTGGAAAACATTTCGTCATATAGCTTGCTCCACAAAATAATCCGCAGCAGGCTTTCTCTTCAATATTTTAAATATAGATGTAATCCTGGTAAAAATACTAGCCGCAAAATTCCACTCGGCTAGAGAGAACTTCTCTTTAGCTCGATTGGTTGAGCGTCAGACTAGTAGGCCAGGGGTCCCGGGTTTGATTCATAGCGGAGGCATTGAAATAAATAATGACCTCAGTTACATCTAAGTTACGGTAAGTACAATAGATAATTTCTCGGCAAAGTTTGACGAGCTAAACAGAAAGACAGAAAGCAGAGATGAGAAATAATAAGTTACAGAACAATGGAGATTTACCAGACTTGTTTGTCAAATGGGTCTCTTTGCGTATGCCATGGTTTGGATTTGTAAATGGCCTCCCCATTGACCTTCATCCATGCTCCAAACTGTCTAAGCCTTTGTTCAAAAATTGGGATGATCCTACCATCAGCAGAGGGTCCGACATTCATTAGTAGGTTACCACCACAGCTGTCAAAACAATAATGGTTTTTAACAAATTTTTATAGCATTCTGAAATATGAAAACGTCAAGAATAACTTTGCCACATTTTGTTTTGTTCATAAAAATGTGAAATCTATTTTCATTCTATATACTAATTCAACACACAGGCAGACAAATTCTTATAACAAGTTGACCACCAATAAACAAGCCGTTTCCTGGTGTAGCAACTAATTTTGGAAAGGCAAATGATTTTGACCATGCGTAGAATCAAAGACTTTCCTGTATGTTCTTTGTCAGTACCTTACAGTCTCTGCCATCACTGAGATCAATTCGTTGACAGTTTGACAGTCCTCTGCAGTGACATCACGACGATGTGTCCACGCTCTCTTATCTACTGTCATGCAGTTTTCCCATTTTGGAGTGAATAACTTTCCTGAAATAACAACAAACAAACTCAAAATATGACATAAACGATTTCCCCCTGCTCTTACTTTGAAGAACATGGAATATTACCAATACCTTACTAAGATGGCCATCTAGTAAGCATGAATGACTTTTTCAGTCTATGGTCAACTGACTTTTTTCAATCAACTTTACTTCCAAATAAATTTGTTACAATTATGCGCCATCCAAGTGAAACCTTTATAAAAATTGAAGAAAGAATAGTTGTGTTTGATGAGAAAGAAGAAGAGGTAAAAAAACATGATGGCTGCTTAATGGCCAAATTAATTAAGGCATAAGATTGAGTTGATGACTAACGTATCGTCATTTGATTCTCTTAATGGATTTTAAATGTGACAAGTCATGGAAATTGTGTTTTGAATTGTCTCTTGCCTTGGTATGTTATATATAAATTTGTTAATTTCCTACCTGGATTGAATTTATCATGACAGTTCCAGAAGCCTCCATGTCGACATCTTGTGTTGTTTCCCCAGCGGTCATTAATCACTACTGTATCTTTCACTGGACTGTAGAAACATGGTGACCATAATATGTAAGACTTCAAAAAACCAATTAGATTCTGTATAAAGGATTAATACCACCTATAGGAGATTTGATAATAATCCCTTCCCAAGGGATAGTACTAATGCTAGATTAACAATGTTCAATATTGATTATAAAAAGGTAGTTATTTTTGTGAGAATTTCAAAGTTCCATCCAGAGCACCATATTAAAAATTTGAGAGTCTCAAACCTGGCTACAGCAGGTTCTTAAAGTACAGGTGTGTCCCATATGATAAAACAGTTTTTTGCAAGATTTATATGTGCACAGCTACTAGTACATAACTAGAATAGCTGCAGTTAAATGCAAAGAAAATTTAATATTTATTATTGAAATATAGAATCATTTCTGATCAGATGTTCATAGGTCATTACTATATTTAGACCATATCTGCTAATGAGCTAATACATGTCCATATTAGTTCTACAGAAATGACAGTCCCTGGGCCTACTACAGGTTACACATGGAAATACATGAAAGCAATATTGACGGCAAATATATCTGATTGAACTGGTGTAAGCTTTAAGAGAAATAAGTACCTTTCATTGTAAAGCCAAGCAATAAACTCTGTTGAGTTCCAGTAAGTATCTGGGGCTTCCCAATCACCATCTGACCAGACAATATCGGGTTTGTAATTGTTGACAAGTTCGTACAGCTCAGGCATGGCCTTTGTCTAAAAAAGAACAATGCTATATGTCACTATAACATTTCGTGCTCAGTGTTATTGAAGTAACTTTTACTTAAGTTCATGGCAGGAAGGATTTTATAAAGCACCACATAGTCAATGCATTAATAACCAGAATCAATGTTTATCACAAATACATTAACATGTACACCATCAGCATTCAAAGTGGGCAAATCCAATCAATTCTAACCAATTTCCATTTTCTTTTTGTAAACATTGCTGGGCTTTTTTCTAGGAACTTATCTGCCAAACCATGCTTCTGCACCTTTTAGTTAGTCAGATGTTGCTTTAAGGTTTTAAGAGATTTGACCCCTGAAGCCTTGGATAAGGTCAAAGTCATGTCTTTTTGCAAACTTTGTTGTGCTTCATCCTAGGAACCTATCAGACAAATACCATGCTTTGATGTATTTTGGTTAGTCAGATGAAATTGTTTTGAGAGTTTCATAAATTTGCTTAAATGGAACAGTTGACCCCAGACAGACTATGACAGACACTGCTCCATGGCATAAGCTCACTTGGCCCTTTGGTTATAATTGCTTATATTTTTGAATCTCTGCATAAACACTGAAGTTTTCTACAGAGGACTTCTTCAGAAAGTCTGTAGCTCTAAAAGCTTCAAAATTTTTATCTATGGTAGACTGTGTTCTAAAGATTTTTGTACATTTTGATGAGTATAAGAAATGTTTTTTGGCTCATACATAGTCAAGCACAAATAACTTAGATTGAGTTCCAGGGGAAAAATGGTCTTAAAATGAAAATAGAGGTATCAATATTAAGATGACTTATTTTTTTAAGAATGCTGACTTACTCTTACAAATTCTTGAGTTTTATAGTTATTGTTTTTGTCTGCAATATATAAAGGATTAAAGAACTCAAACAGAGAGTGGTACACCCCAAAATGCATGTCCTTCTTCTTCTTAACAGCAGTGGCAAGCTCAGCTGTAATTTAGAAAACAGAACAAACTTATTGTTGGATAGCATTTCATCTACATATGTAATCAAGATAAATTTTAGAGTAGCCCAATGAGAAAGCCAGAAACAGAACAAAGGATCATTTACAGAAGTACATTGGGGGTATATTCTTTCAAAATAATAAAACTGCAATGATCCATCAAAAATGAAAGACAATTGTCAAGCTTATTGTTGCTACAGATGAAGTGTATACATACCTACTAAATCTCTTCTAGGTCCAACATCATAAGCGTTCCAGTTCCAGGAATGGTTCGACGGCCACATTGTGAAGCCTTCATGGTGTTTTGTAACCAATACCACATATCTGTGCAGCATGACAAATTTAAAAATCATCTTCAAATATTTCAATGAGGATAGATATGAGAGCAAGAATGTTTGTTCTTCAGAGTCCCTGTAAAAATTACCTTTCTTCCCTTACGCGCTTATAATAATCTCAACACAAGACCACAACTATATCGGTTCCTAGCATAATCAGCTTAATTTTTATGCAACAATAACAAAATGGTGTTCGATTCGACAAGCTTTGCCCATGAAACAGTTTGCCTTTTTATTCCACTTAAATCATTTAAGCAATAAACTGCCATAGTGTTATGGCACTTACAGCCATTATGAAGGTGTTAATGCCATAAAAATGTAAATATGTTTGTGATGTAACCTTTTATTTACTAATTTTATACAATGTAAAACATGCATCTTTTAATTAAATTTATTTTAAAATAATGTAATAGGAAGGAGTAATGAAAAACACCTTGCCACTGCTGGAGTTTGAACTAACAACCCTTTGGTCTCTAGCCGGACACGCTAACACTCTCTTAAAGGGAAATTCCCACTAGCCGAGTTTAGAAAGGTGACTAGTACAATAATATAACAATTTACTCTGCTACATGCACCACAGTAGCTTGTTGTAGCCAAGTCCTTTGTCTATGATAGTTACACAATTCAAACAGTTAAATGACTCACTTTGCTCCGGAAGCTTCAAAAATATCTGCCCATCCATCAGGGTTATAAAAATATGCATGGAAGAGGGGTGCAAAATCAGCGAAGGTGAACTGTGGACCGTAGTTGTCGTGTACGAATTTCACGTAATCCGGATAATTATGTTTGAAGAAGTAAACAAACCATGCCGACTTGTATGCTGGTACTGAAAACAATCCCCAGTGAAGGAAAATTCCAATTTTGGAATCATCATACCAGGCGGGCAACGGCCTTGAGTCCAAAGACTTCCAGTCGGGTGTGTACTTGACAGCTGCGGTAACCGATATTAAAGTTGATAACAATGTAAACAGCTGAAGCAAAAGCGCTGTCGCCGCCATATTGTTTACAATCACGAGACTGTCAGTCGTTATCTCGATAAAGTGATATTGCGCGAAAAATGAAAGGCGTAAATGTTTACACGTTACTATTGCGTTAGGCGGATATATTGACCGCACTATTAAAATAAATTCCAATCCATAGCTGATTCAATGCGTGTGTAGGCAAATGTACAAAACGAATTTATGTTTAAGATTAGAACTTTTAGAAAACAGAAATATTCAAACAACGAATTTTATGGAGGACAAGTAAGGCCATCATGCTGCAATCGTAACATTTGGAGACAAGAATTCGGTCTTTACCATCGTCCACTATTTGGAATGGAACCGGGGGAGAAAGTATTATCAGATGTTCATTTATATCACACGTGCGAGTGCTTGTCAACCAAAGAAAGTAATTCTGGTATGACGGGGTTTATTTATAGTTCACCATCATCGGATGGTGGAGTATTTCAAATCGCCCTGCGTCCGTGGTCCGTCCGTCCGTCCGTAAACAATTCTTGTTACCGCTATTTCTGGGAAAGTACTGGATGGATCTTTCTGAAATTTCATATGCAGTTTCCCCTTGGTCCCTAGTTGTGCATTGTACCTTTTTTTGGACTGATTTGAATTCAAGATGGCCGACAGGCAGCCATCTTGGATTTTGGAAGCAAAAGTTTGTTACCGCTATTTCTGGGAAAGTAGGCTACTGGATGGATCTTTCTGAAATTTCATATACAGGTTCCCCTTGGTCCCTAGTTGTGCATTGTACCTTTTTTGGACTGATTCAAATTCAAGATGGCTGACAAACCTTGGAGTTTGAAAGTAAAATTTTGTTACCGCTATTTCAGGGAAAGTACTGGATGGATCTGTCTCAAATTTCATATGCAGGTTCCCATTGGTCTCTAGTTGTGCATTGTACCTTTTTTGGACTGATTCGAATTCAAGATGGCTGACAGACGGCCATCTTGGATTTTGGAAGTAAAAGTTTGTTATCGCTGTTTCTTGGAAAGTACTGGATGGATCTTTCTCAAATCACATATGCATGTTTCCCTTGGTCCCTAGATGTGCATTGTACTTTTTTTTTGACTGATTTGAAATCAAGTTGGCCCACAGGCAGCCATCTTGGATGTCAACAGTAATACAGCACAAGCATATTTTCTTCGATATTCTATCATATTGATTCAAGACCATGTCCATTATCCACCTGTAACTGACTGCTATCTAATAATACTTTGCGATCTTTTTCAAATGATATTTGCTAATAGGTGCTTAATAAAAATATATTGTGCCATCATTGAGTACATTCAATGAAGACCAGTTCATGAACATTTACAAAACCTGTAACAAAAAAAAAATAAACAAATCTTCAAGAACTGAAAACAGATCCTCAAATGGTGGGCGCCAAGATCCCTCTGGTTTATTTATCTGCTGGAATGCCAAATTTCCATCACACGATATAGTTACCCGTTATAAATTTCAGCACAGGGGTCAGACACGTATACAGAAACACAGGGGGGAAGACAACTTGTCCAATTTGCTGACATATAACTAATTATAAGTATGTACAAGTAGGTCGATAGTGAGATTATATTAGTGCAAAAAATAGTCAAAGAGTCAAAAATATCCTTTACTAACCCTCCAACTGAGGGACATGCACTTACTTAATAGGTGCCGTGATTTGTCTGCTCAACACGGAGCAGTTATTATATTTTTGTCTTGTATGGTGCCAGTGTATGTATTTGATATTTTCATATATACTGCAGCAGCTGAGGTAAAAACAGATATACACAAGTATTTTTTAGCCCATCATCATCAGAACAATTTTTGTTGTCTCTATTTCTTTAGAAGTACTAGATGGTTCTTTCAAAAATTGCATAAATAGGTTCCCCTTGGTCCCTTGTGCCCATTTGATTAGGTCAGATCAGAAAAACAAAATGGCTGATAGACCGCCATCTTGGATTTTGACTTTGTAAGTTTGTTATCACTATTTTTAGAGAACTACTTAATAGATTGTTATCAAATTTCATGTATATGTTTACCTTTGTCCCTAGTTGTGCACATTTCATTTCATGCGTATGTTCCCTTTGGTCTCTTCTTGTACCCCTTTGATTTTGGGACTTCCAGGCAGCCATTTTGGAAGGTAAAGATTTTCATAGCAATTTCTGCAATGGAGTGTTCAAATGTCTTATCATTAAGAGCAAAAACAGAGAAGAGAGGGAAAAGATCCAACTTTCATAGAGCAAATAAAGTTCAAACAATGGTGGGCACCAAGATCTCTTTGGGATCTCTTGGTTTTTTTTTTGTTTTTTTTTGTTTTTTTTAAACATGTCCTTCAGGTTGGTAATGTCAGTAGAATAGAAGTTCTTATGACACCCAGAAGAAGATTAGAGTGTTATGTTTCAATGACTTCACAGTCACCTTCATTAGAAGAATTACCAGTGTGGAGCTTACTAATACTGATGTACAAGTATCTTATAGAGGTGATCTCCTGAGAAATCACATAAATATACTATGTAGGCAAGTTTGAAATCAAATTTCATGGCTTTGCATCTTGTTTGATGAGACAATAAAAGATTTCATGTAACAGTATTGATGTACATAGATATATATTTTTTATAATGAAATAGTTAACAGGGAAATTATCTCTCAAATTCAGTACTGGAACCTACCAAATGGACTAGATTTGAGTACACAGAACTAACACATGTTGGTGTAAATTTTATAGCAGTAGGTCAGAATACTCAGTGGTCAGATTTGACAGGATGTCAGAAAGCTCAGTGGGTTGATCAGATAGAACATCAAAGATCTTGAATATACATGTACATGTATTCATTCTCAAGATATTTGTTTGTTTGTTTTAGTAACAAGATTTGTAATAAAATTACAATCAAGTGACACTGATGAGATAGGAGATAATGCTGTAAGTGCTGATCAGGACAGTGTTGATAATACAGGACACAGAGAGGTGATAACAGAGACACAACACATTCCATCATGTCTAGAAGTTGATGAGGATGGTGACCTTATTCTTCAGAGGGATGGAAATTCTTTTAACAGTGAAGACACAGCAGTGATTACCCTGGGTATTACCAATAACTTTAACTTGTTACTGTAAATTCATGTATTTTTGCAGGGCTCAATTTTCGTAGATTAAAAAATTCTGTTGCATGGACACTTGATATCATGGATAAATATAGCTTTGTAAATCTGTTTAATAATCATTTTAACAGATTGTGGACATAATTAATCTTTGAAATAAAAATATCAATTAATTGAAAATAAATTTCCCAGGAAAATTAATGATATGCCATAATATTTACTGATAGTAATCACCAGTCAGTGGCAGCTTCATGGTTATAACTTTGTAGATTTATTTACAAATGCTAAATCACTGTCCCATATAAGCCTGCAACTTATGTTCAGGGAGAGAGTGACATGTTGGCACTTACCTTGGGTTAGTCTTTGTTGGAATTTCTTTCCTCACTTTATGTGTTTTGGCAAGATTTTCATATGATATTTTGATATTGTAGATTACTCCGCCAATAACATACAAGTTATAGCCCACCCAATCATTTACTGTTAATATTTGATGCATGTATCTATTTTCATTTTAGAACACAGTCTTGCAACAGAATTACAAGATGTCGGTGAACAGGTATACATTTTTGATATTTTAAATAGTTGTAAAATTTTTCGTGAATAACTAATTTTCATTTTCACTTAATCACATTTTGTAACATTCCCTAAAGTTTAAACTCTTACAGGAACAGAAATTTATACTTAATTTAACAGTTTATTTTCAAAATATATTTGGATGTGTATTCTGCAGGTGTGGGCAGGTGCCTTGCTGCTTTGTGACTTTCTCCTCCATCACGAGACTGACTTCTGTCAAAAGTCTGTCCTTGACCTTGGAGCAGGTACAGGTCTGACAACGATAGTAGCAGCCATGTTAGCTAAAACTGTTTACTGTACAGGTAAAATGCTATTTCATGCTGTTGCCATGCTACAGTGTTATATTTATGTATCCATGTCTATCTGTCCGTCCAGCTCCAAATCAGGGTGATATCTTGACAACATCTCATTAGATTTGGCTCATATTTACCTCATATTATCATAATATTATGTTTGATGCTTAATCATTATTAAGGTTTTCACTGATCAGGAATCAATCAAGAAAATGGCAACATAATCCTAATTTAAACTCAAATTCCATAAAACTACGACAAAATATGAACAGATGAAAGATTTACACACAGACTTCTGAAAAAGTACAAGGAGAATAAGACCAGGTGTTCTGGAAGAGTAAACATCTTCTGCTTCATCGACAACACCCACCATGTAAACCTTGGTCAATCCAGGTAAGTAATGTCACATTCTCAAAATTAGAACAAGGTAAACAAAAACGGAACCAACAGGCAAACTAACGAGCATCAAATACGTCCAGCTGCATATCGTACAACGGAACCAACAGGCAAACTAACGAGCATCAAACACATACATCTACATATCTTACAACAGAACCAACAGACAAACTAACGAGTATCAAACACGTCCAGTTTTATATCGTACAACGGAACCAACAGGCAAACTAACAAGCATCAAATACGTCCAGCTGCATATCGTACAACGGAACCAACAGGCAAACTAACGAGCATTAAATACGTCCAGCTGCATATCGTACAACGGAACCAACAGGCAAACTAACGAGCATCAAATACGTCCAGCTGCATATCGTACAACGGAACCAACAGGCAAACTAACGAGCATCAAACACATACAGCTACATATCTTACAACAGAACCAACAGACAAACTAGCGAGTATCAAACACGTCCAGTTTTATATCGTACAACGGAACCAACAGGCAAACCAACGAGCATCAAACACGTCCAGCTTTATGTCGTACAACGGAACCAACAGACAAACTAACGAGCATCAAACACGTCCAGTTTTATATCGTACAACGGAACCAATAGGTAAACTAACGAGCATCAAACACGTCCAGCTTTATATCGTACAACGGAACCAACAGGCAAACCAACGAGCATCAAACACGTCCAGCTTTATATCGTACAACGGAACCAACAGGCAAACCAACGAGCATCAAACACGTCCAGCTTTATATCGTACAACGGAACCAACAGGCAAACTAACGAGCATCAAATACGTCCAGCTGCATATCGTACAACGGAACCAACAGGCAAACCAACGAGCATCAAATACGTCCAGCTTTATATCGTACAACGGAACCAACAGGCAAACTAACGAGCATCAAATACGTCCAGCTTTATATCATACAACGGAACCAACAGGCAAACCAACGAGCATCAAACACGTCCAGCTGCATGTCACACAACGGAACCAACAGGCACACTAACGAGCATCAAACACGTCCAGCTGCATGTCACACAACGGAACCAACAGGCACACTAACGAGCATCAAACACGTCCAGCTGCATGTCACACAACGGAACCAACAGGCACACTAACGAGCATCAAACATGTCCAGCTGCATGTCACACAACGGAACCAACAGACAAACCAACGAGTATCAAACACGACCAGCTTCATATCACACAACGGAACCAACAGGCAAACTAACGAGCATCAAATACGTCCAGCTGCATGTCACACAACGGAACCAACAGGCAAACTAACGAGCATCAAATACGTCCAGCTGCATGTCACACAACGGAACCAACAGGCAAACCAACGAGCATCAAACACGTCCAGCTGCATGTCACACAACGGAACCAACAGGCACACTAACGAGCATCAAACACGTCCAGCTGCATGTCACACAACGGAACCAACAGGCACACTAACGAGCATCAAACACATCCAGCTGCATGTCACACAACGGAACCAACAGGCACACTAACGAGCATCAAACATGTCCAGCTGCATGTCACACAACGGAACCAACAGACAAACTAACGAGCATCAAATATGTCCAACTTTATATCACACAACGGAACCAACAGGCAAACTAACGAGCATCAAATACGTCCAGCTGCATGTCACACAACGGAACCAACAGGCAAACTAACGAGCATCAAATACGTCCAGCTGCATGTCACACAACGGAACCAACAGGCAAACCAACGAGCATCAAATACGTCCAACTTTATATCACACAACGGAACCAACAGGCAAACTAACGAGCATCAAATACGTCCAGCTGCATGTCACACAACGGAACCAACAGGCAAACTAACGAGCATCAAATACGTCCAGCTGCATGTCACACAACGGAACCAACAGGCAAACCAACGAGCATCAAACACGTCAAGCTTCATATCACACAACGGAACCAACAGACAAACTAACGAGCATCAAACACGTCCAGCTGCATGTCACACAACGGAACCAACAGGCAAACTAACGAGCATCAAATACGTCCAGCTGCATGTCACACAACGGAACCAACAGGCAAACCAACGAGCATCAAACACGTCAAGCTTCATATCACACAACGGAACCAACAGACAAACTAACGAGCATCAAACACGTCCAGCTGCATATCACACAACGGAACCAACAGGCAAACTAACGAGCATCAAACACGTCCAGCTGCATGTCACACAAAGAAATAGAATATTTCTCTCAATCAGATCACTATGGCAACCATAAAAGGTTAGAGAATCAAAGGAACAGTTAATACTAATTGTATGGGAGGAAGGGCATTATAATCTTACAGATATTTTCAACTTAATCTTATATTTCTTCAATACATGTAGATGTGACAAAATATTTTGTACCTAGATAACAATATTGATAACTTGTTTGTTTGTTTATTTTCTAATTCTGTAGTAGATATATTCACATATATCGATTATAAGATTGCGCTTTCTTACCAAACTTTAATTGTTTACACTGCAAATTTGGTAGGTATGGATAATTGTACTGTTTAATTTGTGCTTGTATATAAATACAATATATATATACATATACTTCAGTATGTTTGACAAAGGGATTTTTAAACATATGTTACAGATGTGGGAGAAAGTGTGCTCAGAATGGCTCATCACAATGTAGAGATAAATGCTGACCTCACATCAAACTGTCATGTTGTAGTTCGGGAGCTAGACTGGTGTAAAGGCCTTCATGTACAAGGTATAGATAACTACAGTATCTGACATCCTGTGGGACACAACATATTGGTTAGATTAACCACTTTGACACTAGGCATGACAAAATCCTATTTCTCTATCCTTTTTTTTCTTTTAAGGTAAAGGAAACTTTAGACTGAGTGAGGTGGACATCACAGATATTTTACAAGCCGAGGTTATCATCGCTGCTGATGGTAATTATGATGTCCCACACAAAAGTTCAGACAGAATATAAATAGTAAACTGATTATAGTGACACATAGATCCAAGGTTTCTGAAAGGTCAAGAAATACCAAAAGGTTTTGATGAAATTTAAGTACTTCATGGTTCAAGACTCGAGGGGGTGGGGGAGGGAGATTGGTAAGAATAAATATTTCTTGCATTACGTGTAATAACTCCAGGTAGTAAAATTATAAACACACCAGTATATATGACACAGTCATCCCCAGAATATGGCCTCTCTGTTTTATAGCTAAATATATTGCTCTGAAGTTTCAGCAATGTATTCGATTTCTTTCAATAATTTTTGTTATATTTATGGTTGGAAATCTCCCTGTTCTTAGTCATCTAATATCGTTTTGTATGAATATAGCACTGGATTTGTATATATAAATACGTGTATATATGTCAATGCAGTTAAGGGGCTGCAATACCTCAGTTGAAAAAGCCTACGTAACCTCAGGTGAAGACATTATCTACCCAAAGGCAGTTTGTGTTTCCCATGCAGCTGAGAAACAGGCAGGCTTTTCCTGTCATGGGCATGTTATCTTTATTACTGTGAATGGCATATGATGTGCCTTCTGCATGTTATTCAGTGAGGCAGCCACCAGCTATTACATTTAGGAGACCTAGACGAAAAATGACCATGGCTGGTGAGGGGGCAGTAAACTCAGCAAACCAATCAATGACCTTTGACCTTGTTTGTGTATAGTGACCATTAGCAATGTTCAATGTACAGTGACCTTTGAACTTGTTTTTATAAGGTAAAGTATGACCTACCGTATTTCTAAAGTATTGATCCGTGACCTTGTCTCTGTGTTTAGTAATCTATGATGATGATCTGACTGATGCCCTGTTCAAGACGATACACCTGCTGCTGTCAAAGGGACCACCAAAAACAGTGTATATGGGACTAGAAAAGAGGTAAAAATTATCGACGTGGTTAAGTACAGTGGAACTTGCTTAATATCATGTTCCACTTGTCAAGGGAAAATTTGATAATAAGCAGAACATGACATTAACAGGTGACACTTTTTTCAGATGTCAAAAACGGAAAGTCAACTATCTGATATATAAAACTCATTGGTTTTTTTCACTCTAAAATCTGAAATCTCGCATATGGAGAATTGACACAACTTTAAGACCATGCCCTGTCACCATTTCCCATCTTACAAGGACTGATTGATAAGTTGTGAGTCTTGTACTGAAGAAGTTAAGCAGGGTTGTCCTTTTTCAGCTCTATTATTCTCTGACTATTTAAGGCTACTTACCCAATGTCGTGAATTGCTGATATATCGTTTAGCACCAATATTATATTGTGTACACATGTATTGTGACGTTATTGTTATGTTGATGTCATCGAGCAGTTTTAGAAATTAGATTGGTATCAAGATGACGTTGATGTTTGTTGCTTCTGTCAATACATTGTTTTATTAGCTATTTATCCACAAAAACCCAAGAACTGGTGTCATTTGGTCTGCTTATGTCGAAGAGATAGCACTCTAAGTAAACAGGCAAGTGACTTTTGCAAAATGGTCAAAATCACTGAAAGAGCAGTGATTTAATATTTGAATAAGAAAGGTCTAGCACTGAAGGATATTCATGCTGACAAGGTAGCAACTCTAGGGAATGGTGCACCTTCATATGCTACAGTGAAATGGTGGGTGGCAGAATTTAAGTGTGGCAAGTAGAGCCTTGGGGATGATGCCCATCCTGGAAGGCCTGCCATTGTTGCAACCCCAGAAATGGTCAATGAAGTCCATGATATTGTTATGGCGTAAAGGCAAGTGACAGAGGGATATATAGCCAGTACATTTTGGAATTTCATATGAAAGAGACATTCCATTCTTAAAGAAGATCCTGCAATAAGAAAGCCCACAGCCTGTTGGGTACCAAGACTTCTGACATTTAATCAGAAGACACACTTTGTTGCATGCTAATCTGAGCATTTTAGAGGCAGATTTGCTAACTTACTGCAGAGGTTTGTGACTATTGATGAAACATGGTTTCATCATTTCACCCCAGAGGCCAAACAACAGTGTAACCAATAGAAACACTCTGGTTCATCCCGCCAAAGAAGGCAAAGACTGTATTACCAGCTGGAAAGTTTTTGGCCTTAGTTTTTTCTGGGATGCTGATGGTATTCTGATGGTAGATTATCTGCAAAAGTGACAAACAGTCAATGGCACATATTATGCATTATATCTCAAGCAGTCAGGAGAAAATATTAAACTCAATCACAGCGTAAAACTCAGTAAAGGTGTGTGTTCCACCAGGACCATGCCCCTGTTCACAATTCTGTCATTGCCTTGGCTGCCATTTACGCTTGTAGCTTTGAATTGAATGAGCATCTGCCTTATTCCCCTGATCTTGCTCCATCAGACTTTCATCTATTTCCAAAATTGAAAAAGGCCAGATGATGACCTCATATATGCAGTGGAGGAGTTTCTGAATGGTAATGAAAAGGACTTCTGTAAAAGTGACATTGAGGTCCTTGACAATGGCTGGCAAAAGTGTATAGATACTGAAGGGGATTATGTTGAAAAATAATGCAATATGTCCACTAAAAGTTAAACCCTTAAATATGGTGCTAACGACTTAACAATCAGCCCTTGTACTGTATATTATAAGTAATTGTGGTCCTCTTTTTCTTCACTCTCAGTTTTTTTACACCTCTTCCTAATATGAAATTGAAAAAAACTCTTTATAATGCCAAAGTTGAAGTTTACAAACAGTGATATCATGTTGAAGGTTTTGCTTTATGTATTATTTATCTGTTTTACACTTGTTTACTTATAATCTATCCGCAGACTGGTATTCACTTTGTCTGATCTGGATGTAGTCTGCCCTGCCTACACCCACTTCTATGAAGGCTTAGTTAGACTGCAGCAGCTTGGTTGTGAGGGGAGACAGTTTCACTATTTTCGGTTAGATGAAGACTTGCCTATGTACCTCAACTACAACAGGACCAAGCAATTGGTAATTCTGAAAGGAATATTTTCAATAATATACAGTTTCAGTAATGTTTATGATAGGTTCCCACTATTAGGGCTTGTGTTAACAATGTTGTTCAATAAATTAAGTTGTCAGAATGCTTAATTTGTTCATAATTTTTAGCCCACCATCAGACCTTCTGATGCACACCATCATCAGATGGTTGACTGTTCAAATCACAATTCATTCGTGGTTCATTATCACTATTTCTTGAGAAGGACTGGATGGGTCTTTCTCAGATTTCATACATTGGTTTCCCTTGGTCCCTTGTTGTGCCCATTTGATTTTTGAGACTGACCAGAAAAACATTATGGCCAAGAGTTGACTGTCTTGGATTTTAACTGTGAAAGATTGTTCTCCCTATTTCTTGAGAAGTGCTGGATGGATCCCTCTCAAACTTCTTATACAGGTTCCCCTTGGTCTCTAGTTGTGTATTCGATTTTGGGCCTGGTCAGAAAAACAAAATGGCTGAGAATTGGCTATCTTGGATTTTGACCATTTGTTATGGCTATTTGTTGATTTGCACTAGATGGATCTCTTTCCAATTTCATATGCTAGTTCCCATTGGTCCCTCGCTGTGCCTGTTTGACTTTGGGACTGATGAGAAAAAAACTGGATGACTGGCAACCATATTGAACCTTTAAGAGTGTAAGAGAGTGTTTAGGAGAGGAAAGGACAGAAAAGAAAGGAAAATATCCTACTTTTAAAGAACAAGATAAAACAATGGCGGGAGCCAAGATCCTTCTGGGACCTTGTGTTATTTTTCAAAATCCCATCTACAACAGTTTACACATACAAGATGTGTTATTTATGTGGTGTCACTTGTGTATATTGTTAAAATTAAATCCAAGGGTGAACAGGACTTATCAGGCTTAGAACCTTGCTTTTGACCATTACCTTAGATACTTTGTTCACTTACAACACAATTCCATGACAAGTAATATATTCTACCAAGCATTTTTTATTGATTTTTTTTATTTATTCTTATTGAATCATGAATAAGTAGGTAATGAATGGTATCTTTTTTCCATGTTTTTGAAGGAGTTCACACATACATGAATATTTTTGGCTTTTGATGATTCACCGACATTATATTGTGTTGTAGGAAATCTGGGCAATACAGTCTGTTATACCAAATGGATGACTGTGCCACGCCAAATCACTGGGTATATACATGGCCTGTTTATCATGAGAGGCCAAGATTCAGCAGAGGTGTTGTGAAATCTACAATCCACGTTCAGATCCAATGCTTGAAAGCAGTACCAGCGTGTACACTACAGGCCTTGATTCTACTCAGTACAAGCATCCACTGATTGAACAGAAAGGATGGAAATGGTGAAAATGATTAGCAGATAAAGGTGTATTACTGTTTAAATTGTTGTCTTTGCCCCCATGTGGAACTTTATAGATTTACAATGATATATGAACCGAGAAGGCAGTAACGTCCCACCTGACATTTCAGCAGGTTTTTTTGTCTGTTAGGAGGTGAACAAGGACAAACATGTTGAGGGAAAATTAATTCTATTTTAATGTTTTGTTATATCACTAAAAGACGACACATTACGGTTAAGTGTGACTTTTGTTTTCTCGACATTGAAGAGTTCTTCTTTAGAGTTACTTCCTTTCACATTTGTGCAGTCATAATTCCAGAAGGGTATTCAAAGTTTCATTGGCTGAGGTAGGTCTGGTTGGGGATGGATGGATTTTCAAAGCTGTAATCCACTCTGGTAGGACTGGTGAGGGACGGATTGGTGTTCAAAGGAAGTCCATTCTGGAAGGACAAATGGGGTGTTCCAAGCAAGTCCCTTCTGGTAGGACAGATGGGTGTTCAAAACAAGTCCCCTCTGTTAGGACAGATGGGTGTTCAAAACAAGTCCCCTCTGTTAGGACAGATGGGTGTTCAAAACAAGTCCCTTCTGGTAGGACAGATGGGTGTTCAAAACAAGTCCCCTCTGTTAGGACAGATGGGTGTTCAAAGCTGTAGTTCCTTCTGGTAGGACAGATGGGTGTTCAAAACAAGTCCCTTCTGGTAGGACAGATGGGTGTTCAAAACAGGTCCCTTCTGGTAGGACAGATGGGTGTTCAAAGCTGTAGTTCCTTCTGGTAGGCCTGGTGGGGATGGCTAGTCCCCTCTGGTAGGCCTGGTGGGGATGGCTAGTCCCCTCTGGTAGGCCTGGTGGGGATGGCTAGTCCTGGTGGGGATGGCTAGTCCCCTCTGGTAGGCCTGGTGGGGATGGCTAGTCCCCTCTGGTAGGCCTGGTGGGGATGGCTAGTCCCCTCTGGTAGGCCTGGTGGGGATGGCTAGTCCCCTCTGGTAGGCCTGGTGGGGATGGCTAGTCCCCTCTGGTAGGCCTGGTGGGGATGGCTAGTCCCCTCATTGGAAATATAACAATAAACAAATATTTTCTTTAAAATGTTTTATTTTGTTGAATTTTGGAAACAAGCATACAGGAACAATTACACATTCCACATGTATTGCGATCATGACAATAACATCACAAACGTGTACGTGACTTTGTCCAAACAGCATTACCTATAGTACATATCATTCTAATATGTGCGGAACAATAACATTCATAAACACCAGCCCTTACATATAACCATTTCCTAATTTCTCAAATTTTCTGTCAATTGCCGGGAATATTTGAAAAGCATTGAAACTTCATCAATACATGCCACCAAATAACAAACATTAATGATTAATCTGTTGGGTTTTTTTCTGATTATTGAAAACATGATCCAGATTTCAAAAAAAAAAAACTGTGATACATTGATTATGTTATAGAATTTTTGTTATGTATGTATAAAATATTGCAAGAAACTAGAATTCATCATCATGAACAGGTTTTCAATATATGCCATAATCTTAATAGAATTATCAAAAACATATATGAATGTATATCATTTACCACTTCACAAAATAAACATACACAGATTTGTATGACATCACAACTACAGTTGGTCACATGATACACAAGTTGTGGTGACCTCACAAATTTCTACCCTATGCACATGGATGATATAAGTATTGTTACAGGTACAGATTGTTAACAAATTACTTGCCATTTACCACCAATTTCAAAAATAAAACCATGAAAGTGTTTGTTCTCAGCCACAAAGTGTAACAAAACATATTGTGAAAATTTTTTGCATTAGAAATTTCACCCTCAGCAGTGAAGACATTTCAGAGGCCAAGTTTAGGGTACAACAAAGAATACATAGGTAGCAGATGTATCCACATAAATATCCATACCATTTTTTTCACACAGAATGGTGAAATAGCCACTAGATAAATACCAGTGAACAGCAAATATTTTACAGGCTATATTACTGATTTGCAGTTAAATATAAAACTATCAAGTAAACTGTACAATAATTCTCGTAAAATTACCCTATTTTATCATACGAAAACATAGCTACTTGTTTGAAGTGATGTTTTCATTCTTTAACTTACAGGAAAATTTCGGAAACTTATATACACTTTAAAATAACGCTAACTGAAAATAATTTTATATTTGTTGAAATGAGAAATTTGACTTAAAATACTTATTACCTCCACAACAAAATACCTATTTGATAATTGTTTACTAGAAAACAAAACTGACAAGGCACAATTGATATCACAAAGAGAGATCACCATAAGACATAGACATACTCTAATTATTAAACAAAAGATGTGATAGTCTCTAGACTTCTAGTACACATGTTGCTCTCCTGGTTCCCACAACTGTTAATTATAAAATTTCAGACCCCCTTTCAGTGACTGCAGACTTACTATTAATAACACTCTCAATATGATAGATGTAGAGGCTTTAGGTGTACATCATCAATAAAGAAATAGAAGCCATTCTCCAAAAGATGTTGCTCTTATCTAGAAAATTGTTGATCCACATCCATGGAATTTTCTCCCTTAAAAAGAAATCCAGTTTGGGCTAACAGTGTTTTTCTGCAAAATATTAGTCTGGAGGTTTCTTAATGTATGTATCAATCTGTTATTTTGTTGCAATTGAAAAAAAATCAAACCAGTAAAATATCTTAAATCAACTTTCCCAAAACATGACCTGAGTAGGTAATTTTGAAGTACAAAACCACAACACTTCACACCAAACAAAACAATACCCTCCACCAAAATGGAGGCCACAGAAAATTTAAAGTTTCTCACTCTCTAAAGTGTCTTAAACTTCACCCTTGAAATTAATTTACATCTTAGATACTTATGCAATTGAAGTGTAACGAGATAAACTTATATAACTATGTAATACACATGTACCAACTTTGACTGACACAGACCATGACAAGTTGTTTAAATCTTCTTAAAATGAATGTGCATGTATCTTGATAAAATGAAGGATGGTTGAAAAAATATGAAAAGATGACCTGATAATAAGCATACACAAACCTAGATAAGGAATGCAAAGTTGTATTAATTCTCTTGGGGATGAATCGACATACTTTACCCCTGCACACAGCTATATCATGTACATCTTGAGCAGTGTGAGCTGTGTGTTTGTAACAGCTAGCACAATGTAAATGTGCTATCAAACATGATGAAACCTGATTAATTCTGAAGCACCGATGATCAATCTTTGTGAGGTAGGTTGTTTTCACAAAAGCGGTGGTAGTTCCTTCCTCTATACACTGGTATAAATTCAGTTCATGTATCTCTGTATCAGGAATTCTCCTCAGGTCCTAGTTTACTCATTTCTAAGGTCACATTTTTCCATTCCTGAGAAAAGTGCTGTAGACAGTACAAGGATGTATTTTATTTGGATTCCTCCAGACACACAGAGTCAAATGCCCTATATGTCAGTTATTAAATGATCAAACTGGAATAAAAATTCTATAACAATACATCTCTCATTAAATGATTTTCTTACAACAATACTTAAGTAAACAACTTGTTGATAAACTTCAGACTCAATGTCAAGTGACCCATTTGTTCATATAAACTGTGATATTTACTTCAATAAAAGTATGATATATGTCATATCTGTCAATAAGACTGGTAATAACTCACATCTAGTACAGAAACATCTCTTACTTCAGAAGTTGCTGGATAAGTACTCACTACAAGATTCCCATTTTCATACTTGGTTTAACAAATTTCATATATTTCAATGATTTCCAGGAACTTAATAATGACTAATTTACATGAATCAGTTTTCAACTTTTTGGGTTTTAACTGATCAGAATGGAAAAAAACAAAGATATTGACAAAATATTTTTCCAAGCTCCTTCAAAATTCCATGTCACAATACAAATCTCCATCCATCAACTGCTCTGATCTCGATCATAAAACACATTTTTTCACTTAAATTAAGGAGTATAATACAACACAAAACAAAATAAAAAGAGTTGGTATCACTGCAATTGTACATACATATACTCAGTTATACACTGGACATATTTACAGCGAGTTGGTATCACTGCAATCGTACATACATATACTCAGTTAGGACATATTTACAGTGAGTTGGTATCACTGCAATCGTACATACATATACTCAGTTATACACTGGACATATTTACAGTGAGTTGGTATCACTGCAATCGTACATACATATACTCAGTTATACACTGGACATATTTACAGTGAGTTGGTATCACTGCAATCGTACATACATATACTCAGTTAGGACATATTTACAGTGAGTTGGTATCACTGCAATCGTACATACATATACTCAGTTAGGACATATTTACAGTGAGTTGGTATCACTGCAATCGTACATACATATACTCAGTTAGGACATATTTACAGTGAGTTGGTATCACTGCAATCGTACATACATATACTCAGTTATACACTGGACATATTTACAGTGAGTTGGTATCACTGCAATCGTACATACATATACTCAGTTAGGACATATTTACAGTGAGTTGGTATCACTGCAATCGTACATACATATACTCAGTTAGGACATATTTACAGTGAGTTGGTATCACTGCAATCGTACATACATATACTCAGTTATACACTGGACATATTTACAGCGAGTTGGTATCACTGCAATCGTACATACATACACTCAGTTATACACTGGACATATTTACAGTGAGTTGGTATCACTGCAATCGTACATACATACACTCAGTTATACACTGGACATATTTACAGTGAGATGTATACATGTGATGAGATATTAAAATATATGATCATCTGACATGCTATTGATGGGGAAAACAATCCATGGGTAATATGGTGACATAAAATTTTCAGATAATCTTCAAGTTAAGCTTCAATATTCAGAGATGTTTGAAACAAATGTGAACTTAAAATATTCAACACGGGTACTAGGACATAATATATAAATTCCAAAAGATAAAATGTAGTTTGTATGTACACAAAAACCTGTTTTTTACATGGAAATGGAATATTTACATATGACTGATATAGATGTACTGTAAGGCCAAACTTTTGCTTCAAAAATTCTTCTCAACTATTGAAGTTCTTGAAAAGTTTAAGGAGTGATAATTTTTTTTAAACTTTTTAAAAGAAAAACAAAACAATGTGTTATAAAAATACATAGAGAGAACAGATATTTTTCATTTGGCCCAATGTTGAGGGAGGGATCATTATGACTAGTAGAATATTGAATAACAAGCAAATATTTCTATTTTCTTTCATTCATATAACACCAAAAAATCCAAAATATCTTGTGAAGACTTCAGTACAGTATAACTGTATAATTACCAAGTACACAGCCTCAAGCTTATACCACCAGGATCAACTTTGTGAATATTACCACTCATAGTATCACAGACAATTGTCAACAGCACTGTGTCATCTTTATGGTTCCCTAACATTTCTGGTGTTTTTGTTGAACAAATCATAAACTTCTAAATGTACTTCCTGGACATGACAATGAAATTCTTTAAATATGGAAATTGTGGAGCATGTTTGTAATGCAGAGACCTTTAATGTTATTTCAGATTTTAGATTTCGGAGATGAAGCAAAATGAGCGGTCACCTTTTGGTGTGAATGTGTACCTGGGAGCTGCATCCTCATCTCAAACAACACTACTTCAGTTTTCCATGAAATATAAGTGACTCTTGAAGTTGGTTTTTGACACCATTGTAGTATCACAATATATCAAAACAGTACCTGAACTTAAATTTGTCAAAAATATTTGCATCTGGAGTTTTTTTTTTTTTTTTTTTTTGGTGAAGAACTATTTTACTTATTTGTTGGAACTAGACAAAAAGGATATGACATTTCAGAGATGAATTCGAAAAAATGACAAATATACTTCTGTACAGACAATACCTATGTAACAACACTAGCGCATACACCAAAAACAATGGGGATTGACAAACCAATATCTCTATATTACATTTTAGCAACTTTCACTGGAAACAAAATTCACCTTGTACACATCCTTGATACTCCAGGAGCTGCGATCACTTTCGCTCTCTGCATCCCCTGAACATATAATGGCAATAATGAAGTAATTTAATTGGTTCCAGGAGAAACAAAAGATCCCAGACGGATCTTGGCGCCCACCATTGTTTGATCTTTACTTGCTCTTTGAAAGTTGGATTTCTTTATTGATTTCTCTTCTCCGTTTTTGCTCTTAATGATGAGAAATGTGAACATTTCTTTGCAAAAATAGCAATGATAATCTTTGCCTGCCAAATCAAAGATGGTTGCCTGGAACCCAATTTGTTTTCTCTGATCAGTCCAAAAATCAAATGGGCACAAGTAGTGAACAAAGGGAACATACAGGTGAAATTTAAAAGAGATCCATTCAGCTCTTCATAAGGAATAGGTATTACGGCGAAATCCAAGGTGGCTGCCTGGTAGCCATTTAGTTTTTCTGATCAGTCCCAAACTCAAACAGGAACTAGGGACAAAGGGAAACCTATACATGAAACTTCAGAAATATCTATGCATTATTTCTCAAGAAACTTTCAAAATAAAAAATTCAAGATGGCCACCTGTTCGCCATTTTCATTTCTTTTCCTAATCAGTACCAGAACCAAACAAACACACCTAGGGTTCACAGGAAACATCTGATGATGACGGGCTAAAAAACAGACCAATCACATGCTGATATGCACTTTTTGAAGATTACAAAGGAGTGTCGCTGAACTTCAAATCCATTACAATATACCGTTATGCAACCCTGAGATTCATATGATGTACATCAACAGATCAAACTTGTCTTTTCATCTTGTCCACAAGGTGTCACACATGGAACCTTCAATTTTGCCATGACATGTTCCAGTGGTGCAGAGAGCAAAAGTAATCGTAACCTCTGGAGTATCAAGGATGCCCTGTATAGAAAATGAGGAAAATGTCAAAAGCTTGCATCATTTAATGTAAATAACTTGTAATAACGATACTTGACCTATTTTACCAATTCTCACAAGTGTGTACCAAATAAACAATGAAATCAACTGGGAGGACAAAAATGTGCAAGAGGAGATCACTCATCCAGAGGGCGAAGTGAACACTGAAGAAAAAATAAATTTTATAAAATTTAACACATGGATTACAAATATGAGTGACCAAGATAAAATATTTAAACTTAAAATCTGAACGAAGATGCTTTCAACTTTGACACAAAAATTTGATAAAAAAAGAAAAGGAAAAAAAAATTGATTCCACACCTAACAGTTTAGCTGCTCCTTAAGTCCCTGAAGTATCGTGTAACTCATGCATAGAAGACACATTCGCCCAACCAAGCACATGCTACACATCATGCATTGTTTAAAACGTGAAAAGACTGACAAAAGACAATCAAACTTATAGTTTTGATTTTTTGTTTTCACCGAGTAAAATTTTGTTCGTAACAATTAAATAATAAATAACATTATCAAAGATCAACGTACATCATATGTACATATCCAATTCGTCTCATCGTCAGTGATTCTTCTAAATCTCAAAAGTTTGGTCTTTTCTAATTCAACATGTACATCAGACATCCATTCATACACACTATCTCTCACTTAGCACTTATACCAACAAATATATACATTGAAATCATGAAACAATGTTAAGAATTTCATTCAGAAGTATGCAAACCAATTAGGTCGTTTACAACAAAGACAAACAAGAGTTCCCTCATGATTGACTGCGAGAGAATCTGAATTTTTACTACCATGAATACAAGGCCAATACATGTGGCTTTTTATAATATCACCTTCCCTTCAATGTTGTTAAACCTTCATTGGAGCAGCTCTGCATTTTATATTAATATGCAATTCTTTCTCAAAGATCTCCATGTTCAAGGCTGTTATTTGTAACTTGCACTATATATTAGAACACATACAATGGAAAGAAAACTAACATTCAATACTTTTAAAAAGATAACTTTTGCACTGATCGTTGAACAGATACACTGGAAATATAACAAATATTTTATACTGTATGGTAACTCTGTGAAACGCCTGTTGATGGAAAACCTTGGGATCAGTCCTCTATTAGGATTGGAGAAAGTAGCAAAGACAAAGGGCAACATCATGCATTTATGTTTCTGATAAATTTTCTGGTGACGAACCAAAATGTAGAATTAAATGCTGAATAATTTTCAATCTCTATTTTTTAAGTATATTAAACTCGCAAGAAAAAATGAGAAGAGTTGAAATGTTTTAAAAATCATCAATCGAAGTCTGAGAGACTTTAAGACATGGACATATTAAAGAATAATTTCTCAATATATTATTTAATATTCTGTATACTTAAATGGAGAAATCAACTTGTAGAACTAGTAGAAGTAAAGAATTTAAATCTCACCACATATTCAATCAAGTTGATATTGTCTATCGTCCATGCTACTACCCAAAAGTCCTCACAATTTCACGTGATAAAATTCCCCCTGAAGATGCCTGTAATGATCACAAAGTCTCGGACGTTTGATCTCTGATATTCTCTAATGCTGCCATAGTCCGCTGCACATTTTCTGGTCGGATTAGACTGAAGTCAAACAGGTTTATCACATGAAGAAGGAGGTTCCTGCACAGGGACTTGGTAACAATATCCTGTCCATGTTCCTCAATGAATGTGTCACAGGCCTGGGGAATCTGACAGTCAGCAATATAGCTACAGAATAAGAAAAAGAAAACATTAAGTCACATGAAAATTATTTCTCGATACAGCAGATCTGTAAATTTTTGTTTCTGGTGACAACTCAAGATGAGTTGGACTCAAAATTGTGAAACCTCGTATTGTCTTTGCCTCTGTTGTCTTTTCTTAAAATTCAAATTTTGCAGTTTAAGTAAAAGCTTGGAACAAAACGATCATATTTCTTGCTGTAATCTTAAAACCGCTTAGAGTACTTCCAGGTAAATTTATTTTCAAAGTATTAATTCTGGGAATTATTCCATCTTCAATCACAAAGACAAATGAAACCTTTCTGTACAGTTATTTGAACATCTACATTACTACTCAAAACACTTGTCAAATACCAAAATGGTTCTTACTCGTGTTTCATAATATGGAGATTCCAAAGTTTCATCAGTTCTTTTTCACCTTCATTGACATCTGTGAACTCATCTATCATCTGTGAAGAAACAAAGAAAACATGAAATCTAAAATGTTCAAAAACAACCAACACTGTAGGGAAATCTATCAATCTAGTAGAATGTTTTGTAACTACTTACTTAACATTATGAGAATTCTTATCAAACATTGATGATAGTCCTATTTGTAGTTTGATTAGTGCTGCAGTCTTCAAAATGTAGTGTCATTTTACAGGGAGTGGAGTATCTAATGCTTTCATACAAACCTGGACTGTTTTTTGCCGCAGCCATAGTGGATCGCTTTCCTCCTCTGATTCTACATTGATTTCCTGTGGAGTAATAGGTAAGCGTGTCCCAGTTTGATAGTATAATCTGAAAATAATAAAAAGATATTATTTATTATTCCAATTCTGTAAGTGATTGTGTCTGGTCCCTATAAACCATCACCTATTGTGTCTGGTCCCTATAAACCATCACCTATTGTGTCCTGTCCCTATAAACCATCACCTATTGTGTCCTGTCCCTATAAACCATCACCTATTGTGTCCTGTCCCTATAAACCATAACCTATTGTGTCCTGTCCCTATAAACCATCACCTATTGTGTCCTGTCCCTATAAACCATCACCTATTGTGTCCTGTCCCTATAAACCATCACCTATTGTGTCCTGTCCCTATAAACCATCACCTATTGTGTCTGGTCCCTATAAACCATCACCTATTGTGTCCTGTCCCTATAAACCATCACCTATTGTGTCCTGTCCCTATAAACCATCACCTATTGTGTCCTGTCCCTATAAACCATCACCTATTGTGTCAGGTCCCTATAAACCATCACCTATTGTGTCCTGTCCCTATAAACCATCACCTATTGTGTCCTGTCCCTATAAACCATCACCTATTGTGTCCTGTCCCTATAAACCATCACCTATTGTGTCCTGTCCCTATAAACCATCACCTATTGTGTCCTGTCCCTATAAACCATCACCCCTATAAACCATCACCTATTGTGTCCTGTCCCTATAAACCATCACCTATTGTGTCCAGTCCCTATAAACCATCACCTATTGTGTCCTGTCCCTATAAACCATCACCTATTGTGTCCTGTCCCTATAAACCATCACCTATTGTGTCCTGTCCCTATAAACCATCACCTATTGTGTCTGGTCCCTTTAAACCATCACCTATTGTGTCCTGTCCCTATAAACCATCACCTATTGTGTCCTGTCCCTATAAACCATCACCTATTGTGTCCTGTCCCTATAAACCATCACCTATTGTGTCCTGTCCCTATAAACCATCACCTATTGTGTCCTGTCCCTATAAACTATCACCTATTGTGTCCTGTCCCTATAAACCATCACCTATTGTGTCCTGTCCCTATAAACCATCACCTATTGTGTCCTGTCCCTATAAACCATCACCTATTGTGTCCTGTCCCTATAAACCATCACCTATTGTGTCCCATCCCTATAAACCATCACCTATTGTGTCCTGTCCCTATAAACCATCACCTATTGTGTCCTGTCCCTATAAACCATCACCTATTGTGTCCCATCCCTATAAACCATCACCTATTGTGTCCCATCCCTATAAACCATCACCTATTGTGTCAGGTCCCTATAAACCATCACCTATTGTGTCCCATCCCTATAAACCATCACCTATTGTGTCCTGTCCCTATAAACCATCACCTATTGTGTCCTGTCCCTATAAACCATCACCTATTGTGTCCTGTCCCTATAAACCATCACCTATTGTGTCACCAGTGTCCCTATAAACCATCTACCTATGTGTGTCACCTATTGTGTCCTGTCACCTATTGTGTCCTGTCCCTATAAACCATCACCTATTGTGTCCTGTCCCTATAAACCATCACCTATTGTGTCCTGTCCCTAAAAACCATCACCTATTGTGTCCTGTCCCTATAAACCATCACCTATTGTGTCCTGTCCCTATAAACCATCACCTATTGTGTCCTGTCCCTATAAACCATCACCTATTGTGTCCTGTCCCTATAAACCATTACCCATTTTGCCCTGTCCCTACGAACCATTACCTATTGTGTCCCTGAACAAGCTGCCGGTTTGTTTGATGATTGTCATTTTCATGGTCCATGAACTCTGTTAAACTTTCCTCAGGTCGTTTGGGTCTGAAACAAAAAATTTTTTAATAAAGAGTAGACTAGGATGTCATCAGGAAGCTTTTATACCATGTTATCTTAAATAATAACAAGTAAATCCTTCATTATTTTGATATAACATTATTTCCTTCAGTTCTCAGTAGAATGTTCTTGTACCTGTAAACAATAACATGAGTGACTGGCGTCCGCCGTACAGGTCCATTCCGACTAAAAGCGTATCCTATGTGACTATGTAGATCCTGTGGACTGCCAGCGTATGCTCCGTCATAACGCTCATTAATGGATACATCCACCATAGCACCTTTTGGATGAGGCTGTGAAAATGGGATTTTACATCACATCAAAGGGGCAAATTCACCACAAACTTTGTAATTGTTAAGTCTCTTAAGTTTCTTGTTAATATTTGACACAGAAAGTATCTGCAGAATTTGTCAAAACTGGATAAAAATAAGCATCGAAAATTAACTATTTAATGCGTGACATATAATTTGGTCTAAATAAGAACATGAGGCTTAAAAGGGGAAATTATTGATTTTTCATTTCTGTAACCAATGGGGCTCCCCAATGGGAAATCAGATTCAAGATTAATTGAATATCATTTATTTAACTAAATCGGTCAAAAGTTCAAAATACTCATACTGCTTATGCAGATATTTATTACCAAGAGTATTGTTCTCTGGTAGTTTTGTGGAAGAACCTTACCACATATATAAAGTTAAATCGTGCGTGACAGAGGCGGAGATGTTTAAAGAGGTTGTAGAGCTGCATACAGTTGAGTGAACACCACGGACAGTGAAGATCGTCTTTCGCTTCCGTTTGCTGCCTTGAATTGTTGTTATATAAAAATTGATAAAACATACGCGTACGCTTCTTTGGCGTTGTTTGATAGGCATCTTTTGGAGAAGTTTTCATCCCTGCAAAGACACAAGGTTGATGTAACTTTAAAAACAAGACATCTGGGACCTCTTTCTCACGATACATGTACTAATTTTGCTGTTTATAATGACCTCCTTTTACCTATTCCTTCTGTTGAAGTCTAAAGTCTCAAACTTCTTGTATTTGAATATGGGAGTATCAACTTCAAATGGGAAAATATTACATTCTTTTTCAGAGTTTGAAGCAGTACAATTTAGAATGTGTGGGTTGGGACATTTCATACCTTGAATGTCAAATAAATTTAGGTTGTGACACCAAAATCATCTGTATTTTTTTTTGTTTTTTTGGTCAAACAAAGGAAACACATACCTGAGTTATAATTGGACAGAATATGGCTGGAATATTGATTGTTGCTGAGGAACTCCTGGTGAGCGTCCAACATGCCTGAGGTGTTGTGGAGATCCTGAGCCGTATCTGTCCAGCTGATGGTGAAACGCAGCGTGGGATAGGTGTTGAACACTTCAAATGCACCTACAGCCTACATCACAACAGACCCACAATTAACAGGACTGTCACACACACCTCAAGTTGTTTTTAAAAACTTTTATTAACACAGTGGAACTTCCCAAAATCCATATTTCTCAAATTCAATAACTTTTTACACTGAAACAATGTATGGAATTGTTTCGTTTTTATTACAAGGATGATAAAACTTCTAAAGGCACATTTATCTCATTATTGTCAAACTTGCTCTTTATTACTTCTACTAAATTGCCCCACAATGTGACTGGTTTTACATGAAGAAGTTCACACCAGTAGAACATGTGAAGTAGTTCTGACCACTAGACCAGAAAAACTATTTCAACTTCCAACAAGTAAATCATGGAAACTACTTCCAATCAGTAGATCAAAAAGACTAATTTGACCAGTGAACCATGAACACTGATAAAATCCTGTGATGATAATGACCACAAACTTTGGGCCTCTGAGAAAACCGACAAAATGTTCAACACATGAATGCCCACTTTTGCATACAAAATTTCTATAAATAAAAGCAGTGACCTTGACCTTGGAACATTAGAATTTCATTAGAATCCCTTAAGGAATTATATTGTAGGAATGATATAGATTCAGGATGTGACAGGACAGACATGGCTTTATTAATCATTCTCATAACAAACTAAAGGGACATGGTAATACTTCACACCAAAAAACTCGGAAGGCTTCTTAGCCTAAACTGAAAACATAAAGACACACATATAGTGTAATCCTTCTTTCTTTTGAATGCAATTTACTTTTGAAAATTTGTGATCCAATCTGAATATCAAAGTGAACTGCTGTAAATTTAACCCTAGATAATAAACATTGATTTTCACATCTAACATTCATTGCTCTAATATAAATATATTTACCTAATGTGCAGTTTATACCAAATCTACATGTACAGTACATACAACTGTAATATGTTTCTTAAATCTTTGGTTAAATCCAGTGTTGAAGACAATTTAATCCCCTGAAAGTTCAAGTTTATGTTTGGTAAATGAAATACTCTGGTAGAGATCCGGAGTATGAATTTATGACTGGGCCACTTTTACACAAAGCCATGCAAGCTTTGAAAAAATCTGTGATTGATCTCCACATCTTAATCAAGGGTCATCAGAGACAGGTTATTTAATTAAATTTAAGTTTGAAAAATAACAAAGGGCAATAACTCCTAAATTATGCAAAGAAAGTGATGGTTCTGGTGCACTGCGTTTCTCCTTGTTGAGATCTATCTACCTATGAAGTGTTATGTTTATACCTCATACAATTTTAGTGTAACACTCTGGACAAAATTTAAGTATGAAAAATAACAAAGGGCAAAAACTCCTAAGTTATGCAAAAGTGAGTGATGGTTCTGGTGCCTTCTTGTTGTGATCTATCTACCTATGAGGTTTTATGTTGATACCTTTTAAAGCGAAATTTAATGAAGTTACAATTTAATTAAACTGGTTTGGGTATTGTGCCATAAGCTGCCTACAAGGTGTCAAATGTTGTTCTGGTCTATGAACTGACCTATGTCCCTCTAAAATCATACAGTAAGCTCACCTCTTGAAGCCAATTTAGAGACCCAGTGTTCCCACTATAGCTCAAATTTGGGGGTAAAATGAATATTTTGTAATGATTTAGAACCCTTTGCAATTACAGAATCTAGAAAATAGACAGTACGAGAGAAATTTTAGGGGTTAAAATCCTCTGTAGGGAATAAGTGGGAATGCTGAGATCAGATATAAAGGCTCACTACAAGGTGCAAATACAGACTGCATACTCTGGATTTTACAGAGACAGTCCAGAATTCATGAAAGTAAATCACTGCAATCTTGTTCAATATTACTGAAATCATGAAAAAGAAGACTGGTTTACTGTACTTTGCCATCCATAATAGTTTCCCAGGATGCTTGTTTCTTGGGAAGGACTTTCGCATGAAGGTCTTTCAGAACAATTTCATAGTCGCCATCACTGAGCTGGCATCGCTTCTGTCTGTCATATATCACAAGTTCTGACCCATACACAATGGCTGTTTTGTAGGACTGGCCATTTTTCCTCTTCTTATTCATTGGTTCTTCTGTAACATAAGGATCATTGAAGTGGCATACATTCACAGTATCTTCACACTCTGTTCTCAGTTACCTATGCTTATAAGAAATTCTACTTGAACCAAAGAAATCAGTTCATTGCATAAAACATAGTTCAACTGTGCAATATGCATCATGCAAAGAAGGTACATAAGTTACATATGTCAGATCATTGTTCACCTATTCCTCCATACTTTTCATATCCACTTATAGAACCACCTACACAGTATTTTTCTCATTAAACTGGAGACATTTTTGTAGGCCTGGATATTGCCTGTGTGATTTTGTAACAACCATCAAAATTCTTTCTCTATATACACACCATTTTTTCCTTATAACCAGTTGCCCCAACTCTTTCTCTGTTCTGATCTGATGGTGCAAGTTTCCTCAGGGCTCTCACACCCCATTTTGGGACTGGGGCCCGGGGCTCTTAGAATTGGTAAAAATTAGCAGCGTTTTCCTTAGAATTGGGAAAACTTTGGGTCTAAATTGCGAAAAAAGATACTATTTTGCATTGGGAATTCGGCCCCAAATCTGGCAGATCGAGAGCCCTGTTCCCAGTTCCTCATCAAATTGTTTTCCAACTTATTTGCAAAATAGGACCATTTTGCTCTTTTCTAGAATTTTGAATATCGAAAGTTAATAAATAATTCTGTTTTTCTCAAGTTGCTACATCCAAAAATGCTTCAATGTAGTAAGCTTGACAAAACCTTTTTTTTCTGGACCTGAATAATAAAATCTGAGAATTCTGACATACTGTCTAATCTGACATACACTATATATTCGTTATAGATAAAACCTTAGTTTTCTAAAACCATGTATAATTCAACTTTGTCAACATTCAGATTAAACAAATTTCACAACGTGTTTTGTATTACCGTGATCACTAGAGTCTCCGTTGCATATGCCATTAGTGTGTTCAGGAGTGACAGGGCAGGTCACGCTGAGAAGTAAGGCAAATGACTTGACAGAGTGGCCGTTGTGTTGGACAAAATGGTCCTTTGGCACAGAAACTGTTGACACTGGTCGACTGGGAATGCCATTCACATTGGTTGGGTTAACAGACACCTGGACTTTTCCTAGACTAGTCTTCATCACTGGTGATGATGCATCCTACGAAAGTTGAAAAATGGGAGTTTTAAATAATGTCTTTCCTAACGCCATACAATAATTAAAACTTGCAAAATAAACCTTATCAGAACTAGATTAAGACACATATTACAGTGCCATAAAAATGAATTATCCATGAACTTTATAAAGTCTGCAAGTAACAGTTTCATTTGAAGGCATTAGAAACATTTCTGGAAATCACATTATTCTCATCTGCTAGGCTAAATTTAATCTTCACAGTTACCCTGTATCAACAGATTTTAGGCTCCACCAATGTACTGACCCTGGGAGCAGTCAAAGTGTGAGTAAGGAGATCAAAATTTACCAATGTAATTAAAAACTGCAAATATAACATTAAAAATATATTCACTAACCTGTGGAGGTAGTAATGCTGAACTATAAAACTGAGCCTTAAAATTTCCTCAAATTCACAGAAAATATAGTTCAGAGAGAGAGAGAGAGAAAGAGAGGGAGAGGGAAAAATACATTATGTTACTTGCCTTTCGTTTCTTGTGGCAGATTTTCAGAAGTGTCACTTCTACATCTACAGCATCTCTATCATAATCTGTGACAAAAACATATAGTGAAAATTTTACTCTTTATATCAATATCTGTACTTGTGATATTGATTCTTATTGTGCATAGTGAAATATGTCATGTTGTTACTGTGAAAAGGATAATCAATTACATCATAATATCAAAATTATAATTTTGATCGTCAGTGCAATTTCTATAATTACCTTCATCAATATTGAAAGCACTAAAGTTCAGGTTCATAAATTGTGACTTGTAACTGCAAATAAATAGAAATCATATTAATCATGTACCAACTTTCTGTATTGTATCTAATACCACTTGTGAATAATTTCTAATTGTTCAGAATTGTTATATTTCTGCTTTGACAAAAACTGAAAGAGCCAATGAAACAAATACGTCAGTTAAGCATAAATTTTATTTTAAAGTGACACTGACAAAATGGAATTGAACTCTGTACAGCAAAATAAACAGACAAAAATATGATGTAATACCTACCTATCTGTTTGTGAAATTCTTTTGGTTCTTTCTTCTACAGAGCTAAGGATCGAGTCAATTTTGAAATCTTTTCTGAAAGAAGAATATTAAGCAGTTTAAACATGCAATTTAGTGAACACCATACACAAGTTCTTGTTATTTTCTACCATAACATAAATTCCTTTATATTAAAGTACTCTTGATGAACATTTCATCTCTAAAGACAGTTTGTAATTTTCTGGAAGCAGACCATCTTGTGTTGTCGATATGTACATTTTATCCTTTGGCAGCATGGGGTAGGCATATTCCACACCATATTCACTTCAAGGCGACTCCACCGTAAAGACACTCTGACTGTTCATAGGACAATAAACCTATTGAACAGAGTCTAGTTACTTATCAGAACTTCATATTGAGTGTGATAAGATATTTATTTATTTTGAGATATATTTGACATACGATGTGTGACATAAGTTATATTTACATAAATATGAACAAATCTGAAATGCAAATGAAATTATCTACCTTTTTTTGTCTCTACATGTTCTCCTTTGTTTCATGTAAGTCAGCGTGCGGTGTAGGAATATTGGCTGGAAAACATAAGAAATATTTCAGTTTTCAAACATTTTTATAAATAATGTACATAAATGAACTAATTTTGTGTGTCAACAATTCCTCTGAATTTGTTGATGCCTCACACATATGCAGTCTTCTATACGAAAAAGAAACTATTTGCCCACTTTAAAGATGAATTTTGAAATGGTTTCTTCACTTACCGAAGCTATATTTCTTGTCCGTAGGTATCTGTAGATTTGTGTGGGTTCTGAAATTCAAAAGTAAAACCATCATACAACTACTTAAATTTAGACAACATTCAAAATTGTGATTTTGAATTTCCTAACACCACAATTAATTTCAGAACAAAAAAAAAACACCTATAATTCGTTCATTACTACCTTTGTCTGAACTTAAACCTTGGAAATGTTGAAATCTCAATTGTTTAAGGCATCATTTACTTTCATATTTTAAATGAGTAACATTTGCAACAGGTAGCAATACAAATTATTTATTTATTTACTACATTTTAGAATGAAATTTGGGGTTGGGTTCTGACAAATATATTATGATATTAATATTGGCTGGATGGTCCTTGTTTATAATTGTTATAATTCATATTTAACTTGGTCTTTAAATCAGTTAAATATCACATAATGTAATTAATGTATTATAACTATAAATCTCACAGAGAAAACTTTTCTAACAAAATCAAATATTAAGACACACATTTCAACCTGAAATTTCATTGCCACTATCAGTAATCAATATTAATTACCACTGCGTTATTGCTTCAAGCCTTTCCTAGCATCCTATTAGAGTAGTTCATATTTTTCACATATTTATTCAATGTTGCGTGCTGTTAGAAACTTCACATGAATAATCACCCTTGGTTATTTAAACACAATGATGAATGTCAAGATTTTGTGACATGAAATTTCAACATCTTACTTTTTCAATAAATAAAATTTTCTATATTACTGACAACTTCAGTATTCTAATTACAGTATACTAATTGAATATTTCACAATGTCAAAATATTCCAAGAAAAATATACACATCATAGAACAATGATTTAGTTGATTTTGTTTCTAAAACATAACTTACATCCAATATTAGTATTGTGATAAGATGAATGCAACTAAATCATTCTAATTACAAAGATTTTGCTCTTTAAAGATAAGAGCCGATTAAAACGAACACCCATAGAAAACACCATACGGTAGCCCCATATGGCATCTGTGATTTAGATCGATATCCCAATTTCATATAGCATATCGTTACCATCAACAGATGTCAATCAATGATGAGGATCGATAAATGAGAACACCGGTGTCTATCGAATGTTTTCAATCCAAACATCATCGCATTTACCTAAAATAGTTTGTCTTTCTCTAACGAGACAGTACTTATCTGTTAAATATACATGTATTTTGTATCATCTACATCACTAAACACACGTGATATTCTTTGATCGAGCACTAAATTATATTCAACCCGATTAGGCCTGTATCTACATAAATACAACTTCCTGTCTCCAGTCGCGAAAACTGGGACACGAAAAGCAACGCCGATATGTTTACTTTCAAATGCCTGTAAGAAAAGCTCCCGATCAGCCTCTGCCGACTCATTCTGCGACTCCTGAACACCACTGTTATCCTTCTGTCGTTTCCTGTTTTTCATTTTGACCGAAATCCCTTCCCCAGTCGACGATCGGTCGCCTTTCGCGGGAACAGATCATACACAAAGCATGGTGAGATCGAGGCGGACGAGAAACGCTGACGGGAGCACCTGTCTAAAATACTCGATAAATGCAGACATGCTGTAGAAACAAGGCTAAACTAACCAATAATACTTAGCTTCCACACAGTGTACCTCTAGCCATCTTCTGAAATTCTATGCTAGTCAGTTATGTCAAGTCTACAGGAAACACTTTCAGTGGGTAAAAAGTTGGAAATTTAAATGAAGTACTAAACAAGATACATTTATGATTTTCATTTTTTTTTAATTTTCTTTAAATTTTATTTAGAGTAATGTTTTAAGCAACCATTGCTTGTAATAATAGTATAGTGTAGTAAAACCACGGATATCTTTATCAAAATCTGTGGTAATACAATTACATTGAGCTAATAGGATGACAGGTGGCTAACTAAGATCATGCAGTATATAACAGAATATAAAAAACAACAAAATATTTCTTAGAAAATGAAAGGACACGCGCTATCATAGCATAACCTAAAAAAATAAAAGCAAATGTATGAGTACTGGTAAATCATGCTAAATCGCATTAAAATCGTTACAAACTGATGGACAAGCTCATAACAGCAGGGATTTCTAACAAAATGAGAAATATTCTGTTTCGTTGTGCAATATGAAGCTGGACTTGTCACTCGTTTGCCAGTTTGACTACTTGTGCCGTTGTTGTATACCTTCCTCTTTTTATGTGACGTCAGTTGTACTTGACCAAGATTTACATGGCGAGTGTCGTCAATGAAAATTACTATTGCGAAGCATTTGGTCTTATTCTTGTTGTACTTTTCAGGAGTCTCTGTGTAAATAATCCTTTTGTTCATAATTTACCCGAGTTTTATGGAAATCAGTTGGAATTATAACTATGGTCATATGTTTGTATTTTCTTGTTGTTCATAATATTCTATACTGTAACGTACATTTGAACCAGAACCGGAGTTTTTAAAACAACCTGGTTCCATTTTGCTTAGTCGCTAATGGCATAATGAGAACAATCTCTCTCGGAAACCAGGCGATGGCGAAACGAAATATCACGAGATGTGAAAAGAAACCCAAAGTAATTAATGTAGCACGAAATGCAAAAAATGAATTAAAGGAAAATACATTGTAAATTATTGTATTGACTGAAAATGTGTACGGATGCGAGTGTGTAAATCTAGATCTGTGGCAAAAGCAGCCTCAATATTGCAGGGGTTAAGATCACTATCGTTATGTGTACTGTTCAGAGAGCGAAAGTGATCGTTATCCCTGCAGAATCCAGGATGTGACAAAAGTAAAATTTATCAAAGGGCTGTTCCACTCAGCAAGAATATGAAAAAATATAGACGTTTTAAATCATATTTTAAAACAAGATTGATACTGAATGAAATTAATCTCTAGCGCACAAAGTTTCTTCTTCTTCACATATAACCAATACCTTGGTCGAGGTGAAGCAGTTTTAAGTGGAATGTGGAATTGGCATATATGGTTGGTAATGAAAAGGGTTATGAGTCGTTTTGTGTCCTTGCTAAACGTCGATCCTTGCTTGCCGAATTCACATATTGAAATATATAGGCCTTTATAGTTAAGCTGTATTTTTTATGACTAAATCACGTGTTCGAAGCTGATGAAAATTCTCTTAATATTTTTGTCATAAAAATATATTCTAACTCTGAAAAAAAACTATGACAAGATTATCTGGTTGGTTGACATGTTTTCCGTCTCTGTGACTCCTCCCGTGTCCGGGTATTGTCTCACTGACGAACGTCAGAGTTCTGTCGACTGTTGGTTGGTGGACAGGTTTTCCGTCTCTGTGACTCCTCCCGTGTCCGGGTATTGTCTCACTGACGAACGTCAATGTTCAGGCTGGCGATGTTACAACATGTATGCCGTAACGCCTCTACTTTTGACGACCTGGTCCTAATTCCCAATTAGCCTCGAAAAACTTCGGGTCGGGTCAACTGTCCAACCACGTATGTCAGAGACGTATACTAGATACATAAATTGCCTCCACATGTCAACGCTATATAGTGAAGAAATCGGAGTTAACTAGCCTTGCTGTGTTTATAAAACAATTTTCTCCAAAAGTGTATGACTTATCTTTTCAAAATGAAAATCAACAGAAATTTTCAAATTAATCGTGTGCTAACTCAAGCGCGTGAAATTTTTTATTAACTTTTGATATTCATAAAACAAAAATGAATGCTAATCTATTTCTGTAGCTAAAATACCACTCGATATTCTGTATCGCTTTCAGCACGAATATGAAGAAAATCATAATTAGAAAGCTGAGCAATTTTCCGATTGACTCAGCTCAATTTTGTGATATTTTTTATTTTTTTTTTTTTTTTCACGAAAATGATATTCACTTTCCGCTGGCCAGCAAAAGGACAGGTTAATGCAGTCCACACTGATTAAGATAAGGGGCATATACTTGTATATACGTACATACGAATAGATAACGGTGACGTCGACGGAGATGACTTAATGGCTCGCCACCAAGAAGAAAAATATATTGTAATAAGACTACTCCCTTGCTCGCCGTAAGGAGGCAGCAAACTAAATCTTTTAAAAATCCCCAGGTCGTGTCTCTTTAATATTTACACTTTTTACTCTTCGAGAAAATCCCTAAATTTGTTTTGTAGATGGTCCCTTACAAATCCCGGTTTCTGAAATGCTTTAAATGTATCGCTTTCATGACTGATATTAAACCAAACCTGTGACTACGACTAACACACACAAAAACAGAGCACATGACAGCAGGTGTGGTAGGTGACAGCTGAAAAAGGAATGGAACGTTTATTGATACTTGTGGTGGTTGCTGTGATAGCTCGTTGTGTAACATCAGGTAAATTTTATCATTTATCTTCATATTTATGACAAATTTGAAAATGGAGAAATATGATTTTATGTAACTGGAATCCGGAGCACGGTTACAGCTCGGCGTCATTTCATGAAAGAGCCGAACTAAAGTTACCAGGTTTAGAAATGAATAACGTAACTGGAAGATCAATGTATGGCTTATTACAATGTGCCGCAAATCAAGTAGATATGTGTTGTGAATGTAAGGATATATTTCAGTCGGTCTTTTGATTTCACCTTCGTTTTATCAAAACACTGGGAATCCGTGATGAAAATAACTCGTCCCTGTATATATCACAAAGACAGCAAGTATAAGGTTTAAGACGGTTTTAGGTAACATGAGACAATGTCTCGGGGTGGCCTATACATACGTATGGCTATTGCGATCCCCTTTTGACCAGCGACTTCTTCTGGAAAACTCCTGAACCTATTTCAATTAAATTTTATAAAAACCTTCCATGGCTAAAGGTACACCAGAATTGTAAATGATACGAGGCCCAACCCTCAGGTGTCTGATGGATGGGACCAAAGTACTCTTCATAGATGGAAGTGTCTTTCAATGCTGTACCAAAACTGTGTTCCATTACCCATGGGTCTTACATTTCCCCATAGAATTTCCTTTGAAATTTCAAAGGTGTTCTGCTATTCATTTATATAGGAAAATCAAATTTTTGAGTGTGATTTCTTTTAATTCAAGCTTGGTTAGAAGCCTTAGCATATGACAGCAGTAAATATTATGCACAGTTTACAGTTGCATTATATGTACAATGAAGTTAAAGTTATCTTACTTTCTTTAATAAAATAATTTCTTTGACATGTTACAAGAATCATTGACTCAGGTGACTGTTTCGGCCCTTTGGGCCTCTTGTTAATGATAATACAACAAAACATGAATATGAAAGCCCTTTCATCCCAGATCAAATTCCTTCAGGCAAATCCGTAATCACTATTATAACACCGTTGAAAGGACCACTTGAAATTTTCGGAAACATTCACTTCGCACAATGAGGCAATTAAACTTTCATTTTGGTACTACCAAAGCCACATTGACATCAAGCATAATTAAGCAAAGCAGCAACATTTCTGTTACAAAAGCATTAATTAAATATATTGTATATTACACAATTGATTAATAATCAAACATATACTGTACATACACAAGTACAAACCCCCAAATCCTCAGCTCCATTAAAATGGACCAGATCTGGCCAGCTAGATCATGGACTGAGATTTCTAATTAAGATCTTAGCTAAAAACAATGTTATGAGCTGCCTCTGAGGCAATAATTGACTGTTTGACAAAATCGACCACCTGCATCTTTTGATCTACGAAGTGATCAAGGTTAACTTTGCATGCATCACTGGCCCTATGCTCTTGTCATAGTATGAGTTCCCATGGAATGTGAGATTGAAATGCACATTGAAAATTATGGAATGAAAAAATGGCTGATTCCTACCTGTCTGTAACTGAAACAGTAACTGTTGCAGAAGTTTTGAAAATGATGGTACCCATTCCTTTTGTCAGAATTGGAAATTTTTTGCCATGCGACAGATGTAAATGCCATCTCAATAGATGTTCAGGAATTTTTTTGACTCAACTTCAATGTGGCAGGCTCTCGAATCAAACTGAGGGATTGCAGCCTGATAACTAATTCCCTGGAGACAAGCTTGCATGAAGTGATGCTGAAGTTTCCCAAAGTTTATAACAGTTACAGAAGTGCTGCTGTCACAATTTATGACAATGTGTTTTACCTCTACATTCATGCCCCCATAACTCAGCACACACCACTAACTACTGTAACTCTAGGCAATTGGTACTAATATCCAGTCTAAGGATGAAGTCTGAAAACTCTGCCCTTCAGAAAATCCCCACAGCCCGACAAACAGGCATCTGAGGCAAACCATTCCTCTAGGTTCATCATAGGTACACCATTATATAAAAACAGAAGTTCTTTCCACAAAACTTCCCACAAACATCAGTTTACCCAACAGTGACTGTATGTGCTGCAGAGATGGCTGCTCAGTGTTAAACCAAACTACCACGAAGTCCATTATTTCCTTCAACATAAACGGTGGTACCTCCAACATCTGTGTCAAAAAGGTACCTATAGGAAAACCATTCAATTGGAGGGAAGAGCAGCTTGCCCTGAAGACTCCACTAAACCACAGATGTGCAAAACTGCACCAACTCCACTCAACATCAACACAGGAACTCAAATGCATCAATGCCTTTTTACTGCTCCTCTGTGCCCCCAAAATCTTCCAGGTATTCCTGGATGTTATATGTGGCTTGTAAACATGAAGGAGACAGCAGAACTGAGTCTCTGACTTATATATGCTGGGGATTGGAGGTCCACTAATAAAACCTGTGTAATGTCAGTAGGAATGTTTGAGATCTCTTTTGAACAAATGACATCCTTTACCCTTCTCCACAATCAGTTGAATCACATCATCTACTCTAGGAGATGTTAGATTGATGTGCTTACAAAGATAAGTATCCTTTAGGATGTGAGCGTTGATGGGCTTACCTTTTGTTAGACTGAAATCAAGAGTTATTCATCTTTCTTCCACATCTCGTTTAGGTACAGAATTGAAGGGAGATGATTTAATAGGTGTACTGAGAGGGTTTGTATCTAAAGGGCTTATAAATAACGGGCTCAGAAGAAAAATATGAAAGGACATGAAACATGAACCATCTGACCAATCAGAGCCCTATGCAATAGAGAGGTGACCCTTAAAAATCTGGTCAAACTTGGACTTGCATATAGATTACGAGCTAGTGAAAAGAAATCACTCTCACATATTCCACCACCAGAGAAATTATGTACATGTGGTACATGAATTAAAATATATTAGATAAATTATATACAGGATTGTGATTGTCATTTCTGACACCCCTTCCCCTCCCACCCCACAATGATCAACCTTGATAATGTATAATAGGGATCAGATGTTTTATCTGGTACTAAGCTGGCTTCTGAAAAAGAAAGAGAACATCTGATAGTGATTAATGTGATATATCATTAAAGCTTTTTCTTTATATTGTAGATTAATTTAATTAACTTAAATTTCCAAATAATGAAAACATTTTTTTAAAAAAATAGAGTTTGCTTCCCTGTATGGTAAGGAATAATCAGCCCCTAGTCAGGATTATGTGATCAGATGGGTTTTTTTTTCGATGTCCAGCTCCAGTCATGATATTTCAGTGTTATGACACAAGTCATGATATTTCAGTGTTATGACACAAGTCATGATATTTCAGTGTTATGACACAAGTCATGACATTTCAGTGTTATAGCACTATAAAAGGGCCTCTGAAAAGCCACATCATCTGAAGGCGAGGACTGAGGTTTTTAGGCAGCAAATTGCTTTTTGAAGTAATAAACACATTTAACCATATATTGGTTACATTTGATTATAATATCTTTGCAGCATCTTATGAAAATGGCTGTGTGTACTGTAAAGGCAAACAGTGTCAATACAAAAAGTCTGTGGTGGCCGGGGACTGTACTGCTCTAGCTTCCTACAATGACACGCTCATGGAGACTGGCTGGGGTATTCTGGACATCTCGGCCGGATATGGTAAAGTCAAGTTCACTGACCAGGAGCTTATGTATGGTGCTGGCTTCATAGAGGGAGTACTGACAGCTAAGTGAGTGTGGCAAAATTATTATCATTGTGGTTATTGTTGTTAAATGATGAATTTCAGAGTTATGAAAAGACTTTAGCGTTGGTTACAAAAGATATTGCTACAAAATTTCTTGAGTACAAAAATGATGTTTTCTTTTTCAATGAGAAAGGCTGAGCTGTTCAAAAATTGAAAAAAACATTTTAATTAAGAATTTATTGGGATTAAACTACTTCCACTTAAAAAGATAGGTGTTGGATCACATAGACAGAATCACATAGACAGAATCACATAGACAGAATTTTGACAGAATTTTATGATGCATGAAATATATGGAAGGAGGATTTTTTCATCAATATCGGCCCAAAATATTACCTGTTCAAATAACCAAATCGTACAAATTGTAAAGGTTTTTCGTTATTTGTAATATCAATAAATTAATTTTGATTAACTTTATCAATGCAACATTATATTATATATAATATGATGTTGATGTATGTTGCATTTTTTTATTATATAAAAATGTTTTGTATGTTTGTATTTTTCTAGGAGAATATATGAACACTACCAGAATGCGAACGATTTTTTCCTCAGTAAAAAGTCAGCAGCATATATAGCTAAGCTTCAGGATTTCCTATCAGCCCAAGATGAGTGGATGAGACAGATGGTAGTGAATAACCAAGCTGATTCAGTTTGGCGCCATGTAGGCTTAGTTTTAGACCAGTATGATGGACTTATAGATGGATACAAGTCTGCAGCACCAGACAATTGGGTATGAAGCAGAAGCCAGACAAAAAAAACACATACTGGTATCGTAAATCTTCAAAATTGTAGAGTGAATTAGGATGAAAATTGCAACAACCTTGGAGTAAATTAACACTAAATTTTAATGTATCGTCAATTGGTTTGTTTTTCTAAAGTACTCAGAACATGGACAAACATATACTGTGACATAAATAGAGGTGGGGGGGGTGGGGTTGAGGAGTTCACATATGTGACCTTCTATGACCTTCTATAGACTGTAGATGACTCCTCGCATCCCTCTTCCTTTTTAGTTCTTTGCTACAATTCTCCTCACTGTCGTTACTAGTTGGGACTTTGTTATTGTTGATTGTTATTATCAGTCATGTTCGTTGGTAGGAAATGGTCCGTTGTTCCTTCACAATTGTGCTTCAAAATGATTTGAATTTAGATTTTGAAAAAATTTGAAGATAAGTTGCTTACTGTGGCATATGTAGGGTATTCACAATATGTATTCATATATTGAGTTTATTTACTGGATAAACTAGCTTACAAATTTTAAATGACTCCAATAGCTGATGGATTTCATGAAATTGATTATTACAATTGACTTCAAATTACATGAATATTGGTATTAGATTATATTTATTTGTTATATACATTACCATTTAAGGAACGTGGTTACAACCGACTTTTGTTTCTTCTATACATGACAACACGTTTTTAAAGGAACGCATATCACATTGCTTAGATAACAGTGTGACAGAGTGTAACTGTTATGTCATAATGGTAATTAGCTACTGTGAGATGTGGGCACCTTCATGTCTGAAGTCTTTGAAGATCTTGTCCACTGAAAGGCCATGGACATAAAATCTGTCTAATAAATCAATAATTGTTGAAAGAACACTGTTTTCTGTCCTATTCATCATTAAATACCTTGGCAATCTGTAACACAACATGGTGTGTTTAACTCCGCAATTGCTATTTTTTCAGAAACTGGAAGTGTTTGCCTTTCAAGTGTTAAATGGTGTTGGTGATCTGATAGACCTTCAGCATGCCTTAGACCCCGACAGCATTCCAAACTGGAAAAAGATGTCGAAGGAGGAAGCCAAGCTTTACGTACAAAGACATGGCTTTTGTTCAGCTCTCATCAAGGTACATCCAACATTGCTTCTGCGGTTTGAATGTTTAAGACTTCTGTCAACAGTGATTTTTCATATCTTCATCTCATTATATTCCTCATTCATTTTGCATACAATTGATAAAATCTGTATTCTTAATTCCGGGTGTTGGGAGACTGTGATACTTAGTATTCTTAATTCTGGGTGTTGGGAGACTGTGATACTTAGTATTCTTAATTCTGGGTGTTGGGAGACTGTGATACTTAGTATTCTTAATTCTGGGTGTTGGGAGACTGTGATACTTAGTATTCTTAATTCTGGGTGTTGGGAGTTGGGAGACTGTGATACTTAGTATTCTTAATTCTGGGTGTTGGGAGACTGTGATACTTAGTATTCTTAATTCTGGGTGTTGGGAGACTGTGATACTTAGTATTCTTAATTCCAGGTGTTGGGAGACTGTGATACTTAGTATTCTTAATTCCAGGTGTTGGGAGACTGTGATACTTAGTATTCTTAATTCTGGGTGTTGGGAGACTGTGATACTTAGTATTCTTAATTCCAGGTGTTGGGAGACTGTGATACTTAGTATTCTTAATTCTGGGTGTATTCTTAATTCTGGGTGTTGGGAGACTGTGATACTTAGTATTCTTAATTCTGGGTGTTGGGAGACTGTGATACTTAGTATTCTTAATTCTGGGTGTTGGGAGACTGTGATACTTAGTATTCTTAATTCTGGGTGTTGGGAGACTGTGATACTTAGTATTCTTAATTCTGGGTGTTGGGAGACTGTGATACTTAGTATTCTTAATTCTGGGTGTGATTCTGGGTGTTGGGAGACTGTGATACTTAGTATTCTGGGTGTTGGGAGATTCTGGGTGTTGGGAGACTGTGATACTTAGTATTCTTAATTCTGGGTGTTGGGAGACTGTGATACTTAGTATTCTTAATTCTGGGTGTTGGGAGACTGTGATACTTAGTATTCTTAATTCTGGGTGTTGGGAGACTGGATACTGGGTGTTGTATTCTTAATTGTTGGGAGACTGTGATACTTAGTATTCTTAATTCTGGGTGTTGGGAGACTGTGATACTTAGTATTCTTAATTCTGGGTGTATTCTTAATTCTGGGTGCTGGGAGACTGTGATACTTAGTATTCTTAATTCTGGGTGTTGGGAGACTGTGATACTTAGTATCTTAGTGATAATCTGTACTTGTAATTCAAGGTGTCAGAAGCCGTGATAATCTGTACTTGTAATTCCAGGTGTCAGAAGCTGTGATAATCTGTACTTGTAATTCAAGGTGTCAGAAGCCATGATAATTTGTACTTGTAATTCAAGGTGTCAGGAGCCCTGATAATCTGTACTTGTAATTCAAGGTGTCAGAAGCCGTGATAATCTGTACTTATAATTCAAGGTGTCAGGAGCCCTGATAATCTGTACTTGTAATTCCAGGTTTCAGGAGCCTATGAAAATGTATTTATGTCCCACTCCAGCTGGTTTATGTATCAGTTCACCATGAGGATCTTCAAACACTGGAACATCAACGTACAGGACAGTGGCACATCGGCAAGACAGATGTCCTTCTCTAGTTACCCAGGTAACAACCATGCACATCCATCACTTTCCTTGTGGCCATAAAGTATTGCTGCTATCTATGGTAATACTGTCTCCTTTTCTTGTCTCTGTGATGATGTCATTGTCTTCTTTAGGACATCGACACTTACGACTTCTCTATCACCCCCATGACTATACCCATCATCACTATAATCAATCATGACATACATACCACCCTAAGGTCTAAACTGAAATGAAGAAAAAATATCTGTGTGCCAACCTCGCTGACCTAATTCTACCTCCCCCCTCCCCCCCCCCCCCACCCCCCACCCCCCACCCCCCACCCCCCCACCCCCCCACCCCCCTCTTTCTTTGTCATATTCACACTTTAAAATTGTTCTACTCTACCATTATGTTTGAACTATCCCCAGGCTTCCTTGAGTCTTTGGATGACTTCTATTTGCTGGGGAGTAATATGGTACTACTACAGACCACAAACAATGTGTTCAATTCCTCTTTGTACAAGTTCGTCCAGCCACAATCTCTGTTGGCATGGCACCGTGTAAGGGTGGCGAGTATGATGGCTAGCACTGGCAGGGAATGGGCGGACATCTTCTCCAAGTTCAACTCAGGTGAGATATACAGACAAACTTTAAATCCCACTGTGTAGGTCATATAAGCATAAACTATAAAAGACATATTTTGTCTGTAATTTAATTTGTAACATTAACTCTGATTGCTGTAATTAAATTTTCTTCATGATATTAACATACAAATTATTGTGCATATCAGTTATTTCACTGAAATGTTCTAAATTTTGTGTGCCAAATTAAAGACATTTACACTACTTGAATAACGGACTTTTGAATTCATACATATCTCTTCATTATGGATTACTAATGAATCTGAGAATCTGAACCCTAACAGGGTCTTATCACAACCAATAGATACAGTTTATCTGAACCCTAATAGGGAATCATCACAACCAATATATACAGTTTATCTGAACCCTAACAGGGTCTTATCACAACCAATATATACAGTTTATCTGAACCCTAACAGGGTCTTATCACAACCAATAGATACAGTTGATCTGAACCCTAACAGGGTCTTATCACAACCAATAGATACAGTTTATCTGAACCCTAACAGGGTCTTATCACAACCAATATATACAGTTTATCTGAACCCTAACAGGGTCTTATCACAACCAATATATACAGTTTATCTGAACCCTAACAGGGTCTTATCACAACCAATAGATACAGTTTATCTGAACCCTAACAGGGTCTTATCACAACCAATAGATACAGTTTATCTGAACCCTAACAGGGTCTTATCACAACCAATAGATACAGTTGATCTGAACCCTAACAGGGTCTTATCACAACCAATAGATACAGTTTATCTGAACCCTAACAGGGTCTTATCACAAACAATAGATACAGTTTATCTGAACCCTAACAGGGTCTTATCACAACCAATAGATACAGTTTATCTGAACCCTAACAGGGTCTTATCACAACCAATAGATACAGTTTATCTGAACCCTAACAGGGTCTTATCACAACCAATATATACAGTTTATGAACCCTGAACCCTAACAGGGTCTTATCACAACCAATATATACAGTTTATCTGAACCCTAACAGGGTCTTATCACAACCAATAGATACAGTTGATCTGAACCCTAACAGGGTCTTATCACAACCAATAGATACAGTTTATCTGAACCCTAACAGGGTCTTATCACAACCAGTAATTATATTTTATCTGTACCCTCAGGGTCGTACAACAACCAGTAATTATATTATATCTGTGCCCTCACAGGGACCTACAACAACCAGTACATGCTGGTAGATCTGAAGCAGATAGAACTTGGCAAGGCCATCAAGGACAATGCACTGTGGGTTGTAGAACAGATACCAACTAAAGTTACAGCTGGAGACCAGACACCAATCTTGAGAACAGGTGAGTATGTTTTTCTGTACATTGGAAACAATTTGATACATTTTATGTAAAATATTTGATTAAGTGACAGGTGGGGACTGTAAGTCAGTGTTATCCACTTCTGTTCTGTCTCATGTCATCGCTTTAATGACTTCATTCCTGAATGGATATTTACTAAAGTTCTTACAAGGGTTTGGTATAAGGATACTTGTAATATTGTAATATTTTTCATGGGACTTAGATTTTGCAGTTTATCAAAAAGTTACTTTTTAGTACGCTCTTTTAACAGTGAAATAAATTTAAGTCAATAACCACAAAAATTACCTGGCAATGATTTCATTCAATGTCTTACAGATATTTATGGTGTAATAAGATATTTGTTTTATTTAATGTCTTACAGATATTTATTGTGTAATAAGATATTTGTTTCATTTAATGTTTCAGGTATTTATTGTGTAATAAGATATTTGTTTTATTTAATTACAGATATTTATTGATTTGTTTTATTTAATGTCTTACAGATATTTATTGTGTAATAAGATATTTGTTTTATTTAATGTCTTACAGATATTTATTGTGTAATAAGATATTTGTTTTATTTAATACAGGTATTTATTGTGTAATAAGATATTTGTTTTATTTAATGTCTTACAGATATTTATGGTGTAATAAGATATTTGTTTTATTTAATGTCTTACAGATATTTATTGTGTAATAAGATATTTGTTTTATTTAATGTTTACAGGTATTTATTGTGTAATAAGATATTTGTTTTATTTAATGTCTTACAGATATTTATGGTGTAATAAGATATTTGTTTTATTTAATGTCTTACAGATATTTATTGTGTAATAAGATATTTGTTTCATTTAATGTCTTACAGGTATTTATTGTGTAATAAAAGACCAACTTATTTATCCGACAATAACCCAAGGGGTTCAAATTAAAAATTCTGGCTTTTTGATTTTCAAAATATGATTTTGATTTTGAAAATTTTGATAGTCTATTTTTGCAATTTTCTGCATAGTATTTACAATGCTTCACTGTGTAGTATTTTCACTTCTTTTTTTATTGATTTCAGGGTATTGGCCATCATATAACGTTCCATTTTATGAAGACATCTACAACATGAGTGGCTACCCAGACTTTGTTGCCCAACATGGGGTAGACAACTCCTACCAACTAGCTCCCCGGGCCAAAATATTCCGTAGGGACCAAGCAAAAGTAGTGGATCTACAGAGCATGAAACACATTATGCGATACAATGGTTAGCAATGGCTTATCTGACATTGGTCAGATGAACTTTTTTTATTTGGTTTTTAAATCATTGAGAAGTTCTGTTACTTACCATAATTCATAGATTGACATTGGTTGAATTACAATGACTAAAGACATCTGACTGGATGATAGCATCTCCATTGATCAACCAATCAGCACTATCTGCTCTGATAATGACTGGTCATGGGTCTAAGTTATGAAAAGGAAATACCTATAGGAATTTGTGAAATAAAATGCATCATCCTCAGGTCGAATTCTAATATATAACAAAAGTAATTGGGAAAGTCTTTGTCAACTTTATCAATATTAAAGCTTTAATGCTTCATTTTCACCACAGGTATTAAGAATATGCTGTTTTAAATCAACAAAAGTTCTTATCAATGGAATTTAGAAATGATTGAATTAGAAATGATTTTGCTTTTTGTTGAAATAACTCTCAAACATTTTTAATTTCTAATTTTGAATCTCATTATTTAATTTTTTTTTTTTTTTGACAGATTACAAACATGACCCCTATTCTGAGGGAGATTCTTGTAATGCAATATGTTGCCGTGGAGATCTCAAACATACTTCATCTTCTGCATCTGGTTGCTATGATACCAAGGTTTGTTTTGCAGTCACATAGTGTTGGTTTTAATACTTGACTTTAAGGCTGACATATAGATTTAAAATGTATTAGTGACCTATTCTGGAATTCTAGAAATATTGTAGATAGGGATTTAGTTTATAAGGTTGTCATGACTTTTTCTGAAATAAAAAGATATATACAGTTTTGTGCGGCTTGCTGCTTTCAAAAGATTTTACAAGCTGTGAGCTATACTGAAAGAATGTTGAAGATTTCGCTAGATTTGTCCAAAATCTGTTGACAAAATAAGATAGCTTTATCCAAAATATGTTGTGCAGTCTTAAATTTTGAAATAGCATGAACTCAGAAATGTAGAAGTTGCCATGAAAATAAAAGAAAAGATACTTTCCAACATAAAATTACTCCAGATCTTAGAGTATTGAGATAATAATGTCTAATAGTTTTTTTTCTCTTTGTTTAGGTGTCAGACTTCCACATGGCACAAAACTTTGTGGCAGATATCATCAATGGCCCAACTCTAGGAACAGGATTACCTCCCTTCCAATGGACTGATGCATTTAAGGACTCTCATATTGGTTTACCAATGGAGTACAGTTTTGACTTCCTCCGTACCTCCCCTCGTTGGAATGTCACTTTAGGATGACCTCAAGGAATAGCCTCATTGAAATTGATAGCTCTATAAATCTAAGTTGACATTTATTTTTTAAAAGGTTTTAAAGTGAAAAACAAAAATATTTGAGAATTTTGAAAATATATTGTGTTGATAAAAATTTTTTTTTAAATGAAGGGAATTAACTCTGATTTTGATAACAGATATAATGTAAAGTAGCATGCATCCTTAATGTATTCAGGGATATGCTGTTCACATTGTCATATAAGATATTATCAAACATCATGTTTACTATTATGACAGTGTGTTTTCAGTCAAATTCTTGGTCTCATTGTTATATTTTTCCAAGAAATAAAGAGTAGGATATCAACTGAGCATAATCAATCATACATTTTTTTTATATGAAAGAAATGTTGGTGCTTCATGTTATTGTTTCTTGTCATAATCACATAGTGCTATGAAGGTTATTATATTTTTCAAATTTTTAGTGAGTTTACTCCACATTTATTGTGAAAAGGATGTATTTTTTTTTTACAGAAATCATGAAAATGCTCCCCAAAATTTTCAATGCAGCATATAGTTGATGCTATGTCTGTCCGTCTTTTTCACGTCGAGAGCATAAATTTGCCCACAGATAAGCAAGGATAATGAAACTTGGTGTGTACATTGGTCATATTAAGACAAAGTGCAGTGTACCTAATTCAGGGTCCTTGACCCCTGAATTTACAGAGTTATTGCCCTTTGTTAAAATTTCTTGTCGGAAGCGTAACTTTGCACACAGGTAGGTAAGGATCATGAAACTTGGTGTGCACATTTGTCAAATTAAGACAATGTGTACCAGATTGTTTTATTTATTTTTTTTCTGCTTCTTTTTTTTCATGGTATCAGATTTTTGCTATTTAAACTTCTTGAAAATCCCAACATTTACAGTAAAACTTGGCATCATGAGACATGTGTAAAGGATTTGATTTATATTACAGGTGTTACGGGTACAACTTAGACTTTATGTCAGGTGGCTCTATATTTAAGTTTCATAGTCAAATGAATTGATGATACTCAAACCTAGCAAGATCTATTACATTTCAGACAAATTCGTTGAAGATTATAATCCTGTTGAGATTGAGAGTTGGTCAAGTTCATTAACTTGAGAAAACAGGAGACCTGTTTGTCCCAATAACCTGCTGGCTTCTTGTTGTAACAATTTAATCAGCAGAGATATTCATAGGTTGACAAAATGTTAAAATTCACTTATAAAACACTGATTCTGAAATGGTCATGTTCAGACTTTATGTTGTAATGTTTGTACTAAGTCAGTAATGAGCAATTGCTTCTGAAGCATCACTGTGATTATAAGGAAACATTCTATTGATATATATTCATGACTTTTTATAAGTTTTTTGTGATTGATGAAATAAATTTTTGTGGATTTTTAATTGTTTTCTCTTATTTTATCTGTATGCCTGATTCCTGCATGTAACATGCCTTCATCCGTTCATGATATAAACAAGTCTTTCAGAAGAGATCAATATACCTCCATTTATAATTAAAATATTTTCTGCCAAGTGATGGATTACTGGGTTTGTTATATACAGTGTGATGGATTACTGGGTATGTTATATACAGTGTGATGGATTACTGGGTTTGTTATATACAGTGTGATGGATTACTGGGTATGTTATATACAGTGTGATGGATTACTGGGTTTGTTATATACAGTGTGATGGATTACTGGGTTTGTTATATACAGTGTGATGGATTACTGGGTATGTTATATACAGTGTGATGGATTACTGGGTTTGTTATATACAGTGTGATGGATTACTGGGTTTGTTATATACAGTGTGATGGATTACTGGGTTTGTTATATACAGTGTGATGGATTACTGGGTTTGTTATATACAGTGTGATGGATCACTTGGTTTGTGATATACAGTGTGATGGATCACTGGGTTTGTTATATACAGTGTGATGGATCACTGGGTTTGTTATATACAGTGTGATGGATTACTGGGGTCATTATATACAGTGTGATGGATCACTGGGTTTGTTATATACAGTGTGATGGATCACTTGGTTTGTTATATACAGTGTGATGGATTACTGGGGTCATTATATACAGTGTGATGGATAACTGGTGCATGTAGTATACACAGTGTTGGATTACTTAAGGACTACTTTACAGTATGTTGGATTACTGAGGGACTACTTTACAGTATGTTGGATTACTGAGGGACTACTTTACAGTATGTTGGATTACTGATGGATGTACTATACACAGTGTTGGATTACTGAGGGACTACTTTACAGTATGTTGGATTACTGAGGGACTACTTTACAGTATGTTGGATTACTGAGGGACTACTTTACAGTATGTTGGATTACTGATGGATGTACTATACACTGTGTTGGATTACTGAGGGACTACTTTACAGTATGTTGGATTACTGAGGGACTACTTTACAGTATGTTGGATTACTGAGGGACTACTTTACAGTATGTTGGATTACTGAGGGACTATTTTACAGTATGTTGGATTACTGAGGGACTACTTTACAGTATGTTGGATTACTTAGGGACTACTTTACAGTATGTTGGATTACTGAGGGACTACTTTACAGTATGTTGGATTACTGAGGGACTACTTTACAGTATGTTGGATTACTGAGGGACTACTTTACAGTATGTTGGATTACTGAGGGACTACTTTACAGTATGTTGGATTACTGAGGGACTACTTTACAGTATGTTGGATTACTGAGGGACTACTTTACAGTATGTTGGATTACTGAGGGACTACCTTACAGTGAGATGGATTACTGGTGGATGTACTATAGACTGTGCTGGTTCCTGAGGGACTACTTTACAGTATGTTGGATTACTGAGGGACTACTTTACAGTATGTTGGATTACTGAGGGACTACTTTACAGTATGTTGGATTACTGAGGGACTACTTTACAGTATGTTGGATTACTGAGGGACTACTTTACAATATGTTGGATTACTGAGGGACTATTTTACAGTGAGATGGATTACTGGTGGATGTACTATAGACTGTGCTGGTTCCTGAGGGACTACTTTACAGTGTGTTGGATTACTGAGGGACTACTTTACAGTATGTTGGATTACTGAGGGACTACTTTACAGTATGTTGGATTACTGAGGGACTACTTTACAGTATGTTGGATTACTAAGGGACTACTTTACAGTATGTTGGATTACTGATGGATGTACTATACACTGTGTTGGATTACTGAGGGACTACTTTACAGTATGTTGGATTACTGAGGGACTACTTTACAATATGTTGGATTACTTAAGGACTACTTTACAGTATGTTGGATTACTGTGGGACTATTTTACAGTATGTTGGATTACTGAGGGACTACTTTACAGTATGTTGGATTACTGAGGGACTACTTTACAGTATGTTGGATTACTGAGGGACTACTTTACAGTGTGTTGGATTACTGTGGGACTACTTTACAGTATATTGGATTACTGGTGGATGTACTATAGACTACTGATTACCGAGGGTCTGAATTCAATGACATGCTATATTTTCGTCGTTAAGTAATACTGAGTAATATAGAATCATTGAACATTATTCTACATACAGAATGTCGATCACTTGATCACTTATCTGTCCACAGCCAGACAGACTCAAATACAACATTATTGGCCGTAATGATGAAAACAAGCTCTGTCAAAGCTGCTTTTTTCTAGGAATTCTGTTATACTCTAGGAGGACGGAACAAAATCGCCAGACATAGACACCTTGAGAATATAATATATGGAGGAAATCTCTGTCCGTTTCTTTACTTGGGTGAAAAGACATACCCTGTTGGATTTTGATTCGAGTGATTGGTACAATCAAAAAAAGAAGACAGATAAGATAAACGCCCGAAAAAAATTAATTATGGTAAATTTATCTATCGAAGAAGTCCCTCCTCATTATACCTGATGTATAGGAGTTTAGTATTTTCCTTGCATCACATTGTCCATTTGTACCTTGTGTAGATTTACCTCTCTTTTTGCTGCCAGCATTTTTGTCGTGATTCCTATTTGTTTAGAATTCGTCTCATGATTTCTTCTCTTGTCTTTTTTTTTTCTCTTTTAATTCCTGTCATATTTTTCCAAAATGATTTATTACTACAAACTATTATTTGATCACACTTGAGAAATTTTGTTATGCACCTGTCGTAGAGGAGAGAATAACTTTCTCAGCTTTATAGTTAAATAGCCAAACACTCAGGAGTGTTAGTCAACAAAAGATCACAGCGTGGGTCTAGGCGTCCACCATTGTTTGATCATTCTTTCATTTTTGTTTGTTCCTTTGCCTTTTCTCTAATTGTATGAAATCTACAAATTCCTCGTAAGAAATAGTGATGATAATATTGAACAGTCAAATCGAAGATGGCCGCCTTTCAGCCATTTTACTTTTCTGATTGAATGTACCGAAATAGGGTGGAAATGGTCACAACCTTGCGTGCCACAGGGACTTGAACACGAATTTTCGACACATGACCATATTTATGTATTATATAGTTAATTAGAGTCGGAAACTCGTGCCAAGTCCATGTGTTACGTGTCATACCTCCATCTTTTATTGCGGGCAGGGGAGGGGGCACATTGTATGCAAAATAGTTACCTGACTGAATCACAAGATTGAATAAAAAGTTTAAGACCATTGTCAACATCACTTCTGCATTTGAAGACAAGTCTCTTCCAAAAAAAGGCCTATTGTGTTAGAACGTGAACTGACTAAAGAATCCGATATTTGAACTTTTTAATGCATGTTGGTAGATTAGCAGTATAATACCGCACTAATCCAACACGTAGATTCTTAAAATAATCAACACACTTAACCAGTAATATCATTTCTATTATTCCGCGCTTTTCCCAAGTAAATTGCCAGTGAGTTTTTATCTCAGATTTATGATAAAGCAAGGAATTAATCCGACAATACATGTTGTCTATATTTTAACTGAGGTTAATATCAATTAGCTTTATGATAAGGATGTTATTAAATAGGATTAAACTAGACGTCACATGTAATCATCTGTAGAAATATTCACCCCCTCCAAGCTGATCGTCATGACTCGGAGGCAAAGGCGGGTTTGTCGGCAGATGATTGTCTTAGCGATTTGAGACTTCTCTTAAACAGTTGAACTACCAACACCATGAAGACATGCTAAGAAACGAAGCGTATTCCATATTCGTTTTACATCTAGGACTTTTCGGAAATAGTGTGTTTATATTGTGTCTGCCCATTAATCACCTGAAATTGACCTACCCCGGAGAAGGGTAATGTTCTTCAACAACGTGGTTAGTTCGATAATGAAAATTCCACAGCAGGGTTCCCGTGTCTTGTGATAACACTGGTAAGCGACTGACGCTGTACATTCTGTATATAACTCAAATCTCAAATCCCAGCAGATCATTAGCAAGAAAGCAGAGCTCCATTGTTTGCCAGCGACTTCAAAGAGTGTGTGGGCACGAGATTTTCCGTGATATTTGTGTCGTAGTAGATGGGATTATTTTGTTTAAAAATAACTTAATTCTACAACGAAGCACGTCTTTTCTACTGGGAATTCATTCTTAATATTCTACGTGATATGTTTATTGGTTATTTTGCTATAACTTGATGAAAATCAGTCACCAGTTTTTAAATTCCTAATCCAATATATTGCCGTTAGAAACAATTATTAACGCTCAGATTCAACAGGAAAAGAAATGTATCTTGTTCATAAAAAATAGTTATCATCTATATTGTATAAATGAGATTCTACTCAGGCGATCTAGGTTCGATTGCCAATATATGGCATTGTTACAGAATACAGAGTAATGCTGTTTTTCGTTACTTTAAATTTTCCGTGTTTTGCCAAAACTTCGTGGCATATCAGATCTAAGTAAATTTATGAATATTCTGGTTTCTTTATTGCCACCGATGATGTAAACTGGTTTGTGTTTGGAACAGACATCATAGACCACATGACATTTTACCTACCTATTTTTGTATGTTAGTTAAAAATTTCTTCCGTGTTACCACCGACTTTTGTTGACATTGTGGATTATAAACACACATTTTTTACCATTTCATTGTCATCTTCAAAAATAAAGAGTTCTGCTTGTGATAAACTGACATGTACACAATACAATCAAAGACTCGGCAGACCTCACTTTGGTGATTATGTAAGTTAACCTATTTATCGTACATCTCTATCTATGATTTCTTTGATAAACAAATAAAAAAGAGTCGCACGTAACATAGTGATATAATTAGCAAACATTGATTATAACACCGCTCCTCTCTGTAGTATTCAAACTACATGTTCCAGACAAACACCGTAATTCATATAACGACATCATCAAATGACTAACCGTACCGAGAACAGCTATTTCTACTGCCTCGCCTTGGATACATTCTGATTCCCCAGAGTTACTTCCCTTCTCTATGATGATAAGCCCTCGGCGGATGAGGGCTGGGAATGCCTTGGATAGTGTTGTACCAATAATTTCTTTTAAAAACCTTACACGCAGCACTGACTACTTAATAAAAGATATACAAACACATGTTGTGTGCCTATTCTGAAGTTGTTTCTTGTAAGCTGTGTTGATGCTACTGTCCCTATAACATAGGTCATACACGCTCTTTGTGGACCCATTCTAAAACCGTCTTTTAGCACCACCTTTGCTAAGCATACATGCACATTATATACCGCTAGTGTCTGGTATCTCCATCGTACCGTATCACGCAAACTTACCTCATTACGTTTACCTCGTTCAAAAGTCCTCCCGGTATATCAAAGTGCTACATTGTATTTCCAGTACTGAAAGGCTCGGACCGCCATATTTTCATGTGTGTATAATAGTGCACGATGGTCGAAAATCGCGGGGTAATATTGCACTCACTTAACATTAAATGCTTTAAATTGCTTTATTCTAATACACAGGTTCTAGCCAGTGCTTTTCCGTATGGTTGGCTTCCACTTGTACATTAGGCGTTTCCTTTCGTGTCTACAACTAAAGGAATACTATTAAGACCAAACTAGATCTGTTTAACCTACAACAATACTTACTTGTCTCTGTTTCCCCCGGATTTTTTTTTCCAGTTTTGAATTTACCTCTAGTCAAGCGTTGCCTTATTACCCTGGCAGTTTCGAAGACGTTAAACCACGTAAAACAAAACATATACACAAGAAAGTAATATATATGAACATGACCATAATCCAAACTAAAATTCAATAAAACTACAGCAAGATATAGCAAAAGAAAAATTTATACAGAGTCATCTGAAATTTGCAAGGAGAATAAGACCAGGTGTTCCGAAAGAGCAAGCGTCTTCAGGTTCATTGACAATATTCGTCATGTCAATCCAAGTCCGTGAGAACAAGGTATACAAAACAGAACTAACAGGCAAACGAACACGTCAAGCTTTTCATAGCACAAAGAAATAAAGATATTTCTCAATGAGATCACTATGACGACCGCAAAACTTCCCCATAATGTTCATCTGCACCTCTTGAAACCATTTGATATGGCTTTGTCAGTTGACATCTTGCACGAAAATCGTGATAATGGGAACAGGCCCTTGAATATCGAATTAACTGCAACATAGCTTGTAAATGAAGGGAGTTGGTTTCCAGTGATGGAAAATACACAATCAGGAAAATGAAACCATGACGTTGATCATACAGGTTAGCGGAAAGCTGTCAATGTTGGCTTCGTTGTAGGAAAAGATCGAGATAATCGGCTGATGTAAGTCTGTCTTGTCTTTGATTGCCAATTCTGGTGGACGTGGTCAATAAATATGCTGTTATTTAAAGACAATACATCATCAATATATCTGAAGGTAATTATGACCTACTATGTTTATAAAGTACTTATTAACCATTAAATCATAACCATCATCAGTGTTCGGTGTCAATGTTCTATCTACCACATCGGTTCGTGGTTCCCTGTATTTCATTCGCATTGCATTCTCGTTACCACCAGGTTTATGCTGACTTTCGCTGTCTTCGTATGTGGCAAAATCGAAGGCCAAAGCAAAGTAATTTGATTGGTCTAGAGCGGATTTCAAAAGAAAAAAAACCCAGACCAATCACAGACTGATACGCTTCTTTGCTTCTTTGAAGATTACGAAGGAGCGACACCCAACCTCAAAGCCATTACAATATATCGTTATGCGACCTCGAGATTCGTTTGCTGTACATCAAAGAATCAACTTCTCGTCCTCTCCATGAAATGTCCCAAGGGTGCAGAGAGCGAAAACAAGCATAATCCCTGGAGAATCGAGGGTGATGGAACTGAGGTCAGCAATTTTAAACACATGGGACATGATTATTCTTTCGCGACAGTCTATGTTAACATGGATCTAATCTGATATATACTAATTCGCATGACATAAGGAACTGCCTCTCCTCTGCCACTTCCGGTAAAAGTGTCAGTACTTGACCTTCGACATCATGACCGCGTTCAATTACAGTTTTTTAACAGTTAATTCATATTTTATTTATCACATGAAGTGAATTATTATTTTTGTGTATATGTAACTGAAGTAATATACCCTAGATCGTTTTTCATTGGTTAATTGTGTAATATTGAAAATGACGTCACCGCATGAATTGAAAATGGCTGCCTCCGTTTGATTTTGTCTTCCACATCTCATTTTCAACCCATTCAAAATGTAACTTTTCTTATTTTTATGATAAAAAGTACAATGTATCTTAAATTTGATATCAATTCATAGGAGATTTTATGAAACTCATCCTGAAATTTTCTTTTTTGTTTGGAAAGGCTCACAAAAATAAAACCATTTGTGACCCGTTTCATAGAATCTCATTGAAATGAAAAAGCATTTATGATCTGAGGGATATTTTTGGACGGAAATATAAAAATAAAATAGAAAAATTACTCTGTTCATATGCTTCATTAGGATTTCATGGATACAAAAACCTTTTACCGGCATTCAAGCGGTAAATATCAAAATAATAGTTATAAACATTTTTTCATTCTTACAGAAATTATTACGAACACCAACAAAATCCGAACATCCGTCTGCAACTATTGGGTCTCCCTATAGAGAGAAATTCTATACAAATGAGCATTTTGAGAAGGCACAAGTTCTTGTATAATGTCTCATCATACCGGAAGGTCACATGTAGTATCAAGACGCGGAAAGCATAGTAATTTCCGGACATTTTTCAAATAGTGGCAGCCGGCGACTTCATTAGAAGTTGACAATGATCCTCATCAAATCAACGGATTAATTGCTATTATCACCAATTATTATTGTTCTGCACAGGATTATACGAGAGAGCTTTGTTTGATTTGTATTCAATACATATTTCTTATCGTAGCTTGTCTCTTGTTTATAAACCGTTTCTAGACCGGCAATCTCCGGTGTGACGTTCTTGTTATTGTATATGATATCGCAGTTATATAACCTTGAACTTTATATTAATGAATGCATTGTATCACGTTTCGATCAGGAGTATCCGGAGGTCATTGATCCATTCCGGTATTGATACGGAGTGTGAACCCATTTCTGCAGAGCATTAGGTGATATCAACACCGAAGTTACATATGTATTGATAATAACTGGATTGTGTTATGTACAAAAATGATAATATCCGGATAGTGGGGTTTTTGTCAGTAGGAAAACAAGGTTATGAGGAATGTGTATCTATCGCCCGGAATGTGAAACTATTTTTGTATCAGTGGATTGTATCCGGCATTAATAACATCCGGATTGTCTGGATCGTCAGAGTTTTGTACCATAGTTGTATTTATCCAGTTGATGAAGGACGATATCCGAGTATATACTCCAGGAAAGTCGGGATTGGCACATCCCAGACCTATAGACACGATTCCAGCCTGAACCCAATGGTCTCCGTCCTCACAGAACAAAGGTCCTCCCGAGTCTCCCTGTAGTTGTAAACAGTGCACCTTTATTACTTCTACAGGTTTCATTTTTTTGTTCTTGGCGAGATCAAGTTTTAAACTTATTTTCGAATTTTGTGTCGTGTTTTTACATCTTTAAATCAATAAAAACTGCTAGTTTACGTTAGATAAAAATTCCGTTTAAAAGCACGATAAAACTGGTCATTCAAATCGTTTTAAATCGTTTTCATTGAATGATATTTACAGTTATCTTTGACTTAGGCATAACATTAACAAACAACTCAGTAATACATACTTTTGCTTTTATTCATATAAACTACCGATGGAAAAATGTTTTTCTCGAAGTCTGGTCCAAATTATCTGTTTAGACATTCGCAGCGGAAGCGATAGGGTAAATTTTACCAGGGCCTTATGCTGTTCGGGTTTCATTTAAAGTATGTGGTGTAATTATGTCCATTTTTACGAGATTCTAATTTTAGAAGAGAAAACAAAACAAAACAAAAAACACGTGAAGTTTTAAAGGACAAACCTGACACGAGTCACGCCCAGTCTGGCTGGACTCCGTGGCGGCACACAACACCGTGTCGTCAATAGACACGAAGTTTTTCATGACGTGACCCTCGGGTAAAGCCTCATACTTAGCGTTACAGTCAGCTGGAGGGATGATCGGAAGCTGCGCGTGCAGTGGCAGGCGGACTCCCTTTCCATCTAGAATGAAAGAAAAATAAACGTGTTAATCTAATGAGGAAACTCCCTTGTTAAGACAATATATCATTTAGAATCTAGTTCAGATAGTCAACGACAAATAGACTAAAGATAATGTCAAGGTCATATCGAGTGGATGATAGTAGCACTCAGGTAATGTCAAGGTCATACATATAGGACAACAACAAACCTAAGATGATGCCAAGATCAAGCGGAGTGGACAACAACTGACTTCAGATGATATCAAGGTCATTTTGAGTACATCAATAGACTGCATATGATGTGAAGGTCATATTGAAAGGACAACTAAGATGATGTCAAAATCATGTGAAGTGGACAACAACACACTAAAATAATTTCAAGGTCATATTGAGTACATCAATAAGCTTCAGATGATGTCAACAACACACTGAACGGACAAAAAAGGTCATATTCAGTTGACAACAACGAATTTAGACATTATCTAAGTGGACAGTAATGCGCTTCTGATAAAAAAAATATCAAGATCACAATGATGAGACACCAACGGAATTTGGACGACGGTCTTTTAGAGTGGTCAGCTACGGAATAGTCAACATGGACGAAAATAACGTAATATTGCGTTTGTAAATATTTCAAGTGGTCAACACAAAAACACAAAATGTATCAGTAAGTAGCCAGGTAAGTAGCCAGGTAAGTAAGGTCACACAAAGGTCACATGAGTGGTCAATAAAGGTCAACACGACGAGTTGTCTTTACTAATTAGGTTTGAACACAGGTAGTTATGGCCTTTTAGCGTTGTTCAAAACGCAAAACCCCGTTGTACATCGCCTTTTTGCGTTGTAAAATAACACAAAAAATCGGCGAGGTTTCGCGTTGGTTATAACAATCGCGAAAAGGCGGAAAGAAAAAAAGGCGACTAAAGTTACACGAAAAGGCGAGATTTTTTTCGCCTTTCGCACTAGGAATTTAAGGCGAAAAACCGCCATTTGACGTGTTTTCGTGTTAGAAACAACGCGGACGGGCGAACTGGCAGTTATTAGCCACCATGGTAACCCGACAGAACACAACAACACTAAATAAAACTCAACTTCGTTTATATGCCAACCCGTATGTTATTATTTGAATATTTAAAGGTATCGATTTTCCTGGATCGCCATATTAACCAAACGCCACGAGAAAACATTATTGCAAGATTTACAACCACTTGTAATCTCGATACAATGAAAATGGCATGGAAGTTAGAAAGTTACGCTGTTTCAACATACAGTACTTCATACATTAAGAGTCATGCAAATATAATGAAATATCTTGCTTGGTTGTCGACAAATCTCTCAACTTCATTTGACTTCACGTTTGATCGTCCTTTATAAATTTGGTAAGTCGTAACTATATTTCATTCAATCACCAAAAAGAAATGGCGCGGTGACCTTCGTGTTGGACAGTTTTACCTTGAGTGTTCTGTCCCCAACCGGCAGTAACGCATACAGACCCCGGCGGGAAACGATTGGGCAGGACGTTCAGACACACAGGGTTCACGTAATCGGACAAGATGGCAGGTCGGTCTATCTTTAGTAAGGCGATGTCCTGTAATAGCGGTGCGTCCCCTGAATAAAAATGACACAGAAATTCTTAATCAGAAAGCAGACAGGAATTATTTTTGGCAGTATTTGTTTAATTTTCAAGCCGAATGATAACATACTAAATTTATACCCAAAGCACAAGTATACAATGCCAGTTCCAGTGCAAAAAGGGAGTGATAGTTCACAGATAATCGAAAATCAACTAGAAGCAAGCAAAGTCTGATACTTGTACGACTAACTAATGTGAAAGTAACTTCCCCTAAAGAGTTATAGATAAGTTAGATTAGGGAGGACACGCGAAAAGTGCACAGAATTTAGTGACGTATTAATCACACAGAGAAAAATAATCAAATTAATATGTGATGATGAAAAAAATAGGAGGAAAAAAACGTATAGCGTTTTATGTTCGTTTTGTTTGTTTGTTTGTTTTTTTGGGTTTTTTTTTTTTTGTTTTTTTTTTTTTGTTCTTTTTTTGTGTCGAATTTCCGTTATTTTCGTTAAGGTTACATTGCTGATATTGATCTGGCAGATCTAAATTAAAGCAGAAATCCGCCGTAAATTTCTAGTCCTTGTTCTTCAGTGGCTAAATTATGGCACGGCTAAAATGAGGTAATCCGGTTTACATCAAATGACGAAGTTTTCGTATAGCAAAATAACCCCGTTTAAACGGTATGTCAGGTTCAGTGCTGACATCATAATTTCAGAAAGTTTGATACTTACACGAGATTTGGAAGTTGTCCCGTTTGTAGATGTTACTGATACTGAAAGCCTGTTCTGTTCCGTCTCGTCCTGCCTGATTGTGTTCCCCTATCAGAACCTGCCAGTTGGTAGGGTCAGCTAAGCCTGGCCATACTGTGTCGCTAAACACACACACAGACACACTTGATTTAACTTAAAAATAATATTGTCATAATTATTTTACATCTGTTTTTATTTGGAAATGAAAATCTGTCCCTAACTACCAATACAGAAGTATTCAGACACGTGCAATTTTTTATCAAATCCAGCAACAGATTTTACGTAATATGTACTAACTTAAATATATTATGTATGCCTTGTTAATGGTATCATGTAAATACTATCATTTATTGTATTAGAGGAAAAGGCGGTCATAAGTTGAAATAACTTGTGCCTAATCCTCTGCTCAATTTTGGGGCAATAAATACATTTAAATCTAAAAAAAAAAAACCGGATTGAACACAAGCTATTACAATATTGTGTAAACACTGGCACTAAACAAAATAACAATTTCCAATTGTTTTGTTTATAAACAATAATCTGTATTTAAAAAGAAAAACAAACTTCTTCAGTAAAAAGTGAACAGATAATACTGATAACTGTGCGATAATTCTAACGTCCTTAGAGGACAGACACTAATAAATTCGTCTTTTATAAAAATATCCTCTAAATCAGACACGCAATGATAAAATGTAGTATCGGTACTGAACAGGAAAAATTATACCAGCCCTACTGAAAAGTGTTTAAGTACAAAACTGCAACTTCTAAATTACTCCTACAAACATCAAGTTTAATTTGTCCGTTCGGAGTCGGAGCTGCACGTCTTGTGCTGCTCCTTTAAAATGTTTATTACGGTGATCGTTATAATAACTGATGACGGCGGACGTATCTAGGGAAAAAACACACAAAATAAAGAATAAATACGACGATTAGTAAATAAATAACAGAAACCTGCCACTGCTGTTCGCATACGCACATACCGGAAGGAGCTAGAATTATTCTATTAAGATATTGAAACGTTAGATTGAAAATTGGGATGATGAATGGTAAGCGGATGTCGAGATTCACTCTTACACAATACTAGAATGTTTCCATTGGTAATGAAACGCTTCTTGGTTACTGCTATGTTCAGGTCAAATATCATTACCAATACTTTGACGTCAGCATAAACAGAAATAACGTTGAGATACTGAGTTCAAGCGTACTCATAACACAGATGTTGTGTTATATTCTATTTCACTTCAACACGCGTCATCAAAAGGCCATTTCCCTTCAATACATCTTGTTTTTGTCGCGAGATTAGGAAGTAATATAGAATGACACGGATAAATCCCAGCATCGAATTCTTATCTTAATATAGAAACAAAATTCAAAAATAAATTGTTTATGAAAATGGAAATAAGCCTTGCGTGCAAACTGCGGATGATAAATTATTTTTAAATTTAAACATATTGTGCTGAATTTTAAATCTGGCTAAAAAACGAAGCCGCGTCGGGCATTTTTATTAGTATTTACGGAATATTCATAAAAATCTAAATCGTCCCTCAAAGAGCTACCACAGGGAAACCAGACAACACCGAATGGTTCCTACATGAAGCCCTCGGTAACCAGTCGACGTACTGCCAACCACCCTATACTGCCAACCCTCTCTATACTGCCAACCATCCCTATACTGCCAACCTCCCTATACTGTCAACCACCTATATACTGCCAACCCTCTCTACACTGCCAACCATCTCTATACTGCCAACCTCCCTAAACTGCCAACCATCCCTTTACTGCCAACCCTCTCTATACTGCCAACCATCCCTATACTGCCAACCTCCCTATACTGTCAACCATCTATATACTGCCAACCATCTCTATACTGCCAACCTCCCTATACTGCCAACCCTCCCTTTACTGCCAACCATCTCTATACTGCCAACAATCCCTATAGTGTCAACCTCCATATACTGCCAACAATCCCTATAGTGTCAACCATCCCTATACTACAAACAATCCATATACTGCCAACCCTCTCTATACTGCCAACCTCCCTTTACTGCCAATAATCTCTATACTGACAATCCTCTCTATACTGCCAACCTCCCTTTACTGTCAACCTCTCTATACTGCCAACCTTCATATACTGCCAACAATTTCTACACTGCCAACCTCCCTATACTGCCAACAATCCCTATACTGTCAACCCTCTCTATACTACCAACCTCCCTATACTGCCAACAATCCATATAGTGTCAACCATCCCTATACTGCCAACAATCCCTATACTGCTAACCTCTCTATACTGCCAACCGTCCTTATACTGCCAACCCTTATTCAAACATTCAAGGCTTTTTTTTCAGAAAATCTACTCAGACGAGACAACAGTGACACTGCATAAAGAAACCAGTCGTTTCATCCTAGTTATATTTAAATATATACAGTAAAACTGATGTATATGTAAATGTTTAAATGTTCTATCAATACCTGTTTACAAAGTAGAGTAAATATCACCAATACTCACTGACCATAAAGTACCAGCCCTATCTTTACGAAGAACATCAACCTATCGTCCAGTTTTTATGGTTTTATAACCATTTTTCAATGTTTTGCATGCGATTTCAAAAGATTTTGATTTCAAAATTAATTTCTAAGATTGAATATGTTAATCCTCTTGATGATGTATAAAAATCACTGAACCTTAAACTTCACATATTCAACCTATATAGGACATACATGTATTTGTACAGATATATATATATTGCAACATCACTGCTATGTTTTCGTTACATGTCCCATTAAACTAAAACATACAAACATACAAACAGTATTTCCCTTTGGGAATATAGATGCAATTATTATGAAATAACATACTAAACGAAGAATTGTAGAAACTGAGAATTTGATTTTTACATTTTGAGAGAAGTCATGTTTCTATGGCCTCCTATTATTTTTATCTTGATGCACCAATCAAATTGAATGGTGGATCCAGGGCGGAAATGGAGGCCAATGGAAACACGACTTCTCTCCAAAACATTATCCAGATTTTGCAGCCTCTGGTCTTTACATCTCTGACATATAGTCTCGTAAACCAGGAGAAATCCTGAATTGTTACCTTGAGATCTGGATATACAGATTTTTGTGTTGCTGTCGATGAGTTAAGATTCTTGCATTTGTTTTGTTTGTTTGTTCAGTGGCAGCAATTTGGATTAACCATTAACCCTTGGTTAACTCTAACGAACCTCTGAGAACAAATCAACATTTTTTTTGTTTGTTTATTTGTTTCTCTTTCTTGTTTATCCAGTTTCCGAAGATATTAAACTGTAACATCTTAACTTACAAATCTGGATCAACATAAACATAAAAACGATATCAGAACGTCAATATCCGGAATTTAGTAAGAATCAACAAAAGCGAAATTCTTTCATATTTATTTCATGATCCAGGAAGTAAAAAGTATATTCTATGTGTTTGTCAAAAAAAATACTATTTCACCGAACACGTATGGAATGTGATCAAGTGTTGAGCCGGGAGTATCATTTTATAATTGTGATAATGGACGGACGATAATGAATACAGCCACCGGTTTGTGAATTGTAGTCCGACCCGTCCCCAGCCCATTAAGTGGACATGTCTCTATTGCACGTAGATCCCGGTATGTGACTAATTAGTCATTTTCGACGACCCATCATTCATGTTTCCACATCTAAATTGTCTCCCAAAGCGTTCTTCTGCCTAAACATTTGGACAAGGACCAGCACCACTATTTACGTACATCTTATACCATATCAAAGTGCTAACTTTACAAATGAGATGTTCTTCTCATAATTTGAAGATTCATTTAATAGCTGATAGCTGTCAAAGATTTTTTTCAGTGCAATTTACTGTACATATATGATATATTTGGTTACACTGTCAGAAAATTACAATGGCATAATGCCTCCATTTCTCCACACGTTAATTTGCCTCTCGACTATCTAAAACGATATATAAAATTTATCTACCCATCTCTTTGTTAATTTCATGAAAAATAACGCCGACAGCATCTATTGGCAGTATAACGAGGTTTAACTTTTCTTCTGTGCGTGACTTGTGGAGTGCAGCATTGTGTCTGAAAAAAAAACGTTCAATCCGTCGCCTAAAAAGCACATGCGCACTGAGGTCGTGTGATGATCAGTGAGTTAAACAACAGAAAATTTCGTGAAATGAATGCAACCCATCAATACACTTGAGTGATGAACCGTTAATGAAATTACCGGGTAAATTGAGAGAGACGGGACGGACGGACGGACGGACGAACAAATCCTCACGAACTAATGTGGATGTACATATGTACTTACTCGAAGCAATGAGCCGCCGTAATCACCCACTGTGGATGTACGAGAGAGGCGCCACACAGATGTGGAAACCCGGAAGTGTTGGAGAACATGTGGTACCGCAGGAAGTGGAGAGATACCAGCCATGGCCACTCTCCAGGCGCCGCATGGATGCCACCAACCACGCGCTTATGACGTATTTGTCTGCCGCTGTGCAGATTCCTTAGGACATTGTGAAGGTCATATCTGCCGTTATGGAAATGAGTGAGTCCGCACGAAACATGAATCTCTGCGAAACAAAACGGTAGCATCTTGCAATATATACACTTCCTTCGGCATATGTTTAAATTTTATTCATTTAGAAGTTGTGGCAAAGCTTGTTTCTTTAATTCCATTGTAGGCAATGAGTTAGTGATATTCCGGGTTAAGCCAAATGTATCAACGTATTAAAAAAAACAAAAAAACAAAAACATTACACTTAATGCTTCCTATAGCATCTATCTTTTTTAATAAAACTAAATATATCTAATATATATACTTCGTTATATATGAAAAACATTAAATTGATGAACATAAAAATGGTTATTAGTATGATATAAAAATTTCTATATAAATGACAGTAATATGTTTTTCAGGCAGAGAATGCGACACAAATTTGTTTCCACAAGAGAATTTCCCCAACATATATAACAGATATAAATCCTAGAAATTACGAGGGTGAACACCAGATATATAGAAGATCCTTTGACATTCCACTGGCTTAGGCAGACAATTTCTGACGTAATTTCTACACCACAGGGTGACGATTTACGAGTGTAGCGGAATGACTTGTCTAGCACCTGCTAGGTGCCGGATTTACATTGCCAATGTCTTGGATAGTGGATGCTGGGGAAAATATTACCTTCGTTTTCTGTTACAGCTGAAACAGAAACAAACCTAATTCTCATTACTGATACTTCATACAGGTTTAACCGAAAATCCATTAATCCGGCAAATCAATCAATACGGAGTTTTGTTATTACGGATTTCATTTTATACACGATAAATTTTAGTCCTTATCTGTTTGAAACCAGTTTTTGGCATCGAATACCAAGACCATTCAATGGCACACTTCAACATCTTTGTTACTGAGTCGCCATGACTGGCATGCAAAACATCAAAAATGAATGCCGAAAAGAACAAGTCTGAAAGTGACATGGTGTTACGTACCACAGCCCCGGAGCCGCACCACTGGGGCAGTAGCCTGGCCGAGAGGCGTGACCCGTACACACAGGGTTCTGATGGGCCGCAGATGGAGATCCACGTCCACTGGCTCGCCTTCCAAACTCGAGAATACCTGATTTATCAAACCAGTAGGACATAACCCGTAAGTTGTACAGAGATTAAAAAAAAAAAAAAACAAAACAAAACAAAAAACAACGAGCACGTCATGAATTGTGACGTGTTGAATTACTTTAACTCTTGTTAAGATAATCACCACTTTTAAATGAGTTAAGACAGAAAAAAGTCGCTGAATGTAAAATGATGTCTGTAAAAGGACTACAAGAGAGCTTTAATACCAGCTTTTTTTAACAGTGTGCCATGAAACTCTTCGCAGGTAAAGCGATATTCATTATGTAAGCACAGTATTTTCTACGTCTGTTAAATTGTGAAGTGCATGACGTAAAATTCTTCGTGTAAATAAATGTTGATTGCATGTCTAATTGTTCGTCCTAACTGATGATATCGCACCTTTTTTTTTGTCTGACGAAATTATGAGACAAAGTTTTGTAACATGGTTTCACATATATGTCTCTATTGACATTTGCATGTAAACTAGCCGTAACGAAATGCGATTTGACAGATAAATGTCATCTAGCGCGTGCAAATTACAACGTCATTATTGTTGACATGGAAACGGCAACAGCTCACCATAAATGGTTGTCACATTTTACGGATTTACACTGTCGATAATTGATAGTTTATTACAGTTTAAATCAAATTGTAATAGGCATAAAAAGCAAACCGTGCAGGAATACATTTATGGTCTAGTGTGCAATATAATATCTTACCGCAGAGCCTTGTCATTTATGACAGCAATAAATGCCATAACACGACAGTTCAACGCTTAAATGAAAGGTTGACCTTTGTGGTCGATTATCTTGATTCCAAATTTGGGGAGATTATTGATGTACTTAAATGTATTATTGCCCGACCTAACAAAGTGAGGGACACAGCACACCTGTGGTGTCATGGCTATCAGGTTTCTCACCATGGAGTAAATTATAGAAGTACATCAAGCAGGAAGACTAATTGATAATCGCCCAAACCTACAGCTCATGGAACTGAACAGAAAAAAAGGAATATTCAATCTTGTCAATATAGATCCGAATGATCTAGAAATTTATTCAATTATTGAACGTCACTTTAATCATTACTTACCGCTTTAAACGTGTTTTGAAAAAAAACCCGATTGGTGATGATTTTAGATACATTTATATCGGTTAGATACTGTAAAGCATATACACTGTAACCTATAAAAATATACAAATCTAAAATCATCAACGAATGATGTATTATGGGAATGGCAAACAATTAAAGACAACATGCTGTATGTCTATTTATTCAAGCGGAAGTGTCGATAAATCAACTTCCGTTTGACGAAAAAAGAAATGGCCAAACGTTACCTTCATCTTCGAATGAACGTGACATTTTAACATCTTATTTACCTTGGGTTGGTTACCTTCCAGTAGGTCATAGAATGTGACGCACGTGCGGCTGTACGAGATGACGTAACTGCTGTATCCAATTGCAGTTGGGTCTATTCGGATAATGGACACGAGCTTTTCTCCCGTCAGGCGTAGCTGTACCCCACTGTCGCTGGCAGTAGCGTTGAGGCTTTTAAAGCACATAGAGGGTACTTTGGAGGAAAGAGATTTGAATATCAACAAAAAATCTAAAACTATTTCAATCGGGAGCAGGTCTCTCTGCCAACAACATGCTGGTGAAGATCTCCGAATCATTACGAAACGTTGTGTATTACAGAAATAACTCGCTATACTCAGTATATAAAGCTTGGCGTTACATATAGGGTGAGTCGCGATATATTGTGAGAAATACATTTTGTAAATATGACCATGGACCATAAGATATTCCTGTACATCTGATGAAACATAAGAAATGGTTTTGGCGTTTTATTACAGAATGACACATCATTATACGTGTACTTACAGCAGCCAATGAGTTCGACTCTTAATGCCGACGTGTTTCCATGACGCTCCGTTGGGATGAGGCGGACACACTTAGCCACAAACACGTGGTTGAAAACGATGGTGGACACGGAACTAATATCAACGTTAGCGGCAAACACCTACAAGAATATAATTCTAAAGCTCTTTTGAAGAATACACGGGGGTCTTGGGTGTAACTTTAAGGGAAATTACCAATTATCGAAACCTTATTTATCTTCAGAAGTTATTTCCGCAAATCTTAACTGAAGTTTATACCCACCTGTGGAACACCGTTATCTTCAATGGCAAAGTAGTCTCGACAATTTACGCTGTAGTTCACTTTCAGTGATGTCACCCACAAGTGTCTTTCACTGTCCCCTTGTACCTGAAGACCGGTCACTAGCATGTTATTGTTCATTTCAACCTGAAGTCAGAATTAAACAGTGTATAACTGAGAATTATTGTTGTAGTCAATGCTATATTCAAAAGCTTGCTCCCACTATCACGATTTCCTATGTCGACAACATGGGGTTACGAAAAGATGGGAAAGTTCAAAGGTCATCATTATGATTTGACCATGAATATTCATATAACATCTCGTTCTGCAAATAGTATTCCGATATGATCAATGCTCCTAAATATACCTTGTTTGGCCTTTCATTAATACCATGGCGCTCACTTAAAACAGCGTGAAATTACCTTGATTTATGTTGATTTCTATGACGACTATTGTCGATGAAGCAGAGGACGCTTACACCTTTGGAACACCTCTTATTCTCTATGTACCTCTCTAAGTGGCTTTGTACAATCATTTATTTAATACATAGCTTACCCTCGTTTTATCGATGTCGGTATGTCGGTATTGTATAAGTAAACAAACACACTTCCTTAATACATCAATTATGTTTAGTTTCTTAAACACATAAAACAGGTCAAATTCAGATCAGGACAATTCTTCATGGTCAAGTTATTTCGAACACAAAATAAGATCAAAAGAATGATTTACAAGGAGACTCCTGATAGGGTGCAAAGAGAATAAGACCAGATGTTCCGAAAGGGTAAGCGTCTTCTGCTTCATAGACGACACCAGCTATATAAATATTGGCAAATCCAAGTAAATAACACGGAAAACAACAATGGAGTCACCAGGCAAATTAACGAGCAGCTTCATATTACACAAAGAACATCCCAATGATATCCAATCAACTGCATTACCATATGGCTTGGAATGCAGGGATGTTGCTGTCCAGAAATGAAAAAAAATAACAAAAGGGAAATTGAAATCATCACGCTTTTCATACAACTTGGTGGAAATCTATACGCGTTGGTTTCATTACAGGAATATATTCAGATAAGGGGCTGATATGGAAGAGTCTGTTTTGTAACAGTAATTCTAGTGAGTGTATATGATTGACAATGTCAATCATTTTCTTTCTTTTTTTTAAATCAGAACGTCATCAAATTATCTGAGAGTAAAATTAAAGGACATCGTAAGGTCTTTGTGACTTGTTTTGATAAGCTATTCGATTAATTCAGTGTCGTATGAAAACAAAAAAGTAGCCAGGCATAACAGTTCCCTTTCTTACCACCAAACTCGATTGAGATATTGTCAACCAGAAATTCAATTATTATCATGATTCCACCCTCTCTTTGATATATACACGTTTTGTAGGAAGTAAAATACAGTATTGTTCACAACCAAAGCTCTCATAGAGAGAACAAAGGTATTCCTTCGGTTCAGAATTGTGTTTGGTAGTGTACAGAGAGGGATAATCAAATGTTTATTAAGAAAAAAAACTGTTCTAGAAGGTTTGAAGATTGCTGAAACTTTTTTTTCGGGTTCTCCAAAATCCAAACACAATTAATTCTACTTTTTGAGTAAACAGTATCACCATTCGACTAACATTTCTCTTATAGCACTAGGAAAAGAAATAAGAAGTTTTGACAAGTGAAACGTCGTTTGAAGTCTAGGAATCCAGTATAAACGAGGGAAGTCCGTATCCTTTTCTCTAATAAAGCAATCTAAATAGTCACAATACCAAAGGAGTATTAGCTAATATTTCATCTTTGGAAGGAATGGATAATGTGTAGATTGAATTTCCTTCGTTATCGAACAAGCCCAGCTCTTTATATCAGGATCAAGAATAACACATTTGTGTTTTGTTTTCATTTTTGATTTCAAGCTTTTGAAATTGATAAACCGAGAGTATTTTACCAAATCTGAAAGAAAATCCAACGCAGCATGCTCTTTTTTCACACGGAATCCATAATAACTTGAAATTCTCATTCCAATTAATGGGCGAGGTTTCAAAATATTTTAAGTCATTCACGAAAATCTCCTGATTAAATCGTCGGTTACTACATGCCGAGCTGAACCATAGTACAAAGAAATGGAGAACAAGATGAAGGAGAAATAGTCCTTAGATCATTCGCTTGTTTGTAATTGAAAAGTTTGGGTGCATGCAATGAGCTTGGAGTATCTGAACGAAATAATAAGAGTACTTATGAATTTGAAGTATGATCAGATATAAGTTGCGGTTAGTTTTCAATTTAGGTTTACTGCCCGGTGTCCTTGGGTAAGACAATTAACCCCACTTGCACTGGGTAGCGTATGACGGTCCTTCAGTTTGGTGTTCAATGAGAAAGTCATCACCTACTTAATCCGTCCCAAAATGGACTCGGCCGTTCAAGAGGCTAGAAACCGAGCAGGCAACCTTTTAGAATAAGTCTAATTAGAATATTGGACATAGGACATAGCAAAGTGAGAAGTTATGCATATTACTTAAAAGTACTTATATATTGATATGTCATCTTAATTCCTTATAAAACCTGTATACTTAAAGACTGACGTCACACACGTGCGCTTATGACGATAATACCTACCTGTACACTTAAAGACTGACGTCACACGCGTGCGCTTATGACTATAATACCTACCTGTATATTAAAACGCTAACGTCACACGCTTGCATTAATGACGATTATACCTACCTGTAAGCTAAAAGACTGACGTCACACACGTGCACTAATAACGATTATACCTACCTGTATACTTAAAGGCTGACGTCACACACGTGCACTAAGGACGATTTTACCTACCTGTAAGCTGACAGACTGATGTCACACACGTGAATTTATGACATCAATACCTACCTGTAAGCTAAAAGGATGACGCCACACACGTGCATTAACACGTGCATTAATGACGATTATACCTACCTGTAAGCTAAAAGGCTGACGTCACACACGTGCATTAATTATTATACCTACCTGTAAGCTAAAAGGCTGACGTCACACACGTGCATTAACACGTGCATTAATGACGATTATACCTACCTGTACAAATGAAGTTGGTCCCAGTGCCGTTGAATACCAGGACCGCTGACCATTGAGTCGGGCATCCTGTGCGTTGCCTTCAGTAGCCGATAGAGTATAAGGCAGCAAGGTCTGGGAGTTTTCACCTACTCCCAGCGGGGTAGTACATTGGCCGGAGTCTAAAGTCTGAGAAAGAGAGAGAAGAAAAATAAAAATATAGTCAATTATGTCAATATTTCTTTAAATTTCTCTGTTTTAATTTTTGTCGTTAATTGCTATTGTGCGGTTCTGAAATTTATTTTCGCGATAATATTATGTTGCAGTAATATTACGGAAATAACCATGAGTTTGATACGATTGAGGCTGTAGCCTTTATTAATCATGTTGAAACCAAATCTAATATAAATACAAAGAAAACAATGATTAAGTTATGGAACCAGACGCAGTGTTGTTTCAGCCTCTTTCATCGACAGAATTTTTTTTTCTGACTGAAAATAAGTAGGACTGTTATGTTTACGTGTTATAATTAACCTCGTTGTTGATTGTGATGCTCTTATCAGGCGGAGAAACACCTGTATCTCCCCCTTTGATGTACAAGTTTTTACCTGTGTTGTTATCAGGGACGAAACATCCTTATCACAACTCTTACATCACGTGCTGTATATTTTATTGTATATGACTCAGAATTCCTATAAATCACATACAAATTACTGTTAAGATCAGCTATACAACACATATAGAACTCCGGAGCCCCGTATAGGTTATCTGTTAATGTTGGCCCCACGCGACATCCAGATAACGCCAATATTTCGTGTGATTTTAGAGCCAAACCAAAATCATAGATTTTCTTTCGTGTAGTGTTATTGTCGTTTATATTGGGAAATAAATCATTGATTCAGTTATGATTGACAAGAAATATTTGATACTTCTACCTCTGCAAAACAAATTCATGACTTGGTGTCCTTAGTATCTAATATTGCTACACAAGACGGACACATTCGTAAAATTCTTAATCCGAACTCGACAAAATATTCGGTAATCCGTACAAGATGTCAACACGACACATGTTATTACTTTAACAAGTTTGAAAATTCGTTCATCCGAATTGTTCAACGGATATATCAAGCACAGCTGGACTAAAAAAATCACTGCAATTTAAATCAAATTGATTTTTCTGGGTTATTGAACTAAATGTAGTTTCTACTCAAATTTCATAAAAATCTGTCGAAATGATACACCGAGATAACTGATAACATCCTTGATGGTAGTTTTCAGAATTCGTAACAAAAAGCGAGAGGTGGCTGTCTTAATAATTATGGTTACTCGGTAATGAAATACTTGAAAATGCATATTGGGTTCTCTGATGTTATTTTGATCACTAATTCTGATGTATGTAGCAGATATGTTATCGAATTTCTGTATTCGTTTAGTAATATTTCCTGAAAATTTCAATTTCCGCTAAACATTAGAACGCCTTGTCATAAAACACGAACGGAATTTAAAAAAAAAACAACATAAACAGGCACCAAGAAAAGACATGGCGACTAGCCGAGCACGCTCTGACGTATTAAGACAATGAGAGCCGAAACAAAGCATCGTAAAAAATGCTACAACGAATTAGGACGACGTCAACAATAAATTAGCTCGATAAAAAGCACGTGCTCCTGTGGTCAGCGGGAAATTCAAGTAGCTAATTGGCTTCATTAAATGGATCTATCGACAAATGCAAGCGATTGGGAAATGTTTACGACCAAATCATCGGATTTGTAAAATAAAGCATATTGTTTGAATAGGACTTTGAAGCTTTTGTTTGTCTTAAATAACACTATCAGAGATTTATTAGCGTGTTGAAAACCTCAGAATATTATAACAAAAATGGCAACTACCAAAATAGCCGTCTTAATAATTGAAGGTAGAAGCGGTCGTAATTTACAAATTTAATATTGCTTTAAATAATTGAACCATCCAAGTCTGTTTTCTGTTATACGGGCAGGAGATTTCCCCCAGAAATATACAAAAAAAGTTGGCTATTTAAGGCATTTGGTAACGTCTTTTTTCTGAGATTTACAAAAAACCTGATCTAATTTTTGTGATCTACAAACAAGATACTTTTGTCATTTAACACACACCGCCGGATATCTACATATTGGTTAGGTTCTAGCACGCAGTAATTGAAGGCTGAAAATTGGCCTTGTTTCTGTACATACACGACTTAGATGTATTGTGAAGCAAGTGTAGGTCCAATTTGATATAGTTGAGCCATTTTACTAAAAACAGAATACCCTAACCCTAACCTCAAACTATAGTGTAATTGTAACGGAACTTTTTTGTGTTTGAAATGGTAGTTATTGCTACTATAACAAGAAAAACATCGCCCGGAAACCAATCGCGAGAAAAGATATTTTGCATTGAAAAGATATAGAACATTTTGATTTTTGTGTCGTTTTTAGCTGCAGAAATATCAACAATGACGTAAATTTAAATCTAACTAAATAAACAAAACAAATATCAACCTCTGAACTGTCCATTCGGTGTTTTTGTATGTCCAAATGGAACATTATATCTATCTCTACAGCCTGTAGTGAAAACAAACAAAAACAACAAAAAACAAGAACAAAAAAAAAAAAAAAAGTATTCATTTGAACAGAAGATATATGTTTAAACAAATTCCTCTTAATCAAGAAGATCGAGTCATAGAGGTAATTCCATCTAAAACATTTAGGATGAAAGACAAAAAAAATGTTTGTAGATATCACAACCAAGATGACTTGTCTGGTATGAATAACTTACATAAAAAATGGCTTACTGCATTTACAGCATTTGCTGAAGATGTTACTAAAACATGCGTTTTGTGAAATATCGTTCAATTTTGACTTTTAATCAACTCCCAAACAGCCCTTTAAGCCAACTTCGAACATAAATTCTCATTTGTGAAAGTAGAATATCTCATTTTTAAACTTTTAATCTTATGATACTTCAATGCATTTTTCTGAAATAAGTTTCGATGATGATTAATTTGATACTCTGACTTACGAGCGCAACAAAAGCTAATGCTTTTTAGCATTATATCGTTTTAGCGTGATAGTGTCTACGGCAGGTAAATCGGTACAGTTAAATCACTGATACAGTGTTACACAAGAGGTTGGCATTACTCTTCAATGCTAATCCAGTAAAAATTGGATTTCGGGGATTTAGATTTCTCTAGAAATCCTCTTAATACTAAAATTCATGTTATATAAAATATTCGAGGATATGTTGATTTAAATTTCCCACGAAATCAGCTAAAATGAATCCTCCGCTAAACGTATTAATCTCTTTTTGAGATGATTAAGCGTTACAAACAACAGCAACCTTGACGTTTGTCCTATTGTAGTGTTCAACAATCGGTGTTAATCCTGGATTTAGGACACTGCAATGGTAGGCTAGACATAGGCCCGAATGGAGTAAAAGTTGGTCCGGATTTAGGACACTGCAATGGTAGGTTAGACATTGGCCCGAATTGAGTAAAAGTTGGTCCGCATTTAGGACACTGCAATGGTAGGTTAGACAAAGGCCCGGATGGAGTAAAAGTTGGTCCGAATTTAGGACACTGCAATGGTAGGTTAGACAAAGGCCCGAATGGAGTAAAAGTTGGTCCGGATTTAGGACACTGCAATGGTAGGTTAAGTATAGGCCCGAATGGAGTAAAAGTTGGTCCGGATTTAGGACACTGCAATGGTAGGTTAAGTATAGGCCCGAATGGAGTAAAAGTTGGTTCGGATTTAGGACACTGCAATGGTAGGTTAGACATAGGCCCGAATGGAGTAAAAGTTGGTCCGGATTTAGGACACTGCAATGGTAGGTTAAGTATAGGCCCGAATGGAGTAAAAGTTGGTCCGGATTTAGGACACTGCAATGGTAGGTTAAGTATAGGCCCGAATGGAGTAAAAGTTGGTCCGAATTTAGGACACTGCAATGGTAGGTTAGACAAAGGCCCGAATGGAGCAAAAGTTGGTCCGCATTTAGGACACTGCAATGGTAGGTTAAGTATAGGCCCGAATGGAGTAAAAGTTGGTCCGGATTTAGGACACTGCAATGGTAGGTTAAGTATAGGCCCGAATGGAGTAAAAGTTGGTTCGGATTTAGGACACTGCAATGGTAGGTTAGACATAGGCCCGAATGGAGCAAAAGTTGGTCCGGATTAAGGACACTGCAATGGTAGGTCAGACAAAGGCCCGAATGGAGTAAAAGTTGGTCCGGATTTAGGACACTGCAATGGTAGGTTAGACAAAGGCCCGAATTGATTAAAAGTTGGTCCGCATTTAGGACACTGCAATGGTAAGTTAGACAAAGGCCCGAATGCAGCAAAAGTTGGTCCGCATTTAGGACACTGCAATGGTAGGTCAGACAAAGGCCCGAATGGAGTAAAAGTTGGTTCGGATTTAGGACACTGCAATGGTAGGTTAGACATAGGCCCGAATGGAGTAAACGTTGGTTCGGATTTAGGACACTGCAATGGTAGGTTAGACATAGGCCCGAATGGAGCAAAAGTTGGTCCGGATTAAGGACACTGCAATGGTTGGTTAGACATAGGCCCGAATGGAGTAAAAGTTGGTTCGGATTTAGGACACTGCAATGGTAGGTTAGACATAGGCCCGAATGGAGTAAACGTTGGTCCGGATTAAGGACACTGCAATGGTAGGTCAGACAAAGGCCCGAATGGAGTAAAAGTTGGTCCGGATTTAGGACACTGCAATGGTAGGTTAGACAAAGGCCCGAATTGATTAAAAGTTGGTCCGCATTTAGGACACTGCAATGGTAAGTTAGACAAAGGCCCGAATGCAGCAAAAGTTGGTCCGCATTTAGGACACTGCAATGGTAGGTCAGACAAAGGCCCGAATGGAGTAAAAGTTGGTTCGGATTTAGGACACTGCAATGGTAGGTTAGACATAGGCCCGAATGGAGTAAACGTTGGTTCGGATTTAGGACACTGCAATGGTAGGTTAGACATAGGCCCGAATGGAGCAAAAGTTGGTCCGGATTAAGGACACTGCAATGGTTGGTTAGACATAGGCCCGAATGGAGTAAAAGTTGGTTCGGATTTAGGACACTGCAATGGTAGGTTAGACATAGGCCCGAATGGAGCAAAAGTTGGTCCGCATTTAGGACACTGCAATGGTAGGTTAGACAAAGGCCCGAATGGAGTA